GAGTAGTCTGGAGGTACCTGTGACATAGCCTCAGTGGTGTGCTCAGTACTAGTGATGTCCCGAACGGTACGGCGATCATATGCGGTAAACATTGACCCTGTACCTCACAGTCAGCAGACACATTCCAGCCAATCAGCAGCAGACCCTCCCTCCCAGACCCTCCCACCTCCTGGATATAGTTATCAATTAAGTAGTGATAGTATAGGGAGGGAGATGGAATTGAACACAATTTTAAAATAAGAGTTTAAAGGAAACAGTAATGCAGGAATTCTTGAGTAGATCTTCCAGAGATGATACTGAGGATCGGCTGATGATCCTGAGTATATCTTGGAGTATCCAGTGGAGGAGAGTCCCTGCTACGACTAGGGCTCCTCTACACATAGTGTTCTATCCCTCCTTTCCATGTCCCAAAGTGTTCTTCACACCCCTCCTTTCCCTGTCCCATAGTGTACTTCACACCCCTCCTTTCCCTGTCCCATAGTGTACTTCACACCCCTCCTTTCCCTGTCCCATAGTGTACTTCACACCCCTCCTTTCCCTGTCCCATGGTGTACTTCACACCCTTCCTTTCCCTGTCCCATAGTGTACTTCACACCCCTTCTTTCCCTGTCCCATAGTGTACTTCACACCCCTCCTTTCCCTGTCCCATAGTGTTCTTCACACTCCTCCTTTCCCGGTCCCATAGTGTTCTTCACACTCCTCCTTTCCCGGTCCCATAGTGTTCTTCACACTCCTCCTTTCCCGGTCCCATAGTGTTCTTCACACTCCTCCTTTCCCGGTCCCATAGTGTTCTTCACACTCCTCCTTTCCCGGTCCCATAGTGTTCTTCACACTCCTCCTTTCCCTGTCCCATAGTGTTCTTCACACTCCTCCTTTCCCTGTCCCATAGTGTTCTTCACACTCCTCCTTTCCCTGTCCCATAGTGTTCTTCACACTCCTCCTTTCCCTGTCCCATAGTGTTCTTCACACTCCTCCTTTCCCTGTCCCATAGTGTTCTTCACACTCCTCCTTTCCCTGTCCCATAGTGTTCTCCTCCCCCCCCCCCATCCTAAGTGCAATAATCTTGACTTTTCATGTTATCATTACTATCTTTAATTGTGATATATAATCATCTGAATTGTTAATGAAAGCATGTCTGTTAAACTACGCACTACAACCCCCGCCCTATATATATATAGATATATAGATAGATATATATAGATATTATTTGTTTTCGGCAAATTTTACCAATTTTCAGCTGAACCGGAATAGGCCCATTTTTGGCTGAAAATTTTGGTGCATCCCTAATCATACCGATATCCTGATCGGTTTCACAGCTTCTGCAGAATTCCAGGTTTGGTGAGAAGCATTCTTATACCAGTCAAGACAAACTGAGGAAATGTATGCCAGACAGAGTGGGAGGAATATTCAAAGCATTCATTCAGCAATGGGAGCTGACAACTTAAAATCCTTGAGTGTTAAACACTATCAGACATGAGTACAAGATACGATTTCTAGAAGTTCCTTTTTCTCAATCCCTTTGTTCAGTCTGCTACTCTTTGGTAAGGACGCATAACCTGCAAGCGGAATCTCTTGTTCTTAGTTTTCAAGGGGTCTACCGTAGACTCGTATATGCATCAAATATCTGATTTCGGTTGGAAGCTATCTTATCAGTTACCCACATGAGAGGACTAAATGGCCACCTTAGACTTAAAGGAATCTTGTCTTCATGCCCCTATGGTGTTAGGCTCAAGGAAATACGTAAGATTTGTGGTGAAAAACACTTGGAAAAAATCGTGTAACTTTGTGAAACGTGTTGGTGTTTCAATATTCGTATTTATACAACTTTAATCCCTTTTTAACACCATTCTGGACCCTGCTGGACGTTTAACCCCTTAAGGACCAAACTTCTGGAATAAAAGGGAATCATGACATGTCACACATGTCATGTGTCCTTAAGGGGTTAAAAAGATTGTATCAAGAGGAAAACTTCAGCTGTATCCTTGGTGGGTTTATACCTACTAAGTTAAGTATACTGATAGACTACTAAATCACAAAGATAAGGTGTGAGATAGGAACAAGCTTCTTTCTGAGAACAATACTGAGCATGATAGAAATGCTGCACTTTTTAGAAAAGAAATATTAAAGAAAACAAGCTAATAAACAAAGATTGTAACACGAGGGTTACCTTGTGTCCCACAATAGCATGAAGGTGGGTAATGCATTGAAATATGCTGTCCTCACGGTAATCAGGCATAGGGGATAAGAGTGGAGGCCTCCTGGACACCATTCAGTCAATGCCTGTCAGAGGTAGGATACAGTCCCACAGCATGCAACAGGCCCCGTGCTTCAGGTGCTGGTATCATGCTTTCCGCAATCCATCTTCTAGCTTCAGCCCATTCAGAAAACCCAGATTGTGTGTTGCGGTTGCCCTGCCACGGAGTAGATCTATGTGCTGCTTTTCTTGGGTGGTGCTGGTGCGGTCTGCACCGTCTGTGGCAGGCCGCTGTAGGGCTCTGATTCACTCTGGGTCCGAGTTCCATAGTGTACTTTCACAGATGATTTAGGTAGTGGAGATTGTTGAGTAGTCTGGAGGTACCTGTGACATAGCCTCAGTGGTGTGCTCAGTACTAGTGATGTCCCGAACAGTACGGCGATCATATGCGGTAAACATTGACCTTGTACCTCACAGTCAGCAGACACATTCCAGCCAATCAGCAGCAGACCCTCCCTCCCAGACCCTCCCACCTCCTGGACAGCATCTATTTTACATTCATTGGGGAGCTGCATTCTTAGTGAGATGTCCAGGAGGTGGGAGGGTCTTGTAGGGAGGGTCTGCTGCTGATTGGCTGGAATGTGTCTGCTGACTGTGAGGTACAGGGTCAAAGTTTACCGCATATGTTCGCTGTCCGTGACGAACCGTTCGGGACATCACTACTCAGTACTCTCCACTGCCATTTTAGGGCCCTCAGAGCTACTAAAGTCTTGAGCTCTCGACGTTAAACGTCGTTGAGGTGAGTAGCCTGTCATCTGTATTGGAGCAGGTGGTTGCAAGTTGCTCTCCAGCTTCTGCCAAAGTAAGCAAATACTTTGTCCAGTTTAGCCAGGATATCGAGGTGACCTGCAATGGAACCCGTGGTACTTGTGGCGTCTGCCATATTGGGTAAGTTTACACGCTGTTTATCCGTTTTGTGTAGTTCAAACTTGACTGCCTGCCACATCAGGGCTACCTCCAACTTGACTGCCTGCCACATCAGGGCTACCTCCAACTTGACCGCCTGCCACATCAGGACTACCAGGATCACACCTGATGTCCAAACTGTGGGGCAGAATAGCCCCCTCCCCCACCCGTTTCGCACCAGGCAGCAGAATCCGGTAAGGGATAAACGGGCTCCTACCGGGTCGCTGATCGCTATACATTATGCCCTCTGTTGTGAGGGTTAGGTTGGTTGTGTTAGCTGGCCCGGATCGGACATTAAAGGAGGGTAGAAATCTGCTAGGTTCATGATTGTGTTAGAGCCGTGTTAAACACGTCTCACCAGTCAGGCCCCGCCTCCCCTAACTCATGTATTCTTAATAATCTGACCACTATAATTCTTATTAAAACATTTCGTTGTAACTTTAAAGCTAGATAATGTTTCTACTGCACCATTTTAATATTTAGTTTTTGTGTTAAACTGCTTCACCTCTTCACCCAAAATAAATATGCATGTATGAATATATGTGTAAATGACATGGCAGACCAATATATGGTATTGTAAAGTCTGATTCCACTGTCAAGCCCAACCCAACCTAACGTATGTATTTATGTATAGTATGGATTGCACTGAGTATCAATCGTATACAATCAGTGCATCGATAAATACAAGGTGGCAAGCATCTTCTATGACAAAGCAGAACAAAATGGATCTGAGCACTCTAGATAGGTGTTGCCACAGACAAATAGGTATTTGGTACATTTTGGACACCACGTGGCCTTTTTTCAAACCCAATCCTTCCATCTAAGACTGAGATCTCCCAAATACATGGCTTGGGAATCAGCGTTTTAAGTTTCCCCTCTACTTTACAGAGTAAGTGAACAACATGGCTTCCACTATTCATGTTGCATTATTCTGAAAATCAATAGATGCTTTGTGGTTCGCACCTTATATATAGCCAATATGCTAGACAGGGGGAACATCTATTTCTCATGGGCGTCTGTGTGCTTAGTGTAGCAGGCAAACATTAGCGTTGTCATCTTACCGTGCATGCTAATGATTTTGCAATGAATATCCAAAGCTAGTTTCTGAATAACCAAAAAATAGGGATTCATTACCATATTATCAATAGTAATTCCGTGATTCCAAAACTTTTAACGCCAACATAGAGGATAATGCCCATAGTCTGGCATGTCCCTCCCACACTTGTGAAGGCAGTGAACATCACTGGAAGGGCTGCAAGAAGAACTTGGCCCGGCTGTTCCTAGAACTGCTGCGCAGAGCACTCCCAGACTCCCAGACCTCCGGTAGACAACCTGAGAATGAGGAATAAAATATAGCACCCAGGAGGGATGAAGAAAATGTTATGTATGTATATATGTATATGTATGCACCTGAGGATGTGTTAAAGTTGGCACAAGGCAAACAGAGATCTGATAAGGTGTGGTTGAATGGAATTGAGGAATTAAGTGGGGATGAGTGAAAAGAATTGCAGCCCCCCCATTTAGTAACTGGGTTGAAGGCTTGAAGGGTGTTAAAGCATGACAGAAGTGGGCTGTAAGTTTGGGGTTATGGCAAAGTGAAATAAGGAGTTGAGGATATCAAATAGTCCTTGTGTAACAAGGAAGAGGGCTTTGCTGTAAGAACACTGAATTAATTTTACTAGAAGTAGTCTAGTCCGGTGCCAGATTTGAGTGCAACAATGTTTGTTTGCAGGTAGTGTCCTTGGTATCCTAGAGCTGGAACTGTCTATCTTGAGATTGGCTAGGAAAGATGTGACTCTATTGTGTAAGGCAATGGCTAAGGTAGAATGGGGGAGCGAGCATGGAGACTGGAGATGAGATCAATGTCAGGAGAATTAAGGTATATGCTACGATTAGGAGAGTGGGTCAGAGGATGCAGGTTGAGGAAATATTGAGCACCAATGATATGGAGGCAATCTAAACTGGTATGATTTTTCCAGATGGTATAAAAATCTAACCCTCTGAACAGCAGACTGTAAGCTGCAGTGGTTATGGTGACCTATTAACATCACCTCAACTTAACTTGCTTTTAGTTGTAAAAATAAGTTGAAACTATAAACGTCCCTCCTGCATTGTGGTGTAACTGTCTTCTGTCTCCTTTCCTGTCCTAGATGAGTTCGGGATGGGATATACTATCTCAGGCTGTCTTGCTAGCTGCCTGCTTTCATCTCGTGACGTCAATGGAGAGATTGTCTTTTATTCTCCATACAATGTTTGTCTCTCTGCTCGCAAGGTAAAATAAAAATAGCCATCAGTTGTAGATTCCTACTTACACATGCAGATCACTGAGCACTAGACGTTGGTGTCTCTCGTAGTGGGATATAAAGTTTAAATTAAACCCAAAACTGTTCTATTCAAGGTTCCCTGGCTCTACAGAAAGCCCTCCAATTAAATTTGGGGGATGAAAAAAAAATGTACTCTGTAGAATTCCATAAACTAAATAATTATTTTTTTTTTCCTAGTATTTTTTTTATGCACAGATGAAATATACATATACAATATTTAACCCCATAAGGACTGATCTGAATCTACACTTTTTGATCAAAATAAAACGTAAACAAAACTTGGAATTTGACGGTCTGTTCAACCATAATTCACCTCTTTCATATTAAGTGCACCTACACTTATTATATATCATTTTATTCAGGAGAAATAGGACTTTCATTTACCATAAAATATTTAGCTATGAAACATAATTTAATATGAATAAAATGTAAAAAGAATGTGAGAAATTTTTTTTTTTTTTTTTTAGTTCTGCACGACATTTTAACTGTGAATGTCATAATACTGTTTGCTTTTACTGCAATAAAACACACATATTTGTATTCAGCGATGTCTCACGTGTAAAACCGTACCTCCTATATACAGGTTTTATGGTGTTTTGGAAAGTTACAGGGTCATAGCATGTTACATTTTTCAGTTTTTTCACATGGAAATTCACCAGATTGGTTACGATGCCTTTGAGACCATATGGTAGCCCAGGAATGAGAACTAGTCCCATGATGGCCTATTATTTGCAAAAGTAGACAACCCAAGTTATTGCAAATGGGGTATGTCCAGTCTTTTTTAGTAGCCACTTGGTCACAAACACTGGCCAAAGTTAGCGTTAATATTTGTGTGTGGGGGGAAAATGCAAAAAACTAATTTGAACGCCAATTTTGGCCAGTGTTTGTGACGAAGTGGCTACTAAAAGACTGGACATTCCCCATTTGTAATACCTCGGGTTGTCTACTTTTGCAAATGGTATGCTGTTATGGGGGTAATTCTCATTCCTGGGCTACCATACGATCTCAAAGGCAACGTAACTAATATGGCGAATTTCAATGTGAAAAAACTGAAACACAAGCCTTATATTTGACTCTGTAACTTTTAAAAACTCCATAAAACCTGTACATGGTGGGTACGGTTATACTCAGGATACTTCTCTAAACACAAATATTAGTGTTTCAAAACTGTAAAATGTATCGCAACAATTGTACCGTCAGTGTAGGTGCCGTTTGTGAAAAATGCAACAAAGTCACTTTCACTGATATCGTTGTAATGCATTTTACTGTTTTGAAACCCTAATATTTGTGTTCATCGAAGTCTCCCGAGTAAAACAGTACCCCCCATGTACAGGTTTTATGGTGTTTTGGAAAATTACAGGGTTAAATATAGTGCTAGCAAATTAAATTCTCTGGACTTTCTGCCTGGATTATCAGGCTGGTCCCACAAATTGTAATTAATAAAATGACTTAATTATGTAAAAATATTACATAAATATATACGTAGAATTAAAATGGAAAAATAAATAAAAATAAAATAAAAATATGTATGTGTATGTATGTGTGTGTATTTGTGTAAGGGGCAATTAGCCATATATGGAGTGAGGTTCAAGTGAGAACGTAGGATAGAATAAAAGAGCAAAGTCGGTTGTGGTGTGCCAATACGGTAGGCCTGTAAATAAAGAGGGCCCACCAAGAAGAAATAAAAGTAAGATAGAATTGAAAAGAAAGTGTTGTAAAGAGGAGCGGGTGGCAGGGTCATTCAGGCGCTGACCTTGAACGGTGTGGAGTCAGGTAAGGGTTGTACTTTATATAGGGGAGTGAATTAATTTAAGCCCCTCCCACAAATACAGGCCAAAGGGCCTTAATACTTGTGTAAGGGGCAATTAGCCGTATATGGAGTGAGGTTCAAGTGAGAACGTAGGATAGAATAAAAGAGCAAAGTCGGTTGTGGTGTGCCGATACGACGATACGGTAGGCCTGTAAATAAAGAGGGCAAAAATTGAATAACCAAAGATTTAATACAGTCAACAATTCTATACAATTATCCAGACATTCCTTTAAAAGCATTTCTTAAGTCTTGTGTAGGTTTTGGTATGTAGGTTGTGTAGGCGGATGACTATTTTTATGTATATAGATATATTATTACGTTCTAAGTGTATTTTGATATCAAATTACATATATATATAGTGCATTGATACAATAGGGTACAATAAAATACAACAACATTAATACACAATATATACAAAATTTAATATAGAACAAGTAGGAAATATATAATTAACCATGACAGGTGCATTCTGTTTTGAGGTATGTAGAGAGGGATCTCTTAAAGGACTTTAGGCTTGGGGAAGATTTTAAAGTGTGCGGGAGGTTGTTCCATAAATGTGGTGCTCTGTAGGAAAAAGGGGGATCGGGCTGCTTTCTTTTTGTATTGAGGTAGACTAAATAAAGTGCTAGTACTGGATCAGAGGTTATAGGAGGTGGGAACAGTTGGAGAGAGCATTCTGCTCAGGTAGGGCGGGAGCTTCCCAGAAAAGCTTAGACACAAGGCTGGAAAGATGAAGGGTGCGTCTGGATTCCAGCGACAGCCAGTTTAGTTCTTTTAGCATGTCACAATGGTGGGCCCTGTAATTACATTGTAACACAAATCGGCAGAATGAGTTATACAATGTATTAAATTTATTAATTTGGGATTGCAGTGCAGGTGCATATACTACATCCCCATAATCAATAACTGGCATCAGCATTTGCTGTACAATCTTTTCCTTTACTGTAGGGCTTAGGCAGGATTTGTTTCTGTACAGGGCACCTAGTTTTGTGTGTGTGTGTGTGTTTTGTTTTTTTAACTGTGTTTTAACTTTATTTTACTTTATTTCTTGCACCAGGGGGACTGCCTGTCCTTTCAGGCACTCCCCCTGCTGGCACTGCTATGGCTATTCCGTCCATGTGATCATTATGTCCTCACAAGGACCTCGCGATCACATGGCCCAGGAGGGCCGGATCAGCAGCAGGGGGACTCCCTGGGATGTGATTGTCAGTAAGCAGGTAAGTTCCCTTGATTGCGTGGACACGCTATGTCGCCCGCTGGCATTTAAGCCGGGTCCCCAAGGACGGCATAGCACGACTGCCGTCCTTAGGAAGTTAAGCAAGGATAATCCTCTATGCATAGTTTACTTTGTTGCAAATCCACTTTTGTAATTCAAACTAGAAAAAAAACATTCTTGGGCAACAAGCAAAAAACAGATCAAAAAAACTAAAACTCTGAAAAGCAAAAAAGCTTTGCCGAATTATGCTATCAGAATGTCTTTGAAGGGACACTATAGGCACCCAGACCACTTCAGCTCATTGAAGTTGTTTGGGTGCAGTGTCCCAGCATCCTTAACCTTGGAAAGGTAGTTATTGCAGTTTCTAATCGACTGCAATAATTACCTTTATGAGTTAACTCCTCCAGTTGATGTCTACTAGACATCCACTAGAGCAGGGGTTCGCAACCCAGTCCTCCATGACCTCCACAGGAATTACCTGTGTGTGTCTAAGGTTTTTTTTTTTTTTCTAAACAATTTAGACACACCCAGGTAATCCCTAATTCCTGGACTGGTAAGGGGCCCTTGAGGACTGAGTGACTTCGGGATCGTTTGGCGACTTTTGGTCGCCAGACGCAGCATGAGGACTTCCAATGTCACCAGAATCCCCTTTGGAAAGCATTAAATAATGCTTTTCTATTGGGAAATCATAATGAAAGTGCGGCCATTACTGGCAGTGGAGGCGGGAAAGGAGTGGCGGTCGGACCCGAGCTAGCGCTGAGGGACATTGGTGCTGGACCCAGGTATGTTACTCAAGGTGTTTTTTGTTGTTGTTTTTTCTTTTTTTTACGGGGTTCATGGATTACAGGATAAAACTTACCAGGAAAGGTTGAAGGATCTTAACATGTATAGCTTGGAGGAAAGAAGAGACAGGGGGGATATGATAGAAACATTTAAATAAATAAAGGGAATCAACACAGAAAAGGAAGAGCACTATACTTAAAAGAAAAACTATCACAACAAGAGGACATAGTCTTAAATTAGAGGGGCAGAGGTTTAAAAATATCAGGAAGTATTACTTTACTGAGAGGGTAGTGGGTGCATGGAATAGCCTTCCAGCTGAAGTGGTAAAGGTTAACACCGTAAATGAGATTAAGCATGCGTGGGATATGCATAAAGCTATCCTAACTATAAGATAAGGCCAGGGACCTAATGAAAGTATTGAGAAAATTGGGCAGACCAGATGGGCCGAATGATTCTTATCTTCCGTCACATTCTATGTTTCTATAGAGCCAGGAAACCAGCTTTGTTTCCCTTTAAATCTGGAAATGTATTCAAATTGGCACATCTAATCATATCCATAGTTTATCTTCTGTACATTGTCGCAGTTCTATACTTGTTTTCTTAGGTGCCTCATGCATACTGTTATAAACGTACTCCAGAATTTTATTCTTTAATGAAGAGATGAAAGTATAACTTTGGAACAATTTCAGCAAAGTGCACCAATTTCCTCCATTGCAAGACAGAAATTTTACAGCTTAATCAACTAATTGGAAATCTCAGAAATCTAAGCTCTTTTCCATTCCATAAAATAAATAAATAAAACATAAAAAAGCTATGCAAAGTGAGTGACAATCCTCAGCTATGAGATTCTTTGTAACTAAACTCTTCATGACACTTTTCAAACAAAGGATAAAACCTTTAATTTACCTTAAAGGGACACTATAGTCATTTAATGAAGCAGTTTTGTCTATAGATCATGCCCCATCAGTCTCACTGCAAAATTCCATGCTATGAGTTAAATCACTTTGTTTATGCACCACCTAGTCACACCTCCATGCATGTGACTTACACAGCCTTCCTAAACACTTCCTGTAAAGTCATCGAATGTTTACGCTTCCTCTATTGAAAATTATTTAATTTAGATTCTCTATTCTCCTGCTCTGTTAATAGCTTGCTTAACCTCCTTTATGTAATTAAAGTAAAATTTACAGAGCAGGAGATGGTTTATTTATGTATTCATTTCTAAATCCGTTACATCGCATTGAAAATGAAACAATTTTGTTTGCATGCAGTCTGTGTCAGTCAAAGCCAGGGGAGATGTGGCTAGGGCTGCATAAACACAAACAAAAGTGATTTAACTCCTAAATAATGACTTAAGCAGTGAAACCTCAGAGGCATGGTCTTTACACCCAAACTGCTTCATTAAGCTAAAGTTGTTTTGCTGACTAAAGTGTCTCTATAAAAGAACACTATATATATATATATATATATATATATATAATATATTATAGCATTAAGAATACAACTATGTATATGTAAGGCTGTGGAGTTACCCTACTTATTTTGGTATCCAGCCCACTTGTAAGGTTTTAAAGCTGGAGTTTAACTTCCCTTTATTCCCTTGCCGTGCTGGTCTTGCTGTGGCTGCTCTGATATTGTGGATGAGTTCATGGAGATCGATGATCTCAGCCAATCCAACACTTCCCAGTAGTGAAGCATTGGGAGTCTAGTGTGCATGTGCGGCAATTCGCCATGCTGTGCCCTCATCTTTAGGAGTAGCATGTGATTGAGAACAGTCTGACACCAATTCAGGAGTAGAAGGGAGGAGGGCTAACTGGGCATAAGCCGGATTCCTCAATGTCAAGCCTTCATTATGCTTACAGGCCGGTTACTTTTCCTGCCTGCAGTTAGACTAGGTCTTAATACAAATGTGATCAGAGGGTTCAAGTCACATTAAAATTGAGACTTGTTTCCAGCCAGAGGACTGCATTCAAGGTATGCAAAGTCAAAAAATTGTCGCAATAACATGGATGGAGAAGCTAAGGCGATACAAGTCAGTCCATCTCGGCTGTCAGGCCCTACCCAGATCTAAATTACTTTATTTTCTCCAACAACTTGTATAAATTGCTTTCCATCAGTCACGAAGTTTTACAAAAATACATTTGGTGTAACTAGAGAATTAAGTCTTCATACATAAAATAGTTTAAACTATTACGTTATTTTGTGTGTGTGTGTGGTGTCCCCTTACAGGATATAAATGGTCTTAGAAATTATCTAACCCCAGGTGTGTGTGTTACTAATGTTTAACTAGGAAGAAGCTGAATTGACATTTTGGGTGAGAATAAAGTTGATATTGTTATTGTGGGTGGTCGTCTGTGTGAGGCTTGATATGTGAATGAGAGAAGTCCACATCATAGGGCCGAAGCATGCTTTCCTATATGATGTATGGTCCCTAGAACTGCTACAACACAACACAGCAAAGAATGTACATGGAGCTAGATTTAAATACTCCATATTCTTAGAGTATGGCGCATTCTTTGTGAAATATATATATTTTATTTTTTTACTTTTTCAGGGTTCAATATGGAAGCTCCGTTTAAGATTGTTTGGGACAAAAAAAACAGAGGATCTAGACCTTGTGTGCCCCAAGCCTAAAATCATAAAGCCTAGAGTAATTTCCCGTACCCAGAAGCCAAAGACTTTCAGGAATGCCTCTGTATCAGTTGTGCCTAGCAACTTGGCTGGGCCTACAAACCAAACCTTATTTTTGAATACTATAGTAACTGGAGAAACCGTGACATTGGGGAGAACCATTTCACACCAAGAAAAAACACCGAAGGAATTATCATCTTCTGGACTGTCCCAATTAAAGACAGAAATCCTTCCCACCCAGAACCCCCAGTGGAGTTTGACAACCAAATCTGTTGCCTATGTCACAGACGCTGGAATGGTTTCATCCATGCACTTAACACACAAAATGCCTGCTGTCTCCACACTGCAAACTGGAAACATGGGTATATACGTATTGCTACTATTGTAGCATCTAACTCCCTAACTTGTGACTTCTTTCACTACTATAGCACTTCCCTCTTGTCTTTATAAAAGTTTAACGTGTTTAATGTTGCAGGACTTCTGTCTTCTGCACAGTGTCTTGTGTCCTCAGAGAAGGTCCCTTGCCTGGATATTACAGCATCTCATGATAGATGCATCCACTCACGCTGCTGTTATGACCCTCAGGATGCCCGGACTCCTTGTTATCATGGACATACAGGTGAAAGTGGTGCTACAATTTATAATGTAAAAAGGGAAAGCATAATAAGTTTAAAAAAAATAAATAAAAAAATTGATCTGAAACTTTCATTATAGTATCTTTGCAGTGCTATTCTGATGGACGTTTCCGCCTGGTTATCTCGCGCCATGTAACTCATCCTCCCCTTGTGTTGGCTTCTGTCGTTCTGAGACCTTCAGGGTGCCCTTCACTCACCTTCAGAAATGGGCAATTCTTGGAATTCAGAGGCCATCTGGAACAGTGCAGCACACACAGGGTGAGTTGATATTTTAATCGAATGCTATCTTTTCCATTGGTACGGTTTTAGTAGACACTGTCTCTCTTGCAGTTTTTGGAAGGTAAACTTGTGTATGAGTTTTCTCTATTGGCAAGCCAGAATATTCTGTTCTCCTCAAAAGGATCTATCACCCGCGACACAACTGTTACGTGAGTGTTACTTAAAGTACGGAACTGCACACAAAGTAGCATGCATTCTAAACTGTAAATTAGTTTAACGGTTTCTCTGTTTCTCTTAGTTTACTGTCCTGGTGCACATACCCCAGCACTGTGTCAAAGTCTCTTGTCCCAGTTGTGGAATCTCCAGTTCCTGTTGCATCTGTGACAAAGATCTCTGCACTAAATCTTGAGCTGCGCATTTCTAAAGGTGTGTACATTTTAATTAAATTATTTTTCTGAAAGGGATTTGTTGACCACAAGGAATGCTTATTTGTCATGTCTAAATGCATACATTTAAAGGGACACTACAGACCCCTAAAGCTTGCCGAAGTGCTTTGTGTGAAGTGCCTGCAAACAAAACCGTACATATTTTAATATAAATTGTCACTTTTATAAATGGACTTTGTCACAATTCCTGTTTGTCAATCAGATGACCAATGCTCTTCCTGGTTGTTTAGCTCAGTGGAGCTAAACTCAGAAGGCAGGCAATCGTTCAGGACACCTGCTTTGCACTGGGAAATCTGTAATTGGACAGCGAAAAGGCATTGTTTACATTACAGCCTAGGGACACCTCCAGTGGCCACTCCTCAGATGGCTGCTAGAGGTGCTTTCTAGCACAGTGCTGCAAACTGTGCCAATTGCATGGAGACACTGATCTTTCCTCATTCCATTCCATTCCCCAACCTCCACCAGAGTAACCAGTGGCACAATGGACACTCAGAGGCAAACTCAGTGGACCCCACCCCTCCAAACATTAATAGACCACTCTCCTCCTGCACCCCCAGAGCTTTTGTAGAGTGTTTGCATCCTCCTGGCTCTGGCTGCACACTTGGCACAAGTGTACATTCCTGACGCCCACTGTTACACAAAGGTCCTTGCATAGTATTATTCCACAGGGCTCACGGCATCAGGGACAATTGACTCTGGATCCCCTTCAGAATCCAGAGAACGATGCATCACCCTTCCAGTGGGCAGGCAGCTAAGGGCCAACAGCAGCAGGTTGGCAGTCCTCGAGCAGAAGAGCATCATGATGCAGCCCTTAATAGTAGGTGTGCATCAACTCAGTCAGCAGGGATGAGACATCCTATTGGGAGAGATTACCAACTTTAGTGGTGACCCAAGTGTCCAGTGCGAGGGCCCTCTCCCACCCCCCCCCCTCAGGAGGAAGCTGCCAGGCCCTGCCTCCATGCTTCCAATTTTCCATTAAACTAGAAAGAAATTCATTCTTGTCCCCAGAATGGCAGTCAGATGGTTTCCTGGATCAAGAAGCTATTACCCCACTAATGCAAAAACACAATATTAAGAGATAATTTTGAAACTATTGTGATAAGGTGAATGGGGTGGTCTGTAAGAGAGTTTATATTTCGACTGAATTGTTCAGAGGCATATGACTTTTAACCCCAGGGGGAGTGTGTGTTTGTGTGTATATAACCGAAATGAATAGTTATGGGCCCCTGGGGTGGAGCATTTGGAGAGCAGGGTGGGCCAGTGCTCCACTCCGCAGTTTGTTTTTTCTTTGGAGACTAGGTCCAGACCAGGGTTTGGACTGTCTCCAACCCACTGCTCAGCTGCAGGTAATCAGCTGCAGCAGTGGGAATAAACCCCTCCCTGCTAGGCAGGTAGGGGAGAATGTTTGTTTCTCTCTGGAAGGCTGGAAGCAGCAGGCTGGCTAAACACTGGAGTGCAGAGAGCTGACAAAGACACTAGGTTGGTGAAACCAATATTTTGTTATACTTTAACCCCTGAGAGATAGGGAATCTGATGTTAGTTAGTGCTCAGACGAGCTAGGTTTTTGTTTATAGGGATTTGTTTTTTTTTTATTTGCTGCTGTCTCTGTAGTGAAGCTCAACAATAAAGTTCCCAGAATAAAAGTTACTTTTAAAGACTGTGCATGTTTGTACCCAAAAGGACCGTGCTAACTGCAGACAAGGATCACACTATTTATCCAATTAGTGTTTAAACATCTGTAAACTCTGGTAAAACCACCTCTTCGGATGGAAAATTACAGATCCTTATTGTTTCACCTGTAAAAAATAAAATAATAAATTTGTTTGTCTTGGACTAAATCTTTTCATTCTGTGTAAATACATGACCTCGTGTCCTATGTATAGTACTGCTTGATTTCCAGACAATGGTTTGTATTGGCCATGAATAGATTCGTATAGTGCCATCATATCCCCTTTGAGTCACCGTTTTTCCAAACTAAAGAGATTTACATTTGTTAAGCTCTCTTAATGCTCCATTCCTTTTATCAGTTTTGTAGCCCACTTCTGCACTTTTTCTAGGGCCATAATATCTTTCAGAACAGGTGCCCAAAATTGCACAGCATATTCAATGTGTGGTTTTTACCAGTGATTTCTAAAGAGGTTAAATTATATTTTCATCCAAAGAATGACCCTATTTATACGTAACAGTATCTTGACAGCTGCTGATTCACATTGCGCATTGTTGCCGAGTTTATCTATAACGATTCCCAAATCCTTCTTGTGTGTTCCTATACTACAATTTTGAGTGTAAATTGCTTGTGATTACCTTTGCATTTTTCTACATTAAATTTAATCTGCTATTTAAGTGCCCAGTCCCCCAATCTATCTAAATCCCTCTGCAGCAAAGCAGTATGCTGCTCACATTGTATTACTTTACAGAGTTTTGTGTCCTCTGCAAACACTAAAACATGACTTTGATTGCCTAATTCAAGATAATTTATAAATGGGTTAAATAAAAGCGGTCCCAGAACAGAACACTGAGGGGGACACGACTTACCACTTTTTGTCCAACTTAAAAATGTACCATTAACGTTAAGCCTCTGTAAGTTATCTTTAAGCCAATATTCTACCCAAGAACAAGTATTTTCGTCTAGACCAATTTTTTAGTTTGAACACTAACCTATTGTGAGAAAGCGTATCAAATACCTTGGCAAAATTCAAGTGGATCACATTCACTGCAACACCCTGATCTATACTTCATAATATTTTGTAGAATGTAATTAGTTTTGTGTTTCATAAAACCGTGCTGAGTATTGATAATAACAATGTTCTTCCAAATTAATTACCGACTATTTTCCTTTAATAATCCTTCAAATACTTCCCCAGCCACAGAAGTTAAACTCACAGGTCTATAATTTCCAGGCTAAGATTTTGAACCCAAGATGCTACAAAGGAGCTTGTCCATGCTTTAGTAATTTCCTGCATGGATTATTGTAACAGTCTCCTGATTGGTCTTCCCAAAAGCCATATTGCCCCGGTCAGTGGCGGCTCTAGACTTTGAGGCCTTAGGCAAAACTCAAACAAGAGGCCCCCCCACTAATACTCATAGTAAAAAACATATAGGGGTTGCATCGTGTGTATAATGAGCTGTTGTTATATTTAATGACAGGCTTGCGGTGTTGAATACAGAGAGCTAGTCTCTGTATTCAGTGTTGGGGTGAGTGTGGCACGGTTGAAGGAGAAAAAGTGACAGGGCAAGGGGAGGTAAGAGTGACAGGATGAGGGAGGGTTATGTGACAGGGTGAGTGTGGCATGGCTTGGCAGGATGAGTGACAGGATAGAAGTTAATGTGATAGGGTGAAGGGGGATGAGTATGACAGGGTTGGGGTTATGTGTTACACGGCTGGAGGAGGAAGTGTGACAAGGTGAGGGGAAGTGAGTTGGACAGGATTATGTGACAGGGTGAGTGTGGCATGGTTGGGCACAAGTGAAAGGGTTAATGTGAAAGGGTTGGGGGTGAGTGTGACAGTATGAGAGAAGATGAGTGTGATAGGGTGAGTGTGGAAGAGCGAGGGCTGTTAATTGTGGTATGGATGGAGGGGGTGAGAACGACAAGATTAGGAGAGGTTAATGTGAGCGAGGCTGGGTGAAGAAGGCATGACAGCATGTGGGCAGTGACAGTATGTGTGTGGAATTGTGACGGTGGGTAGGTGAGTGTGTGGGAGGCAGTGTTGGAAACAGTGACAGTGTGTGGGAGGGGTGACTGTATGTATTGGTGACATAGTGTTGGGGGCTAACAAAATGGGGTGCAAGTGTGTGAAAGGGTAACAGGGTGAGGGAGCAGTGTGGAGGAATGTGACAGTTTCGGGGGCAGGGTGTGAGTGGGTGACAGTGAGGAGGAAGATGACAGTGTGGGGTGGCAGTGTGGAGGATGGTGACAGTGTGGGGGGACAGGGTGTGTTACAGTGTGGGAGGGCAGTGTATGTGGGAGGGCAGTGTATGTGGGAGGGCAGTGTATGTGGGAGGGCAGTGTATGTGGGTGGGCAGTGTATGTGGGTGGGCGGGCAGTGATTGGGCAGTGAGGATGGCGGGGCAGTGAGGGTGGCAGGGCAGTGATGGGGCAGTGAGGGTGGGCAGTGATGGGGCAGTGATGGGGCAGTGTGGGTGGGCAGTGATGGGGCAGTGAGGTGGGTGGGCAGTGATGGGAGGACAGCGGCAGTGATGGGGCAGTGAGGGTGGGAGGGCAGTGATGGGGCAGTGAGGGTGGAGGACAGGCAGTGATGGGGCAGTGAGGGTGGGTGGGCAGAGGGTGGGAGGACAGGCTGGCAGTGATTGGGCAGTGAGGGTGGGTGGGCAGTGATGGGGCAGTGAGGGTGGGTGGGCAGGAGGTGGAGGCGGCAGTGATGGGGCAGTGAGGGTGGGCACAGTGATGGGGCAGTGAGGGTGGGGTGGGCAGTGAGGGTGGGAGGACAAGTGGGTGCATGGGGGCAGTGAGGGTGGTGGGGTGAGTGGGTGGGAGGACAGGCTGGGCAGTGATGGGGCAGTGAGGGTGGCAGTGAGGGTGGGAGGGCAGTGATGGGGCAGTGAGGGTGGGTGGGCAGTGATGGGGCAGTGAGGGTGGGTGGGCAGTGAGGGTGGGTGGGCAGTGATGGGGGAGGGTGGGAGGACAGGGCAGTGGGGGGGAGGGCAGTGATGGGGAGGGCAGTGATGGGGCAGTGAGGGTGGGAGGGCAGTAATGGGGCAGTGAGGGGGAGGGCAATGGGGCAGTGATGGGGAGGGCAGTAATGGGGCAGTGATGGGGAGGGGGAATGGGGCAGTGAGGGTGGGAGGGCAGTGATGGGGGGAGGGCAGTGATGGGGCAGTGATGGGGGAGGGCAGTGATGGGGCAGTGTGTGTGGAGGCTGTGACAAGCCTCCACACACTGAAATACCTTTTTATTTAATAGAATTCCCTGGTGGTCCGGTGGCAGCAGTCCCTGGTGGTCCGGTGGGATGACTTCCGTCTGCAGCTCTGCGAGAGCTGCAGACCTTGTTCTCGCGGGCGCCTGTCAGAGCGTTGCCGTGGTAACCCGCGGCAACGCTCTGTGTGCTCGCAAGAACCACATTATGTGATCTGCAGCTCTGCACTCGGCGGAGCTGCAGATCAGAGGTTGGCTCTCCCTGTGGGCAGACCGTGTGGAGGGGCCACCCGGCGGCATACTGGGTAAGCCGCCGGGCCCCCTCTCACTGTCGGGTCCTCAGTCATGGACCAAGGACCCGACAGTTCAGTCTGCCCCAAGGCGATTTAGGCGGCCGCGAGGCCCCACAAAGCGCGAGGCCTTAGGCGGCCGCCTAAATCGCCTAATTAGAGAGCCGCCTCTGGCCCCGGTACAGTCTGTAATGAATGCCGCCGCCAGACTGATTTTCCTCTCTAGTCGGTCCTTTCACACCTCACCTCTCTGTCCTTACATTGCCTTCCTGTATCCTATTGGAGTCAATTCAAAGTGCTAACCCATACATATAAAGCACTGAAGAATTCTAGCCCCTCTTATCGCTTCACAGATCCATAGGTATGCCCCTTCTCGGTCCCTCCGCTCTGCCCATGACCACCTCCTGTCCGCTGCTCGCACCTGTACAGCCAAAATGCGCTTGCAGGACTTCTCGCGGGTGGCTCTCTTCCTATGTAATAGCCTACCCCAACCCTGACTCTCCCCTATTCTTCAATCATTTAAGAAGTGCCTTAAAACCCATCTCTTTAGGAATGCTTATGGCCTCTCAGAGTAACCTATACCTCACATTCCTGTCGCTTGCTCTCTACTTGTCAAGGTTATACTCCCCAACACGCAAACCAGAGAACAATAAAGGCAAACACAGACGTATTACCGGACCTTAAAGTGGCCGGACTTAATGTAGGAATGAGAGATAAGAATAGTCAAACACGCCAAGGTCAGGAATACAGAGATACAGGAAAACGAAATAGACAGAGCCAAGGTCAGGGAGCCAGAAATAAGAATAACTAATAAACAAGCCGAAGTCAGGAACCAGAGAAAAGACAACTACTAAGAACGCATTCTCTGGCTAGAATAAACCACGACAGTGCAAGGAAGTGATGTCAGAAGGAGGTTAATATAGGGCAAGGTGAATGCTGATAGGCAGGGACAGAATTGAAGGAGGTATCAATAGATAGTGGCAATAGGTCACTATCTCTTTAAATTTGGAGTCCACGATATCCCTGCCGGCTACCTTGTGCGCGTGCGCACGTCCCCGGGCGCTCTCCCAGATGCGTGCGCGCCCCCGGAGGCGCATGCATGCGACACCCGCCAGTGATCCACACCTCCCGAGAGGACGGACGGCGGGACCAGGATGGCGCGGGACACCAGGTATGACACTACTCTCCTCCAGCTCTGCTTCCCTCCCACCTTATTTGATATTTCTGTCCTAATGTGTTTTATACCAGACATCCTATAGACTGTAAGCTCGTTTGAGCAGGGTCCTCTTCAACCTATCGTTCTTGTAAATTTTCTTGTAATTGTCTTATTTATAGTTAAGTATCCCTCTCATATTATTGTAAAGCACTACAGAATCTGTTGGCGCTATATAAATGGTGGTGATAATAATAACCCTTTTTGAATATAGGAGCCACATCTGCCTTCCTCCAATCCTCTGGTACAGTTTCTAGAAGAAAAGAATCGTTTGCATATCTTTCCCTAGAATCCTCCTTAATCTATACTGAAGAAAGTTATTTAAAATTTCTGCCTTTTTCTGGTCTTCATGAACTCACACCCGTCTGTTTTCAGTGTACCCACACTTTCTTATTTTTTATTTATTATTTTAGAATTTGTCAAATGTTTTGGGGTATGTTTTGCTTTCTTTGGTGATCAATTTCTCATTGTAATGCATTTAAAAGGGCAGTAATTGAGGGGGCGGGGCCTGACAGCGAAGATGGCCAGACGCACTTTTTAGGAGCTCCTGCAATAACGGACCCAAAAGCGAAAATACCAATTGACAGGACCACATAAGCGGCAAACAGGGATCGGGAGCAGACGCATAACAGCACCCAGCACACGATGATACAAACCTGGCACCGATACGCCGCGGAAAAACTGCAACAGGCCATGTGGCCTAACCTAGCGCAGAGCACAAGGCCCAAGGAAGACAGCCGACCTCCCTGCACGGTACGAGCTCCTACGCAACAGCCCAAAGCAGCCCTGCTGCGCCCCCCCCCCCCCCTTGGACCGGTAGGGGACATCCCGGTCCTCGATGGGGAAGATTACCTCCACAAGCACACCTGAACAAGCAGCGAACTCGCCAAGCAAACGAACTCTGCAGGGCCCGGCCAAGATGGCGGCCCCAGGCCAAGCACCCGAGCATCGCACCACCCAAGCACACAAAGGACTTTGTGGACTTGCTACGATTTCACCTCTGGGCAATGCTTAAAGCCAGGAGACAACTCTACCAGAGGGCGATGAGAGCGGTGGCGGTGTGGATTCGCCCGACCATCTGGCGTACCTTGCAATGGACTCCCCCTCACAATGCCAGAGCAGCCTCCAAACTAAACTGGCGCCCAAGCTCAAGCAGGCGGGAAACGGCGCAGGGCCTTCTGGACGCCAATTCTCACGACCCGGCACCGCAGAAGAAGATCCAGCATACTTCTCACTCAGCGGCCACAGAAAACGAGCAGCAAAGCATAAGCCTGCACACAGCGTCCCACAAAGCCTGGTGCGCCGACGACCGAAAAGCAACTAAGCTAGATCCAGGGAGACGCAACAGGCAGAAAACCCACCCATGACCTATCTGGGAGGAGACCCAGACGGGACTCTTACCCAACTGCACAAGCAAGGCTGCCAAAATGGGCATTGGTTGAAACAACGGAACCTCAAGCACCACACGGCCTATGGCCGACAACCCTGCCCATGAAACAAAGACTGATATTTCCAGCAGACGGAGGCAAGGCATTTATATCGTGCTTAGTGTTAGGCATGTAACCTCTCTATACCTAACTGACTCTCAGATAACAAGCTAAAATTATTGTTTATTTCTCTGCACTTACCCTTAACATCAGAACCGGCCTAGTGCATGCCAACATACTGTTGCCCCTGTGATTCTGAAGTGACAGAATGCCTTGGAAATTTATACTTTTCTCTTATCTGCAGCCTACACTAACTACAGGAAAAAATGTGACGCGAATTACTGTTGTCTATATTTTTACTTTTTATGAATCCTGCTGCTGAGACCAGTATAGCGAGGGAACAGAATTGTTAATAGTCCTTTGCATTGCCCTTGCAGATACACTAGCTTATACTGTTACATTGCATTTGTGTTAAACAGGAGTTTCTCATTCTGTTAACTTAATATATGTATTCATGTTATGGTAGCCTAAATGTTTATCACATAGTTAGCAATACAGGGCAAACCGCCTTAACACTGTACCAGCGTACGTGAAGTTCTAATGTTAAGCCTTAACTAGCAACATATTGTCTAAGCATGTAAACTAGTACTCATACTCTTATTTCTTGAATCGTTACTCTTTAACTTAATTAAAAAAAAATAAAAAATGCAAACCTCACATGCCACAATACTGTTATGTTAAAACTATGAAAATAGAGTCTGCTGACGCCGTTGTGGCCATACAGGCACTGTTGTACTCACCTGCATATCAAAAATAAAGAGGAGAAGAAAAAAAAAAGGGCAGTAATTGCATTACTGACTTCCTTATATATTCTATAGGATGCCTAATTTGTCATTTTATTTATTTTAAAGCCCTTCTTCTCTTTAATCTCTTGGTATAATTTTCCACTAAGTCATATCCGTTACAATTAGATTTCATAAAATTTTTATCCAATAGTGCATAGTGATAAATGTACCTTTTTGAAATGTTTGAAGATCTTCCATTTATCCTCAGGGTTTTTTTCACTAGCGTTCATGCCAGTCAATATGTTGTAAAGCTGCCCATATCTTATTGAAACTGCATACCTAATGTGCTTTTGAGTTTTTCAAGACACCATATATGAAAAATATATCCCAAGTGTTGGTCAAAAGATCAACATTATTTAAAAATAAGGTGCGCTGAGTCACCGAGGAGGGACTTCACACACTGAGAGGAAAACCTGCCGCACACGTCATGTGCCCATGTGTGTTACTGCAGGTAGTTCAGCGGTGCGCTCCAACTGCCACCAGTGCGTGAGGACCCTACGAGGGGCGCGTGACGTGTGCGGCAGGTATTCCTCTGTGTGTGAAGTCCCTCCTCTGTGACTCAGCTTGGTTGCAGTTTCTATATCTATATTCTATATATTTGTATGTATTTTATCCCAGGAGGGGTTTTATTTGAAAGCTGTTAGAGCAGGCTTTCTCTGCTCTATCTTTGTGAGTGATCACTTTACTCATTATTAATTGGATTTGGTTTTATACAGATTTACACTATTAGTGGGTTTTTTTCTCTCCTTTTTATGTTTATATGTCATTGTGGAGAGGACATAATTATGTATGTATAAGTAAGTTTTTTTTTCACTTTATCACCAGTACACACAATTAGTGCACTTTATAATTCTGTGCACTTTATTACAAATTGCACTGGAGGCGCTCTCTAACACAGGCATGGCTGGTGATTAGTGGTCGCCCCGCGGGTGGCTGTAGTCCCCGATGGGCCGACATGAGTAGGTTGTTCCGTTAGATGCTTTGCCCGGTCGGTGCCCCTCCAGCTGCGCCTCGGTCTTTCAGAGGACAGATTCTTGGCTGGCTGTTGTGCCGGTGGTGCTCTGGCAATAAAGCAGACCTATGTTGTGGTTGGTGGCTGGCGCCTGCTTTCCCGGCGTTCCCAGAATCCCCTGCATACGACGTTAAATCTTGCGTGGAAGGCCGCTGGGTGTGGATTGGGCCGTGTTGGGAGCGGTGCTGTCGGCCATCTTGGTTTGGCCTCATGGCTTCCACCGGTTGGATATGTGCCTAGGGGGGAGGGAGGGAAGAATGCATTAAATTATGCGTTAATCAATGTATTCAGTAGGAGCTGCTGAGGTTTGCTTCCTCTCAGCTCTGCAGTCAGGCCCCGCCCCCCCGGCAGATGAAATTTAACATAGAGAAATGCAAAGTTATGCACTTCGGGGTCAAGAATGCACAAGAAACTTACAACCTAAATGGTAGGGAATTAGGGATAACCACACATGAGAAGGATTTGGGAATTGTTATAGACAACAAATTAGGCAGCAATATGCAATGTCAATCTTAAGTTGCTAAGTCCAGTAAGGTTTTGTCATGTATAAATAGGGGCATAAATTCTCGGGATGAAAATATATTTCTGCCTCTTTATAAATCGCTGGTAAGACCACACCTTGAATATGCTGTGCAATTTTGGGCACCTGTTCTAAAGAAGGGTATCATGGCTCTAGAAAAAGTGCAGAGCCGAGCTACAAAATTGATAAAAGGAATGGGGAATTGTAGGTTAAATTTAAATCTCTTTAGCTTGGAAAAACTGCTCCTGAGAGGGGATATGATAACATTATACAAATATATTCAGGGCCAGTAGAAGCCATTATCTGGAAATCTATTCATAAACAGGGCTATACATATTACATGAGGTCACACATTTAGGCTGGAAGAAAGGAGATTTCATCTAAGGCAAAGAAAAGTGTGTTTTTTTTTTGTTTTTTTTTACAGTAACAGTAATAAGGATATGGAATTCTCTTTATCAAAGTCCATACAGATGTTTAAACTGCAATTGGATACATATTTCCAAAACCATAACATACAGGGATATAATTTCTAATTAGTGGTGTAATAGCTGCTTGATCCAAGGAGACATCAGACTATTTTGGGGTCAAGGAGGATTTTTTTTCCTAGTTTGTTGCAAATTTGGAAGCGCTTCATACTAGGTTTTTTGCCTTCTTTTGGATCAACAGCAAAAACATATGTAAGGAAGGCTGAACTTGATGGACGCAAGTCTTTTATGCTGTGTAACTATATGCACCCTGCTGTTTTGAATGGAATTGGACTGTGCTACCCTTACCTTAGATATTGTGGATCCCACTAAGTAGAGACTTAACATTATTGACATTTTGCTTTGAATGGCTTGTCTTTTCTTGAAATACGGTGAACTGTCCATTTTGTGTTCTCCTCTTTCTCCCCAATTCTTACCCCATTGTTAATTTGCAGAAAGTGGCCCAATTGTTCTAGGAGAAGACTTTCACACCAGTTCCAATTGGCTGCCGTGGAAATTCCCTTAAAGGAACTTCACTAGGTATTCCTAAATGTGTATGCCTAACACTATAGTGTAATTTAGATGTTGGCTGACCTTCCCTCCCTTCAAGCACATGAAAATATATATATATATTTTTTTTTTCCTTTTCTCCAGTGCTGTGGTACTCTCAGCAGCTGGTCTTGCCTCCATTGTTGAGATCAGATTAGCCCAGCCAATCCAATTATTTCCCATAGGAAACAGTTAGGAGGCTAGTGCGCATACTCTGCTATATGCCACTCTGCGTCAATCATATGGTTCTAAGAGACCATCTGATAGAAATAGATGAGTTTTAAAGTGTCCCTTTAAGTCTCCCATATAGTCCAGTCATTAGCCACTTATCTCTGAGATGCACATTGGAGGTCCTTCAGAAAGAACATAACTTCACCATAAGTAGATTTATTTCTTTGTAGTATAGATGCTGATATTTGCTAGATTTGTTTGGTCTTGTCACCAGACTTTCTCCAGAGCCATCTTTCCCTCCAGACTTTCGCTGTTTGAATACCGCGCTAATTGATTCCTCAGCCTTCCCTGTTTGCGGCTTCTGTGTTTGCATCCACCCGTATGTGACATAATCGTGCTTGGAGCTCAAATCCCCCGACTGCAATCTCCCTGGTGTGTGTGTGTGTGTGTGTGTGTGTGTGTGTGTATGTGTATATATATATATATACACACACACACACACCTTGCGTTGGTTAAAAAGTGACAAAGTCCAAATGGAGGGGAAAAGAAACAATCGTGCATCTTGAACTTCCTGATTCCTGCATAGGAAGACGGCAGAGGAATCAATTTGTGCGGTAAGATGGCTCTTGAGAAAGTCTGGTAACAAGATGAAACGTGTGGAGCAAATCTCATAAGCATCTGCACTCCAAGAAAACTTTGATCTATGCACAGTGAAAGGATTTCTCTTTCTATCTCTCAAATCTACTGAAAACCACCTGCGTATGCCCCTTATTAAATACTGGGACTGCAAATAGGATACATGGGACCTTCGACGTGCACCTCATCAGAGATAAGCGGCCCCTTAGTGGGCAATGTGCATATAGCACAATTATTTTTGTGGAATTTACCTTGTCAGTTATGTATCCTTAATTTTGTATTAAATACTACACAGTACTTCTCTTTCTACTTTTGTCTCCTCAATATATTACCATTACATTTGAGCGTCCTCTGATCAAGACTTTATATATAAAAACCTGTTACAAGTAATACTTGACTGCACTGTGTGTGTGTAAAAAAAAATAAAAAAAACTCGGGTATCTTCTCTCCAAAAAGCGATGATCTTGCAGGTTGCAAAGTCGTTCAAAACCCCTGACCAAGTTGTCTGGAACCGCAAGGTCACCTCATGCTGAAACTATTCCATAACATCTGTGGCGAAGTACTGCTGAGGACCATTCGTGGGTTTCTTCACGCGAAGGCTGCCAGGGAGCTAACGTTCGGTTCCATTAAATGAAGGGAAGGTGCGGAACCAGGGGCACTGAGGGAAAGCTGCTTATGGCAGCTGTGCAGAGGAACTCCAGAACGGGGTCTCAGACCTGGACCATAGTCGGTGGGCAGGATGCCAGCTTCCACACTCCTCCAGGCATTCATGGCAAATGTCTGTGGAGAAGAGAGTTTGTCACACCTGGTTTAACATACCTGCTAGTAATTCCCATGGATGATACTCAGCGAATTCCAAACTGTAGACCAAATTAATTTTATAGGTGAGGAAACTAAATCCTTAGAGACAATCCACTGCCCAAATGAAATTCAAAATCAGTTTAGTAACTTTCCCTAATGAGAGCATATATGCATTTTTTTTCCTTTTAGGGCTATATCTAAAAGTAGCTTGTGCAAGCAGCAGATCTCTTATCTGTAGATTGGGTGAGGCAAATCCTCCCCTTCTAGCCTCACCCAAACCTTTCGTATCTTAGCTACACTGGGAAGTCTGATTGGACAATCAGACGTCTTTGCAAGACAGATGCTCTGATAAATTGCCTGCCTCTTGAGTTTAGCTCCACTGAGCTAAATAACCAGGAAGTAATGGGACTGATTTTCTGACAACAGGGTTAATTACTAAAAATACAGATGGAGCATGCACAGCAACGGTCATTCTGCTAGTCCGATGCTTCTCATAGAACAGCATTCGTTTCAGTGCTTCTTCATGATAAACATTGCCTTCTGCTTTGAACGAGTGAACAAAGTGAGGCAGGAAACTGCTCAGGTGGGTGCACATTTTGGACTTTTTTATAAAAAGGACTGATTTAAAGTAATATCTGTACTTTTGTAAAATAAGCATTTGATTAACCCTAAAGCACTTTCACAAACTGCATTGCTCTAAACTCGAGAGAACTAGTATTCAATTAAGATTGAAATACTTACATTGTCTGCACACATTACTCAAAAATGCAGCAATTCACTTTTGCTGCACTCTTCCGTAGAAAAGGAACTGTCATAGCTTATTCTTGAATGGTAGGGTAATTTCAAAATGAATAACTACTGGTACTATTGTATCAGCCTGCATTCTTATTTGCTTTGTATTTTCGTTCCTTAACCAAATGGCCTATTTTTGTTGCAGACTTTTCTTACACCTCATTTTTTTCACCTCTGGACTTTCCTTTGCGGGTACCTCTAGCCAACCTTATTTTTTTAGAGGTGCAACTTCTTCACCCTTATGATCCCAGGCTGCATCTTCATCTGCACGATTGCTGGGGAGCTCCAACTCTGAACCCCACCTCAGAAGTACAGTGGCCCCTTTTACACAATGGGTAAGCTCAAATAATAGCTAAAAGTAAAAAGAAATAGGGCATACATAATAGATTTATTTTAAAAAAGTGTATATGTGTGTGTGTGTGTATGTATGTGTTAGTCCAGTAAAAAGATTACAGAATACCAGAGTATTGTAATATGCAATGATACTTTTATATATTTTTTTAATTGGACGAACATATTACTTAAAAGACAAGCTTTCGAGAGTTGAAGCAATACTGATCAATATGATAGTTTAACATTTAAAACAACTAATATTGTCAGAAGGGGAGGGAGGGGGATACGGTGGGTTTCATAAATAGATGTCTGAGAGTGAAAGGGGCCAATTGTTTATTTACTTGTTCTGGCTATTCTCTACCAGAGGAGAGTCAATAAGCTAATAAAAAATAGGGCAGAAAAAGGCATAAAGCTCGATATGTGTATATAAATAGCTCAAATATAAGTGAAGCATTGAAGAAATATATACGACATTAAGATGTGACCGCTTTCATCTCAAGTCTTAGTGAGTTTTTAAAGTCCTCTTTTACTTTAACCTTGAGGGTTTAGATGTAGTTATCAGTCTAGGTAAAGTGATGTCCAACATTGGCCTGCAGCAAAATAACCCCAGAATATGAGCTTACACAGAATGGCACTGTACGATGCAACAAATCGCTCCGCAAACTGTGTCAACTTGTGTGGCAGTAACACAGCCAGGCACAATTGCAAAAAATACAACATTAAGGAATCCTATTTCTGCACATCTGCAAACATGGTATATATGATACTGTGTATAGCTTGTGAGTCTGGGGAGGGAGCCTGGCGCTGGAGAACGTGTTTAACCCCTTCAGCCCAGCAGGAGTGTGACCTTGAGGGTGGGGGGGACTTAAAGACCCTATAATGCCAGGAAAATTAGTTTGTTTTTCTGGCACTATAGTGGTTCTTTAAGCCTTGAGGTACTGTAAGCTGTGGTTGATTGCTTTTTGTTGCGCATAGGCCTGGGTGTAAAGCCTTTGGGCCCAGGTCTGAGGCATATTTGGATGCTTTCTTGCCATTTGGCTGGTAGAGCTTCTTCCTCCGTTTGATCCTGGCTCTTGCAGGGATCGCTGTCGCTCTTTTCCTCATGGCGCTGGGTGGCGGACGCCTATTTGAACCGCTTGTCGGCACATGGTGTGCAGATAAATGTATCCGCTCGCTCAGCATGCTCCAGAACCTTGCGAAGAGAAGATCCAGCTTAGTGAGGTTATTGGCAGTGTCTTGGCTGGGATCTCTAGCGCACGTACCTGAGAGTTCCGGAGTTTAGGAGGCTTGATGTCACCACTGCGGCGGCTTGCAAGGTATGTGAGTGTGTCTCTGGAATTAGGACCGGGATCACCCCTGCCGGTCCAAGTGGGGGGGAATGGGGCAGCAGTCGGATTTTTCTTTTTTTTAATTCTTTATTTATAGGTTTTTCGTTTGGAATGGAAGTGCGATACAGAAAGAAGTGGGGAGGGCGGGTATGAATCCAGACAGAACAATATGTGAAAGCAAATTTTGGTACCAACGCAGGGTACTATTTGACATTTGAGGAAGTGTACGTTTGTACCGGTTTTGTGTACTTATGATACAATTGTTTAAGACTTCTGCTATTTTTGAGTTCCCCACCGCTTCTGACGTGTTACCATGGGATGGTCGTGTCCCCCTCCAACCATGGGTCCCATATTTTATGGAATCTCTTGGGTGAGTCGTTGAGTTGTGCTGTGAGTTTGTCCATCTGCATGCCATCCTCTATTTTCTTAGTAACCGTGTCTTGTGTGGGTATGCGATTTGTTGACCAGACTTCCGCTATAGCTCGTCTTGTTGCTAGGGCTATGCGGGCGGCAAGCTTGTTTTCTGCTCTAGTGTATTGGTCTACTGGTTTAGATAGTAGGAGCATCCAAGGATCTCTAGGGCAAGGTTTGTTTAGGAGTTTAGAGATCAGTCGTGTGATGTCGTGCCACAGTGGCTGGAGCTTTGGGCACGTCCACCAACAGTGGAGGAACGTCCCCGTCTCCCCGCACTGCTTCCAGCAGGAGTTGGATGGGATGTGGTGCATAATGGCCAGGCGTTGGGGGGTGAGATACCATCTAAATAACATCTTGTAGGCTTGTTCTGTGTGAGTCACACAGATGGATATGGTAGCCGTTGCCTCCCATATGTCTGACCAGTCTGTCACGTCGTCTGGGGACCCAAGGTCTGCTTCCCATGCCGCAATGTATGGGAGAGATAGTTGTGTGTGGTGGGTAGCTATGGTTAGATATATGTCGGAGATTTGTCCTTGTCTGTTGGGGTGCATTGTGCAGTCTTTTTCGAAGCGGTTAAGCTGGGCCGTGCCGGCTTGTTTTATGATTGGGGTCGCTGCGAAACTGCGCAGTTGTATGTAGCGAAAGTAGTCGAATGTTGTGAGTGAGGATGAGTCTTGGATGTCCGTGAATTGTATGATGTCGTTGTTTTGGTATAAGTGCCCTAGTCGGGAAATGTCCCTATTTTCAAATTGGGCGAAATGCTTGGGGGTGAGTCCCGGTGGGAAGAGTTTGTTCCTCCAAATGGGGGTCATGGGGATAGGAACGACGAGAGTTCGAATTTGTCTCTCATTTTGTCCCATGTGTCGAGTGCATGGGTAATCGAGGGTGCGGTTGGGGGGGGGTAGGGGTCGATGTGGCTTGGGTATCCACATATACAAGGACGGGTGGTCCCGGCCAAAAATGTGTTCCAGATCTACCCATCTTTTTTCCCCTGGTGGTACATGCCAGTGTTGTATCTGCGATAGATGTGCCGCCGTGTGGTAGTGGGTAAAGTGCGGGAGCCCCAGTCCCCCATGTTTTTTGGGTATGTAGAGTGTGTTTCGGCGTACTCTGGGTTTGTGTCCATTCCAGATGAATTTGTCTATGGCTGTTTGTGGTGCCTTAAAGTCTTGTTTATGGATCGGTATGGGGAGGGTTTGAAATAGATATAAGAATCTGGGTAGGAGATTCATTTTGATTGTGGCGATGCGCCCCAGCCATGAGACCCCTAGGGATTTCCATTTAGTGAGGTCTGAGTGGGCTTTTTGTAATAAGGGAGTGTAGTTTGTTTTATAAAGGGTGGTGATGTCTGTTGGGAGTTGGATCCCTAGGTACTGTCATCGTTGTGTGGCAGATCCTCATCGGGCATATTTGTTTGAGTGTGGCTAGGTTTGGAGTGTCTATTTGTATTGGGAGGAGCTCTGATTTATTCAGGTTGATCTTGTACCTTGACAAGTCTGAGTATTCTTGGATAAGAGTTAGGAGCGAGTTTATAGATTTTTCTGGGTTTGTCAGTGTTAGCATGATGTCATCCGCGTAGGCCGAGATTTTAAAGGTTTCTCCCCTGATCGTTAGCCCCTCTATGTCATGGCTGGCACGCACCGCCTGCAGCAAAGGTTCTAGTGATATGGCGAACAGTAGGGGGGATAAAGGGCATCCCTGTCTCGTGCCGTTTGAGATGGGGAATCCTGGTGGGGGGATGTTAGGTAGCAGAAGTGCCCCTTGGGGAGAGTGATAGATGGCATGTAAGAATGAGGTAAACTCAGGTGGTATCCCTATGTGTGTTAGCGTATGATAGAGGAACAGCCAGAGCAAGCGATCAAACGCTTTTTCCGCGTCCAGTGAGATGATCGCTGTAGGGATTCGTCTGTGGTGAGCCAGCCATATGAGATCTATGGCTCTCCGGGTGTTGTCCGCAGCTTGCCTATGTGGGATGAATCCCACTTGATCTGGGTGTATGAGGGATCTTAGGTATGGGTTTAAGTGGTTGGCCATGATTTTGGTCATGATTTTAAGGTCCATGTTGAGTAGGGAAATTGGTCTGTAGTGTGCGGGTACAGAGTGGTCTTTGCCGGGTTTGGGGAGGAGGCAGATGTTTGCCCCGGTCATTTCTGGTGGAAGGGTCTCTCCCTTGAGTGCTGAGTTAAAGACCGCGCATAGATGTGTAAAGAGCAGTGGGCCGAATTCTTTGTAATATAGGGCTGTGTAGCCGTCCGGTCCTGGGCTTTTATTTGGTTTGAGGGATCCCACTGCCATGGTCACTTCTTCTGTCGTGACGTCTTGGCTCAGGGCTGCTTGGGCCTCTTGCGTCAGGTAGCGTCGTGCCTTGTAAGAATGTGTCTATGCGTGAGGACAGCGATGGGCTGGTGTCATGGGGTCGGTGGTCATGTTTATAGAGGTCTGTGTAATAGTCCTGGAAGACTTTTCCTATGCTAGTTGGGCAGCCTGTGAGGGTACCATCGTTCGCGCGTATCTTTGTAATGTGTTTAGCTTCAGTTCGTTTTTTAAGTCTGCGGGCAAGCATGGTGTCCGCCTTGTTGCCCTTTTCATAATATTTTTGTTTGAGCCACATCAGAGCTTTGGCTGTGTCTGCTTGTGTGAGGGTGTTACGGCGACCAGAAACCTCCTTAAGTTTGGACAGGGTGGTCGGGTTAGGGTTCTTTTTGTGTTCCGTTTCTAGGCGGCGGAGTTCTGTCATCGTTTCTAGTATTTGTCGTTGTGTTTGTTTTTTTTTATGGGTGGCTAGGTTGATGAGTGTGCCTCTGATGACTGCTTTAGGTGCTGTCCAGAGGGTCATAGGTGAGGTCGTTGTGGGTGAGTTTAAGTCGAAGTAATCTTTGATTGCTATAGCTATTTTGTCTCTAATCAGTTGATCATGAAGGAGTATTGGGTTAAGTCGCCATGACCAGTGTGTGTGTATGGTCGGTAGGTTTAGAGTGATTGCTATCTCGGCATGGTCGGACCAGGAAATTGGTCCAATCTCCGATTTGGTGATTTGAGATAGTAAGTTTGGTGAAATGAGAAAGTGGTCAATGCGTGAATAGGATCCGTGTGGGTGGGAGTAGAAGGTGTAGTCTTTGGTGGTCGGGTGTTGCGCCCTCCATATGTCAATCAGTTTGTGGGAGGCCAGGAATTGGGCGAAGAGGGCGTCGTTTTGGTTTGGGCGAGTTCGTGTTTTGGTGCTTGAAGCCCTATCTATGGTAGGCATGTGTACTGCGTTGCAGTCCCCGCCCACTGTAAGTCGTGTGGCTGAGTACGTGTTGAGGTGGGTCGCTAATTGTTGCCAGAAAGTTGTCTGGTGTTGTGGGCGCGTAGAGCGATGAAAAGGCGTATTGTGTTGTGCCATTTTTTCCCCGTATTGTGATGTATCTACCCTGTGGGTCTTTAGAACAGGTGATGTCTGTGAGGGGGCTGTTTGCTCTCAAAAGGATCGCTACACCTTTGGTCTTGGTGTCTGGGGAGGGGGCATGGAAGCTCTGTGTATAGTATCTGTTAGTGAGGGGGAACATGCGGTTGATTGTGAAGTGGGTTTCCTGTATGAAGACTATGTCAGCTTGTTGTTTGTGTGCCCAGCGTAGAATGCCATGCCTCTTGTTGGGGGAGTTCAACCCTTTGGCGTTGATGGAGATGCAGCGTATTTGTGTAGGCATGGTGTCTGTAGGAGTGTGGCGATCTCTGAGGGTTTGCAGTGATGGGTTATCCTGGATTGCGCGTCCGGGTGGCAGCGGGCCGCGAGGGGTGGAGGGGAGGGCGGTCGGGGTGAGGGTGTTAGCCTGGGTTAAGGTAGTGGAGGGGAGATATGGGGTAGAGTGTGCTGCTGGGCTTATCCGAGGGCCAGTAGGTTGTGGGGCGAAGCGTCCGACCGCTCCGTGGGTTTCCCCGCGAGTTCGGTTAGGTGTGTGTGTGTCGGGGGTTGGCGACCGTCCGGTCAGGGCCGTCCAGAGGCAGTTCTCAGTAGTCGCCCGCGGTACCGTGTGTGCTGTGGTCAGTCATCGTTGTGGTGTCGTTGCATCCGTGAGGTTAGCCCTCTACGTATCGTGCCGTGTGTTTGCAGGGTTGTACCTTGTGAGCCCGTGGGGCGTTGGTCTGGTCGTTAGTGGGTCTAATATTGGTTCGGTGGTGAGGGTGTTCTGTCACCGTCCAGTCGTAAGGTGTCAGCGTGGTGCCGTCTGCTGTAAGTGGCGTCCGTCAGCACGTGAGGTGGTGTGGGGTGTGTCGGTTAGCTGAAAAATAATGAGTAACAGTTTTACATTGAAACACAACAGTTTAACATCAACTTCAATTTAGTTATATACATTTCCTCTGCCTTAGTGTCTAGAGGTTCCCGTATTGCGTGTCTTCCCCTGTGGTGTCTCTCTGTAGGGATTCCTAGGGGATCCCTGGGCTGGAAGTTTGAAGGGATGGGGGGGTTGATTTGTAGCTGCACTTTCCCGGCCCCTCGGTTACCTGGTGCCATATCTTTGCAAGTCGTGTAGGTTAGTGTGAGTCCCTCCCTGTACTGGTCCGTTAATCTCCTTGGTGGTGCCCCAGTTTGCATTGGGCCCTAGGGGTTGTATGTGCTCAGGGTGTGCCTGTCTAAGTCCTTCTATTTCCCAGGGCGTATCGCTTAGCCTCTCTAGTGCTTATGGTGTTGTCACCTGTTTTCTATGTGGAGGGTGTGCCCGCGTCTCCTGGGTCCCAGTGTGTCTAGTGCGGGAGCAGAGTATGGTCCCGGGCACCGTTTTATTGGGTCTCCTGGGAAAGTGTTTGTGCTCAAGGGAGCCCACGGTGTTTTGAGGTGTACTCCTGAATGGTGTCTATCATTGGGCACATGCCATGTCCATTGTTGGGGGGTCGGGGGGGGTACCCCAGCCATCCCTCCCCACCCAAGGTGTTCCTCCCTGTTGGTATCTGCACTGTTTTGGTGCTAAGTCGTGGTGTGGCGTCTAGGATACTTGTGTGGTGGGTGGGTGTGGGGCAACTGTTCCATTTTGCTCTATGGGTAGCATTGGTCTGTACCTACATAGGCTGGTACCGAGAAGGGTACTAGTGCGTGCCGCCTGCTTTCCTGAGTCTATAGTTTCTATCTATCGAATGATACCTATCGACTAAACAGCGAACAGGAAACATAATATATAAAGCAAGGAGAAAGTTTGTTAATTATATCTTATTTGGAGCTTGGAGTTGTCAGCGGTTTAGGCTGTTTCAAGTCCATTATTGGGGTGTGGGGTTGCCAGTGTTCTTTAGTGCCGGAGTCAGTCCGGGTTCTGTGTTCGGGTACGCTTTCAGCTGTAGTAACCACAGTCCTCTTGTGAATGGTCCGTGTTGTTTCTTATTTCTTGTGTTGGTCATCTATTGGTGCGTCGAGTGGTGACTGGTTGTCGGTCCGTTTAGTTGTCGGCCCTAAGGCGTGGGCTATTCGGTATCTGGCGTTTCGGGGCTAGCGGTGGTGCATTTCTGGGCGGAGGGCCTCTGTCGTATCTTCTGGAATTCGGGTCTGTGGTGAGAGTTGTGGGATCCAGGCCAAGGCTCTCTGCGAAATCCGCCATTTCCGCGGTGTTGTATAGGGTGTAGGTGTGGTTGTTCTTCCGGACCTGCAGCTTAAATGGGTGCCCCCATGAGTAGCGGATATGTTGCCTTGTGAGCTCCTGAGTGAGGGGCCGTAGCTCCCTCCTTTTGCGTAGGGTGCTCGGGGCCAGGTCCTGGTAGAAGGAGATTTGGTGACCTTCGATTTGTAATGGGATGTTTCGTGCCGCTTGCATGAGTGCCTCCTTAATGTGGAAGTAGTGCACTCTTATAATGACATCCCTGGGTTGGGTTGCATTGGGCATGGGTGCTCGGAGAGCCCTGTGCGCTCTATCCAGTAGGAGTTCCGCCGGTGAGGCCTCTGGGAGCAGGCCACAAAAGAGCTCTCGTAGCGTTGGGCCCAGTGCCTCCATTGTGATCGTTTCTGGTATTCCGCGTATCCTTATGTTATTTCGGCGGGACCGGTTATTCAGGTCCTCTTGTGCCTCCTCCAATTGGCGGAGCTGTTCTTGTAGGGCGGTTATGGCATTTTCAGTTGCTGTTGTGCGTGTAACTGTCCGGTCTAGTTGCTCCTCAATAGTAGTAGTTCTGTGGGTTAAGTCAATCAGGCCTTCTCTGATGGGTGTGAGATGCCTGTCAAATTCTGTGGTCATATTTGCCTTGATTTCGCATAGCAGCTGGCGGAGGTCCTCTTTGGTGAGGGGGGTGGTTGTCGTTGATCTGCTTATGTCGCTGGCTGCAGAGTCAGAATCATATTCGCGGCCTCCTTCTTCCTCCCGCGTGGCGCCGCCATCTTTGTGGCTCCGGAATATCGGAGCTACTTCTGCTCCCTGCTTCGATTTCCGCCCGCCCCCATCGCTATTTAGTGGGGTACCTTGGGTAAGATACGAGGTGGTCGGGTGGGTGTGAGGGAGCCGATTGCGGGTGCTGATTATCGCCGGTTCTGTGCCTCCGTGGACGGAGCTCCCCTAGAAACCCGCCATTCGCGCCGGAAGTCAGGCCGGCAGCAGTCGGATTTGAGGGTAGTCCAGCACCCGACAGGGCGGGAAAGCAGCTGACTCCCCCCATCTGCCAGCCGCACTAGGCTGCACTGCGTCCTCCATGGCTTGTGTAAGGTAGGCCAGATTTTAGTAATAAATAGATTGAATAACTTGGATAATCGAAACTTGAGCTGGATCGTGAAGTGGTCCTTGTTCAATTTAGAAAATAGAAAATAGAAAATTGGGCAGACTAGATGGGCCGAATGGTTCTTATCTGCCGTCACATTCTATGTTTCTATGTTTCTATGTTTCTAATTTTGAATCCATGAATGACGATTACACTGTAAGGAACAGAAACAAGTTAAAGGTGGTAGAAACGTCCTAGTAATATAAATAGTAGTAACATGAGAAATGGAATCAATGTATGTATACTATCACAAGAGTACGTAGAATATCTGATCGGTAGGCCCGAGAAGCGGCTGCAACCCGTACCGAGTGAGCCCCAAAACATGTCTCCACTCCCGCTAGAGATAAAAGCAAACGTACCCATCTAGTCCATGTGGTAGTAGTAACTGGTTTGTAAGGTTTGGTATAAAAGACCAGAAGTTGGCATGATTGTGAAGACCTAATGGGTGCAGTAACTTCCACATAACGAAGCAAAATGTTCACGACGCAGAGACTGGGAACAGCCAGGAAAAACAGGTATGACATGGATTAGGAGTCCTTCTTGGTTCTATGAGACACCGTAAAGGAAAAGCCATCTGGGGATACCGAAAATCCATCCACATGAAACGCTCAAACTTCCGAAATAGGACGAAAGGACACCAGACATAAGAGCAACGTGAGTTTGGCTGATAGTTGCCGGAGTGAGAGATCAGAGTTATCCGGTCAATCTCAAAGGAAGTGAATGACTAAATCTACGCCCCACAACCGATTTATGCTTCGGAGCCGGGGGTCTGGATAGTTTGATACCCCGCAATAAGTGGCATATCAAAGGGTCCTGTCCGATCGGAGTGCCACTAAGCGGAACCTCTGCAGCCGAGATAGCTGAACAGAGGGGAAACGATAGGAGTAGTGGGTGATCCTGAGCTATTGCCAACAGGTCCAGGAACCACGCTTGACTCCTCCACAATGGCGTGATGAGTATCATCGAAGTCATGGATACGCGAAGATGATGAACCCTCGCCAACATCGATAATGGTGGGAAAGCATATGCTCCTAGCGGAGGCCATGGTTGCAGAAACGCATCTACTGCCTTGCACTGGGGATCCGGAAGCCAGTTGTAGTACCTTGACAGTTGTGAGTTCGTCTGTGACGCGAAGAGATATGTGTAGTGGTCCCCTGTTCACTCTCACCATGGCGAATACCGATGCGTCTAGGCGCCAGTCACTGCTGTCTCACCAGTGGTGAGGGAATCAATCCGCAGTGAGGTTGTTGATCCCTGGTAGGTATTCCGCTTGGATTGTAATGTTGCAGGGAAGCCAGAAACGGTAATGGCCCGCGACTGGGCTCCGCCTAAGCGGTTTGTGTATTGACCCGTTGAGATATTGTCCATGCGTAAGAGTATGCAACAATTGGACGTGTTCTTGGCAAGAAGGCGAAGGGGGATGGTGACTTTCTGGAGTACGAATCGTTGCTATCTTCGCGGCAGGAAGGCATAAGACACATGTTCTTGAGTCTATTTCAAATCCGAGGAATTTAATTACTCGGGATGGAGATAGTGCCGACTTCTCTCTATTCATTATGAAGCCCAACGATTCCAGAAACTGCACTATAAACCTTGTTTGAGATTGCAGTCTGGATGCACGTTCGCAGGATATCAACATGTTGTCCAGGTCGATGAGGCAGCGGATTCCCTTTGCTCGTCTGTCTGCCATGACTAGCTTCAGAAACGTTGTGAAGCACCACGGCGCTTGAGCTGCGCCTAAATGGTAGACATGCGAATTGGCATGGCCGATCTTCCCAAGTGAATCGCAGGAATGGGTGGCTCACATGTGCTATGGTGACCAAGCGTCCTTCAAGACCAAGCGCATGAACCAGTTGTTTTCGAGAAGCCGATCTCGTAAGAGGTGAATACCTTCTGTAACGGCTACCCAGGTAGTAAGAGGGTATCAGCCGTTGGAGACGTCCTTTTCTTTCCAGCAAGTTACTGTATAGTAATGGAGTCGCTTATTCCCATCCGCTGGATCCAAGGCAGGAGTCAGGTAGAGCTCTTAAAAGAGCTAAGTGATTATGCTGCATATTCCCTTTCAAGAACGAGACCAGGCTACTGTAGCGGAGATACAATATACCCCAGAATATCTCCGCTTAAGATCCCATTGAGGCTCAGGAACAAGTAAATTATAAATCCACAGGCAAGGTTTCCAGCAGGCTAAATAATCCAATAGTATTCCCACAGCAATCCCAATGACTGGACGACACACAGCATCAGGAGCAGAACTGAAAGCTTTATTCCACACTGGCCTTTTAAAGCATGCTCCCATGCAAGGGAGGGATTACATTCATTAACATATTAGCCAATCCTGTCCTGGTAACCTCCCACCCATCTCCTCCCCTCAGCCGGCATCATAATCCCCTTATCCAGTACAGCAATTCCCCATATTTCTGGATGTACCCCTAAACCTAGGGGTACCACTTTAAATCATACATCCCCTGGTAGCCCTGATCTGGGTGAACAACGTATCCAAAAATCACCCAGATCAGGGGTTCGGGAATTTCCTGGAGGGAATAAAATGACCGACCGCGCTGGATGAACTAGCCGAATTGGGTTCCATGCGATTGGGCCCTGCGGTCGGTCCTGGAAAAGGCGAATGAAGTACCTGAAAGCCTCCAGCTATAGAGGGTTGGGATTATGCCTACCGAACGAGGGGCCGTTCAGTAGTTTGGAACCGAACGGACCGGGCTGATGGAGGTCTCAGCGGTGTTCGCCTAGTCGAGTGTCCGTTTTGAGTTCCAGACACTCGACGGCAAAACACCGCTGTCCGGGAGTTTAAGATGGCTGCCGCCACGTGTTCGTTTCCCGAATGGCCACCCCTGAGAACAAAGGATTGCTACACAGCTTGTCAGTTACCCGTTCGCAACAATGTTGCAATGGGTAATTGAAGGCACACTTCACACAGTCTGACTGTTCGGTAGTTTCATTCGAACAAACTAAGGGAATGAAACTACCTAACATTCAGACGAATCCAATACATTTTACACATAGAATTTAGCTATTTTACACGAATGCATTCCCTTACTGCATAGACATTCAGAAAATAGACGAATACATTTTACACTTAATACAAGTCCCAGGGCAGCTCACAGCCATCCGCTACAGCTACGTTTTGAAAGGTCAAGAAGAACTGGCTTTTAATGGTAGGCACTCTCTTTTTATGTGATTCTGCCCATGCAAGGGAGACCCCACATAATTAACAAAACAACCTATAAAACATAAGGTACATCCCACACATCTCCTCCCCTCAGATAAGCTTATAACACAATTAAAAGAGACACATTTTTCCCCAAGTTTTGGATGTTCCCCAAATACTTGGGGTACATGCATAAATCTGGTGTCCCCAGATAGCCCTATTCTGGGGGACCAACATAGTAACATTTCAGCTTGTTCGGTTCAGGGGTTTGGGAGATATGGAGCTTTAACGTTTTGACCGACCGCACTGGCAAAGTTGCCGAAAATAGTTCCATGAGTTTTGGCCTTGCGGTCGGTCTTTGTTCGTGTGTAAAAAGTCCCGAATGGCTTGCCATCCGTGCGTAACTCGACATTCGCCAGAATCCCCATGGGCTATTAAGGCATGTTGTTCGGTAGTTGTAGCACGATTTCCCGGTGCTATGGAGGTCTCAGCGGTGTTCGCCTACTCGAGTGTCCGATTTTAGTTCCAGACACTTGATGGCAAAACACAGCTGTTCGGGAGTGAAGATGGCCGCGAACACGTGTAAGTCCCGAAACGGCGGCCACCCAGGCACTTCGCAAAGCGTTCGTGGGTTTTCTATGCGAAAGTACTTGTGGATCAGGGAGGTAATTTACCCATAATTAGGGAGCAGGGTGGTCCGGTGTTTGGTAGTTTGTATTCGTATGATGAATGCTTCAAATGTCCAGAACTGATGCATAGTAAAATCCCCATAAAAGCAGGTTAGGCTCTTACATTTGTTACACCTTCCATCTTGAAGTGTCGGTACGCTAAGAAGCCATGGAGTTGGCGTAAGTTGATGACGAGTCGGTAGTCTCCCATGTTCTTTTTGACCACAAAGATATTGCTGAAATAACCCGTATTGTCTGGAGCGAAATTCCACCGCTAGAGCTCGAATCTTTGTCTGACCGTTTTGTGGACTTTCGATGCCCGAAGAGTGGGTGGATGCCTGATCTGCACTGGAGTGTCGATTAACTCTATTACGTATCTCTTTATCGTCTGAAGGACCCAAGCATCTGTGGAAATCCTCTCCTGTGAAAAGACAGTCTGCCTGCGGTTATACGCAACTGATAATGAAGGCAGGTATGCTCACGCTTCGAAACGTCCACGTCCTCTGCTAAGAGCCCTTCTGGAACGAAAAGATCCCTTTGAAAGGGCAGCTCTTGAGGATTGGAAGAAAGGTTGCAGTGTTTGATTTCTGGGGCCTGTGGGCCAGAAGCGGCTGGTGGCTCGACCCCTCTGCCGACCAGCCCTGCCAAAAAAACACTCTGCTCATTGCAAGGTAGCTGAAAACCTGTTTAATGGATGTTTAAGCCTTATTCAGGGTAGTAAACAAGTTCACGTATTAAGTTCCGCAATAAATGGTTCTCCGAATAACAGTCCGTTCGCCAGGGGCAAATTTCCTTCTTGCCTAACTCCAGTAGTTTGGAGTTCATTTTCAGCAGTGCCGCCTTGCGTCATTCTGCACATATGGCCATGTTCGTGTTGCCTAGCATGCATATGGCCTGTTGTACCCATTTTCTCACACCTTTCGTGGGTCTCTGCCCGAACGGGACAAACCTCACCACCGTGGTGTCAAACTCCGGTGTGTGAGCAATCTTGTCCGGCAGTATCGGCCGTGGGCATTCGGCCCGGAGCCGAGGATGTACTTCCTACTCCATGGGTTTTGCTAACCACTCTGACAATCTCCGGTGCCGTATCATGCGGGGGTCAAACATGGGCGTTCCCTGAGTGTCGAGGAAAGCAGTCAGTATATCGGACGATTTGCGAGAACTTCTCGTCAAAATGACTCTTGGGTCGTTTCTTGGGCGTAGTCCAGGTCTTCCCGTGGTAAATCCTGCCATTAGTCATCCTCTGATGGAGATTCCTCCGCTTTCCATTCGTCCATAATCTCGAGGGGATGGAGTCCTCTTCCTCAGAGGATGGGCTATAAGGAGATGGGTCCCAGCGTTCCGCCTGGTGACTTTGAGTGAGGCCTGGCCCATGGAGCTGCCCTTCCAGTGTCTTTTAGACGCTGAGGCTTCCACTTTGGAGTTGTCGTGGTCCATAGCATCCGCGTCTGTTGAGGTGTCGAGAGTTCTGAACCAGCTTCTTGGTGATAGCTTTCTCTACTGAGGCTGCCACAGTCGCATTTATCATTGACTGGAAGTCTGGAGAAGGTGGTTGAGGTGAGTTGCTTATTTTGGGCAGTTGAATCTTCCCGTCTGTGGAAGACTGAACAGGTTCAGGTATAGAAGTACAGGTGTTACACAGTGGGCCTCCACGTACAACTGGGGGTCACCCAGTGTTGTCAGTCAATCAGAACCATTTGGTTGAGGTAATGGTATTAGGTGGTCTGAGGAGGGGGTCATCCTCTAGAACACTGGGATGAGCGGTCAAGTGTAATCGGGTTGTATCCCGTGTAAGGGGAGGCATAGAGAGCCTAAAGATTGACCAAGGGGGTCGCCCTTGTTATGGTCCAAGACTGTGGAGACGGTATCACTGTGAGTTCTCCCTCCTATATCCCGGTAAGGAGTGTGAAAACGTTAATGACCATTACTAATAAGGAGGGCAGACAGGAGAGAGAGCAGGGGAATGAAGTAAGAATAATCAAGAGTAAACATAAGAATAAATATAATGAAGTACAATCCAACCACATAGACAATGTCAGTGAGTTGGGAACAAAATACTATGACCTGTGCCTGGCTGGAGCAGCAAAGAAAGAGGAAGTGATATGCTTGTCAGGGTTTTATATGGATGTGATGTATGTTTCTGATTGGTTTAAGGTTTCTTGATTAACTTGTGCTGCTGGAGGCATAAGTAAAGAAAGTTATGCAAAATAGGAAGCCTCCTGTCATGTAATAAAATTAAGTTTTGCTTTAAAAAAAAAAAGCATTTTTCCTGTGAAATGGCTTAAGAGAACACTAACAAGACATAAGGATAATCCCTTTAGTATATTGGTCCCCATTTTTTCACTTGTTTTTTTTTGCTCCTCCCCCTCCCTCGTAGGAGGATGTATTTGTAGGCTCTCTGTGGTACAGTTATAAAACCATTTCTTTACTTGCATAGAAACTTAGAATGTGACAGCAGATAAGAACCATTCGGCCCATCTAGTCTTCCCAATTTCTTAAATACTTTCATTAGTCCCTGGCCTTATCTTATATCTAGGATAGCCTTATGCATATCCCACGCATCCTTAAACTCATTTACTGTGTTAACCTCTACCACTTCAGCTGGAGGGCTATTTCATGCATCCACTACCCTCTCAGTAAAGTAATACTTCCTGATATTTTTAAACATTTACCCCTCTAATTTAAGACTGTCCTCTTGTTGTGGTAGTTTTTCTTCTTTTAAATATAGTCTCCTCCTTTACTGTGTTGATTCCCTTTAGGTATTTAAATGTTTCTATCCTATCCCCCCTGTCTCGTCTTTCCTCCAAGCTATACATGTTAAGATCCTTTAACCTTTCCTTGTAAGTTTTATCCTGCAATCCATGAACCAGTTTAGTAGCCCTTCTCTGAACTCTCTCTAAAGTATCAGTATCTTTCTGAAGATACGGTCTCCAGTACTGCATACAATACTCCACGTGAGGTCTCAGTGTTCTGTACAATGGCATGAGCACTTCCCTCTTTCTACTGCTAATACTTCTCCCTTTACAAACAAGCATTCTGCTAGCATTTCCTGCTGCTCTATTACATTGTCTGCCTACCTTTAAAGCGGCACTGTCATGCCGAACTTACCTTTCTCCAATCGTTTCTTCTCTCCCTCTGTCAGGATCTGTTCTTCATTTCTTCCTGTCTGCTCCAGTTTTCTTAAAAAATTAAGACAAAGTAGGCACTATTTCTCTTTTGGAGGTTCCCTACGCCATGACCATCTATGACCAGCGGAGGAGCAAAGTGTGCTTCGTTTCCGGTGGTCAGACACATTTTCCCACAATCCTTAGCTATCCTCCCTGTTCCCGTAATGCTTCCTGTCAGTATTGCCGAACGTCCTGTCACTTAGTTCTAGAACTACTGCACCACCCTGATCTATTATTTTAGTTACCCAATCAAAAAATCAATAAGATTCGTTTTGCATGATCTCCCTGAAGTAAACCCATGTTGTCTCTGATCTTGAAATCCATGTGTTTTTAGATGTTCAACAGTCCTATCCTTTAACAAGGTTTCTATTACTTTCCCCACTACTGAAGTAAGGCTTACTGGCCAATAGTTGCCTGACTCCTCCCTATTACCTTTCTAGCGAATGGGCACAACATTTGCTAACTTCCAATCTTCTGGGACTACTCCTGTTAACAATGACTGGTTAAATAAATCTGTTGATGGTTTTGCTAGTACACCACTAAGCTTTTTTTTTTTAATAACTTTGTATTCCATCAGGTCCCATTGATTTATTTGTCTTTACTTTTGACAGTTGAGATAGAACCTCTTCCTCTGTAAACTCACATGTAACAAATGACGAATTTGTCCTTTTTCCTTACTGAGGCCCCTTTCCTTCATTTCCATCTGTAAATACTGAACATAAATATTAATTGAGGCAGTCAGCTAGACCTTTATCCTCTTCTACATACCTTCCTTCTTTTGTTTTTAATCTAACTAATCCTTGTTTTACTTTCCTTTTCTCATTTATGTATCTAAACGTGTTTTGTCCCCTTTTTTACTGACTGTGCTATTTTCTTGTGTGTGAGATTTGGAAGCTCTTATAACTTGCTTAGCCTCTTTCTGCCTAAACTTATAGATCATTCTGTCTTCCTCACACTGTTTTTTTTTTTATTATAATTACTAAATGCTAACTTTTTGTTTTTTACTATTTTGGCCACATTTGTGGAGTACCACAGTGGTTTCTTGAATTTTTTGCTTTTACTGACAAGCCTAATGCAATTTTCTGTTGCCTTCAGCAGTGCAACTTTTAAATAATCCCATTTCTCTTGGACTCCATTTAAATTGCTCCAGTCTAATAATGACTCTTTTACACATATTCTAATTTTAGAAAAGTCTGTTTTTCTAAAGTCTAAAACTTTTTTGTTTTTGTGTGATGTGACTCAGTCACTGTTCTTATATTAAACCACACTGACTGATGATCACTGGATCCTAAACTTTCACCTACAGTAATATCTGATACCAAATCTCAATTTGTTAACACTAAATCTAGTATGGTCTCTTTTACGAGTTGGCTCCTCAATGACTTGTTTTATAAACAATCCCATTTGGGAGTTTAGAATGTGTGCTCCTGGAACAAGCAGCTGTTTTGGTTTTCTAATTCACATCAGGAAGATTAAAGTCACCCATGATGATAACTTCCCCCTTCATTGTCATTTTAGCTATTTCCTCAACTAGTAGATTATCTAACTCTTCTATTTGTCCTGGGGGCCTATAAATAACACCTACACAAGTTACTGTGTGATTATCAAATTGTAACGTAACCCAAACAGACTCTATGTTCGCCTCACTAACTTTTATTAGGCTAGATTTTATTCTATCCTTCACATACATGGCCACCCCTCCCCCTTTCTTACTGTTGCTAAATTTCCTGCAGTGAGTGGACATTTGTTTTTGTCCACCCCCACCCCTCAGAACCCTCCCCTCCCCCCCCCCACCCCAAACACCCAGAATTAAAAAATATGTACGGACTCTGATAAAATGCCTACTTGAGGCACAGCATAAAACCTAGACTGGAAGTAATTTGCATTTACAGCTCTAGCTCTATGCATTTAGGAGTGACCTTTCATTTTGTTTCGAATCTTTAAATGATGGTTTGTTAGGACATATGTGAATGCTATTAATACTTAAATGGTTAAAATACTGACTGAAGCAAATAAAATTGGGTCCCAGCTAACTGGTGTGTTCTCCCCAGGTGTCCATTTGCTGGAGATGACAAAGTAACCCAATTATTACCTGTTCCTTACCCTCCAAATCGACAGCGTTTTGCGGTTTATGCCTTTTCTTTCCTTGGACATCCAAACAAAACACAGGTTTGATAACTTTATTTTTTTTCCCTCTTACTGATATACACTGCTCAAAAAAATAAAGGGAACACTTAAACAACACAATGTAGCTCCAATTCAATCACACTTCTGTGAACTCAAACTGTCCACTTAGGAAGCAACACTGAGTGACAATCAATTTCAAATTATAGGCAATTAGCAAGACCCCCCCCAATAAAGGAGTGGTTCTGCAGGTGGTGACCACAGACCACTTCTCCGTTCTTATGCTTCCTGGCTGATGTTTTGGTCTCTTTTGAATGCTGGCGGTGTTTTCACTCTAGTGGTAGCATGAGACGGAGTCTACAACCCACACAAGTGGCTCAGGTAGTGCAGCTCATCCAGGATGGCACATCAATGCGAGCTGTGGAAAGGTTTGCTGTGTCTGTCTGCATAGTGTCCAGAGCATGGAGGCGTTACCAGGAGACAGGCCAGTACATCAGGAGACGTGGAGGAGGCCATAGGAGGGCAACAACCCAGCAGCAGGACCACTACTTCCGCCTTTGTGCAAGAAGGAACAGGAGGAGCACTGCCAGAGCCCTGCAAAATGACCTCCAGCAGGCCACAAATGTGCATGTGTCTGCTCAAACGTTCAGAAACAGACTCCATGAGGGTGGTATGAGGGCCCGACGTCCACAGGTGGGGGTTGTGCTTACAGCCCAACACCGTGCAGGACGTTTGGCATCAACCAGAGAACACAAAGATTGGCAGATTCGCCACTGACGCCCTGTGCTATTCACAGATGAAAGCAGGTTTACACTGAGCACATGTGACAGACGTGACAGTATGGAGACGTTGTGGAGAACGTTCTGCTGCCTGCAACAACCTCCAGCATGACTGATTTGGCAGTGGGTCCGTAATGGTGTGGGGTGGCATTTCTTTGGGGGGCCGCACAGCCCTCCATGTGCTTGCCAGAGGTAGCCTGACTGCCATTAGGTACAGAGATAAGATCCTCAGACCCCTTGTGAGACCATATGCTGGTGTGGTTGGCCCTGGGTTCCTCCTAATACAAGACAATGCTAGACCTCGTGGCTGGAGTGTGTCAGCAGTTCCTGCAAGACAAAGGCATTGATGCTATGGACTGGCCAGCCTGTTCCCCAGACCTGAATCCAATTGAGCACATCTAGGACATCATGTCTCGCTCCATCCACCATCACGTTGCACCACAGACTGTCTAGGAATTGGCAGATGCTTTAGTCCAGGTCTGGGAGGAGATCCCTCAGGAGACCATCCTCCACCTCATCAGGAGCTTGCACAGGCATTGTAGGGAGGTCATACAGGCACGTGGAGGCCACACATACTACTGAGACTCATTTTGACTTGTTTTAAGGACATTACATCCAAGTTGGATCAGCCTGTAGTGTGTTTTTCCACTTTAATTTTGAGTGTGACTCCAAATCCAAACCTCCGTGGGTTGAAAAATTTGATTTCCATTTTAAAATTTTTGTGTGATTTTTGTTTTCAGCACATTCAACTATGTAAAGAACTAAGTATTTCAGAAGAATATTTAATTCATTCAGATCTAGGATGTGTTATTTTTGTGTTCCCTTTATTTTTTTGAGCAGTGTATTTTCTGGCTCTAAACTTACAGGGACACTGTAGATACCAAGTCGACTTTGGTCTCGTGACTGTGCCCCTAACATTTTAGCTTCTCAATGTAAAATATTGCTAGTTGTAGATTTGGCAACATTTCCATTGCAGAGCAGGTGGGTGTACCTTAGGGCGCACCGCACAAGGGAATTCTATGTTCCGGTAAACAGGAGGGTAGTGCACAGCATTCACCTTCCACCAATTACTTCATGTACCAGACAGCCACTAGAGGGACTTCCAGGTTGTAAGGGCCACTTGTGGTTGCCTAACTGATGCTGGGCGTCCTCACGCTATGAATGAGTATTTCCAGCGTCACCCAAATCCCCATAGGAAAGCATTGTAAAAGCCATTGCCATGCATGAGCATTAGGTCTCCCCCACCGGCTGACGTCAGCAGTGGATGAGCGGGGGTGGGCCCGAGCCAGTGTCTGGACTGAAGTAAATGGCAGAAGGTGTTTTTAACCCTTTCTGCACCACAGGGAGAGAGGGGAGCTGTAGTGCCAGCATGCAACTTTGACTCCCTTTAAGAGACACGTGAAGATGCCCTGGTCACTAGAGGGCTTCTGCTCTGAGAACAGTGCAACCGTTATCCCACATCACCTTTTCTGAATGCTATTAGGAGAGCATTCGATTGGAGGAGTGCATCACTTTCCATGAATGTTCTTCTTGTCTCCAGTGTTCCTCCTTGAGGATTGTTGGATTAGACGAGAAGATGAAGTGATGCCTGCTGGAGGATGATAAAGCAGGAGTGGGAGACTGCAGCGAGTGAGTCTCTGTGCTGGGAAATTTAGGGGGCTCTGAATCACAAACATGTGTTGCTTTAATAATGAAGAATGAGATGCAAGTAACTACACCCCCACACACAATTATTTAAATATGCAGTTGACCGTGTATCTTTTCTCTCTCTCCACTAGGTGTATTTTTTCTGCAGTGTCTCTGTCTGCTTGCCTTCCTTTTCGAATCCCTGCCACTCAAACTGTAACACTCTATCGCGCAGTAAGTACTTTTATTTTATACTGAATTTTTTTCATCACCCTCCCCCCATGCCATTATATTTATATTGGCATTTTCGCCTAGGTCAGCGTTCTCAATCTGATGTTTCATTGCACCTGGTAAACTCCCCTGGTCCCTTAATCATCCAGCAAGAGACCAGAAAGTACAGTGCAAACAACAAATCCCGGCTGTCTATAAATATATTTCTTGTGTTCTTCTATTCAGCTGTTTTATATCTAGTGTCCCATGCTTGACTGTCCTAATCTCCTAACCATTATGTTTTTGTTCATATGTGCCTTGTTAGTTTTATCACTGCTTATTTTTGTGTACCACACTGGTGATGGTTACCTTTTAGAGTTATAATGGAAATTTTTAATTGACAATATTTTGAATAAAATGTGAAACCTGATAAATGTGCACTAGTTTATTTTTGCTAGCATATCCTTATACGAGACACTAGATTGCATTTTTGCTAATGGGCATGAAGTGTTTGGCGGCTTACATCTTTCATCTTTGTGGCTGCATAATGAAGTGATTCTGCAGGAGTTTCATCAGACTTAAAGGACCACTATAGTGCCAGAAAAACACTCGTTTTCCTGGCACTATAGTGCCCTGAGGGTGCCCCCACCCTCAGGGACCCCCTTCCGCCCGGCTCTGGAAAGGGGAAAGGGGTTTAAACTTACCTTTTTCCAGCGCTGGGCGGAGAGCTCTCCTCATCTCTCCTCCTCCGTTCCGCCCCGTCGGCTGAATGCGCACGCGCGGCAAGAGCTGCGCGCGCATTCAGCCGGTCGCATAGGAAAGCATTTACAATGCTTTCCTATGGACGCTGGCGTGCTCTCACTGTGAAAATCACAGTGAGAAGCACGCAAGCGCCTCTAGTGGCTGTCAATGAGACAGCCACTAGAGGATTAGGGGAAAGGCTTAACCCATTCATAAACATAGCAGTTTCTCTGAAACTGCTATGTTTATAAAAAAATGGGTTAACCCTAGAAGGACCTGGCACCCAGACCACTTCATTAAGCTGAAGTGGTCTGGGTGCCTAGAGTGGTCCTTTAAAGGACCACTATAGTGCCAGGAAAACATACTCTTTTTCCTGGCACTATAGTGCCCTGAGGGTGCCCCCACCCTCAGGGTCCCACTCCCGTGGCACTGAGGGGGGAGGAAAAGGTTAAACTTACCTCTTTCTCCAGCGCCGGGCGGGGAGCTCTACGCCTCCTTTCCTCCTCTTCGGCTGAATGCGCATGCGCGGCAGGAGCTGCACGCGGATTCAGCCAGTCTGATAGGAAAGCATTTACAATGCTTTCCTATGGACGCTGGCATCTTCTCACTGTGATTTTCACAGTGAGAAGCACGCAAGCGCCTCTAGCGGCTGTCAAGAGACAGCCACTGGAGGCTGGATTAACGCTAACATAAACATAGCAGTTTCTCTGGGTTAACCCTAGCTGGACCTGGCACCCAGACCACTTCATTAAGCTGAAGTGGTCTGGGTGCCTATAGTGGTCCTTTAAATCTACTATTCAAGTTAAATGACTGGAACAATATTTCAATTATTTAACCAAATATATTTATTTATTTTTAAATATCTGGTAACTTTTTTTTTTTTTTTTTTTAAACACAAGAATGAAGACAATCGAATGTGGAAAAACCTATGTAAACAAAACATGGACATTACAATTAAAGGCTATGGCTCAAAAGTAATGTCACTGTAAATTTTTGGTCACATTGAGGCCACGTTCTGTTAAATTTTCATGGAAGGTTTGTGGAGAGAACCTTTCTTCTTATTAATCCCAAGATGCTTACAACCAGTTCTTGAAGAATTGTTTGAAGAGTGGAGTTTCATTGCCTTCTGAAACTACCTGTACCTAATGGATAAATAAAGTTAGAAATCTATCATGTGGATTTCAGAGGTATGTTGAAGACTGACTGAATGCCTTACCTGGGTTGTGGGGGGGTAATGCATGTAAGTCAGGAACTCGTTAGCTACCTGGAGTGATTGCTCACGTTCTTCTTTGTTTGCTTTTTTACCTGCGAAGACACAATGTTGTATCACCTCTCAGACACGTGCATACTTCAATTCTTTGCTACCACCTTGCTCCAGGTGATAATGTGCTGTTAAGGTAATTTAACGGTGACTTGACGCTCTCAGCAATTTGCCAAACATATTAGCCAGGGATTGGGGTTTAAAATGTTGGTTAGTATGAGTTTAAGATCAGTATTTGTGGTAGTATACAATTTGCATGGTTTAGTTCAGGAAGCTATTTACAGGGATTTTGTAGTTTAACCCCTTAAGGACACAACTTCTGGAATAAAAGGGAATCATGACAGAATATTTCCGTTATTTGTCCTTAAGGGGTTAAGGTTTATTTCCATAAAGTGGTCTTGGTGCAGTTATCCTAGCATTTTAGCGTGCAGTCTAAAACAGAGCTATTTAGTAGATACATCAATGTTCTCATTGCAAGGCTGAATACATCTAGTCGATGTCTACAGTCACTCACTAGAGGAACATCCTCTAATATAACAGTTTGACTTGGTCATGTGATGTTCAACGTCCTTACAAATTGTATGATTATATCCAGTACTGATCATAAGAAAGCATGGGGTTGAATGCTTTTCATTTAATGTGTTTTCCTCTTACCATACATGAGCACATAACTTCTGGGCTGGAAAAGTAAGTAAAAACTACTACTAGAAGCTGCTCTGGCTCTAAGGGAGTACAATTGTATGAGGGTTAAAGTGGTTATTTCAGCCTTTAATTAAAACACTTGGTTGGAGTAACCCCTGAATGTCATTTCAGTACACCATTTTTGGTTAGAGTAAACTTGACTGGCATAGTTCCTCCTTCCAACTCCCCCCCCACTTCCCTGCCAAGACAAAAATTACACCAAGAATTTTACAAAAATCTGAGTATTTGGTTCAATGTATGGCACAGTGGTGTACTATAACGTTATCGTGCTTTAGTTCTTGGTGTTTTATTCACTGTACCTTTCCACACGTAGAGTTTGCCAGCGGTGTCCAAGATGAAACAGTCATCGGAGAGCAATTGCTCTTTTTGGAAAACCCCACCATCTCCAACACGAGTTACCTGCATTTTTCCACTTGCATTGGAGACCTGTGAGTGGGGAAGGAAATCAAAGAAACATCAAACATCAAATACAAAATTATACTGCAGTAATCCAAAACACAATATCCAAATACTAGTTTTTCTAAAGTTACAATCTTAGTAAAAATTGGAGAGTTGGAGGCAAATTATATGTATTTTCTCGTACACTGCATCATTGTTAGTTTATAAAGTGGCAACCTATTTCACAGCCCTGTACTGTAGGTAAGAAACCAGAACAGCTGAATGTATGGTTCTCTTTTCTAACAAGCTCACAGTCTAAAGAGTGAAGAGAATAGTTGTAAATGGTACATTTTCAAACTGGATAAAGTGGAGTGCCCCAGGGTTCTACTTCTCTTTAATTTGTTCGTAAATTATCTTGAAGTGAAGTGGGCATTGAAAGGAATTTGTCAGTGTTGGCAGTCTAATAGTCTGAACATAACGGAGGGAATCGTAGAATTTGGGGGACTTTGCAGGCAAGTGGCAAATGAGATTCAATACCGATAACCCATAACCACTTACACATTAAATAAGGTTAAGTTTGGGATAAATGAAAAGGACTTTGTGCAATGCTGGTTATCTATAATGTTTCCACTGTTGCTTAGTTTATCTGGCATTACAAAAGCTATTAAAGCATTTTTATGTATAAAAAGAGGCATTGATTCACGTGAACAAATGTTTTGGCTCTATATAAATCCATGGCAAGATCCCCACCTTGAATATGTGATGCAATTTTGGACACCAGTTTTCAAGATGCTTATTGCAGATGTAACGAAATTGCAGAGACAAGCTGCAAAATTAGGAATGGGAGTAAAAATGTGCGTAATCCTGCTTAGTGAGGCCCATCAGGAGTTCAACGGGCTTTGCAATGTAGTTGGATAATGAGGTACATTTTAGACTGAGTGAGCTCTACTTTCACATTCCCTCCCCTCCTCCTCAGTCATTTACTTTGTGCTACAAAGTTATCCTGTCACCACTTGTGGTATGTTCCCAGTGGTTTCCACTGTTCAATTAGTCTCTCAACCCTTTCACCACACTCATTGACTTGCTCGTCCTGCATTTATGTAAAACATTTATATGCTGTTGAAATACTGTGCCTTTTGTTCAATAGTTTTTTTTCCCTGCAATAAGCTTTGTATAATGTTTGGTTATGAGGTTGGAGAGCAATTTACCGATCTGTCTAGTGGCTAGCTGATTGTGATGATTGTGAAACATTGTCGAAGAAGCTCGCTGTAATGGTTATGATTTTAAGAGACCCCTGGTGCCATTCCACAGTCACGTGTCACAGTGGTTTAAAACATTTTGACGCTGTTAGTTTTTTTTGCTTGTGCTTGCTATGAGTGATACTCACCTGATAAAGCACAGGTTCCCGTGAATGTCTTTCATCTGCCTCCTTGTCATCCTCCGCATTTCCCTCCTTAATAGACTCTGGCTTCTTTCCCAAGATCTGTAATGAAAGCACAATTCACTGAAAGTATGGCTTTACATTGTCTGTTGGATAAAAGTGAAAACCAACAAGTAGTATTTATTACCACCTTCCTGTTTCCACAAAAAAATATATACATGTAAATAATTGGCTTATTTCTGACCATTTACCTTGGACATCTCTTCTGGCTCCTCCCCTTCTTGTACAATCTCGACTTGCGCTATGCCACGTCTTTCACTGTCTCTAATCTGAGTCGCTAGATCACGTGCTCTGTTTCTTTCCATCATGTTAGACTGAGACCCAGACCAGACGTAAATACACTGAAAGGAACAGAGAAGAATGATATAAAGGTAGTTTTGTAGCTTCATCTATTTTGAGCATAAAACTGAACTATCGGAATGTGTGTGACAAGTGACATCCAATCTGTAGTTGACCTTTCTCCTTTTAATTTATTATGTTGATAATGCAAAATAATAATTAACACAATTGGTTATTCGTTCAGATTATCAGAGATTTATCATAGTGTTGAATAATATTTGCTCTAGTTTGAGCAATATTTTAACGCTTTCAAGTTTAGTCTCTTACTAGTTTTGTACAACACAGGGAATACCAAACCACTAAATATACATATACAGGCAAACCTGCTAAAAAAAAAAAAAAAAGTGTGCCCTCTAAAACACCAACATTGGGGACTTACTTGCTGTACTTTTATCTCCACCTTGCAGTAGATTATATGCAGTTTTTACCTGGACCTTTTGTAATAAATCATGTGAAGTTTTAATTCCATCTGCACTATTATTTGGTTTCTTTATTTTTACAAGTGCTAACGAAGACTTTTTCCATATTGTGCTGAAGACCACTTCTGATTGAGGATGATGGGCCTGATATTCACTTATATTTTGTGAGTTTAATATATACATCCTGCGTGGCTTTATATTCATTCTTTTATCACTCTATGTGCGATTTGTATATATCTTTTTGTAGATATTGCCCACCACGCTGTTATATTAGAAGGTTGTATATTTCCATTTACACCTTAGAAGTGATCACTTCACTCTTTTCGCATTCCTTCTTATTACTTTTGTGCCATAATTCTATTTTAATACATGCCTCTTTTCCAGAGATGCAACAGACTTATCAATTTTGTATTTTTCGGTATGGATGGTAATGAAGAGCTTAAAGGGTTACTTCATGCATCATGACCGCTTAAGTGTTAGGAATTGGTCATGGTGCAAGGACACTATGTATTTATTTATAAAATATTTTACCAGGAAAGATACATTGAGATTTCTCTCGTTTTCAAGTATGTCCTGGGTCCACAAATCATTGCATTGTTACATTAGGTACAACAAAATACAAAAACAATATTAATACACAATAAATACAAAATTTAACACAGAACAGGCAGGAAATATATAATCAACCATGACACGTGCATTCTGTTTTGAGGTATGTAGAGAGGGATCTCTTAAATTACTTTAGGCTTAGGGAAGATTTTAAATTGGGCGGGAGGTCCTTCCACAATTGCGGTGCTCTATAGGAGGAGGATCGGGCCGCTTTCTTTTTGTATTGAGGTAGACTAAGTAAAGTGCTTGTACTGGATCGGAGCTTATAGAAAGTGGGAACACTTGGGGAAAGCATTTTGCTCTGGTAGGGTGGGAGTTTCCCAGAAAAGCTCTTAAAAACAAGGCTGGAAAGATGAAGGGTGCGTCTGGATTCCAGCGATAGCCAGTTTAGTTCTTTTAGCATGTCACAATGATGTATCTGCACTATGCTTACACATATATTCAATCAATGGCTATGAGTGCTCTGCTGAATGAATGGCGGGTTTGGAATATCTGCAGTAGCGGAGTACAGCTCAGTTGCCACCATTTAAGGCTAGTCTGGACCAAAGGAAATGGCAAACCATTGTAAAATGGTTTTCCGCTTTATCAGGGAATGGCACCTTCTGGCATTATTACTACTACAGTGGGCTGTTTGTAGTACATTTACATACATTCACACATACATACACTACAGCCCACTGTAGTTGTAATAATGCCAGGAGTACCCTGGTAAAGCGGAAAACCATTTTATGGCTATTGTCTGTGTATGTATATGGGCCATTGAGTGCAAGTGAGAATACATTTAGTGAATGTGCATGTGTAAACTAAAAGGTATTTAATTTGAATGTCAAAGAGGGTACCAATTGAAATTAGAAAATCACTTTATTTTAAGGCTCCCCACCATCGATGCACTACTAATAGTTTGTTTTTTTTTCGTTTTTTTCTTCCAAGGCTGCTTTTTAGTCAGTCCTTTCTTGATTCTGGTTGTAATTTTGACATTGGTAGTTATTATTTATAAAGCACCAACAAATTCGCAGTGCTGTACAATGGACTATATGCCTTCTCCTCAAAGGACTAGATGATGATTCTGCTATAAAAGCAGTGTAGGACATTGGCTAAAGGAGTGTTGCATCTCTAACAACTGTCTGTTCCAGAGAAGCCAATTAGAAACTGCTGTGTAGGAAGTAGTTAGGAATTGTAAAGAATCATCAGCAATATATAAATCAAGGCACAGTAGTGCTAGAAATGTGTTTTTAGTGTACTTAATGCTTAGGGTAGAAATTGAAGAATTGGGTGTATGAACACCACGGCCAGAAATACAAAACTGTGTCAAACACGTAGGCAGGTCAGGAAAACCAGAATTGCATAAATCCAGGTCAGAAAGGCTTGGATTAAAAAAAAATTAAGTGCTTACGGTCCACTAATGGGAACTAATCCCAGAGAAGTACAGGCTTGAATGGTGATTAGTACCTGATGTCCTAAACATGCATCAATTGTGTATGCACATGTGCTTCAAAAATTGTAAAAGGAGCCAGTGTAGCAAGTTGCGTTATTTGCGCAGTGAACAGTTTCAGAATGATGCAAGTGAAGGCTTCAAAGGTGCATCCCAAATGACAGGAGTGTGGAAAAATTTATTTCCTAGTATGCTTCTGGGTTTAATAATTTGAATATATATACCTGACACTTTCTTTTCAAAAAATTTTTTTTTATAATAAAGTTGCAATGAGACTATATTTCTAATAGTGCTATATAGATTCCTGCCCCCTCTCCCTGTTAGAAAATTATAAGGTGTTTAAACTTGCCTTTATTCCAGCACTGCACTGGCCTTACCACAGTTGGCTCGGTCCCCCCCACTCTACCTCATTGGCTGAGATCATCTCAGCAGATCCAATGCAAAATGCTGCACTGCATTCAGAAACTCTTCATGAATCAATGAGGAATGGTCAGTGCCGCACTGACCCGGGAAGCACCTCTAGTGCCTGTCTGAGTGACTGCTCTTAGAGGTGTTACTAGGCAGCATGTAAACTTCTGCCTAGTAACACCTCTGAAAAGACAATGTTTGCAGAGACAGGCTTTACACACTATATTAAGCTGTTAGTTTTGGATAGTCTCCCTTTAAGTTAGGGATGGAAAACTGTCAAGAAGCAAAGAGAAAAGTGCCAACTGTTGCCAATAACGGAACTGTGGCTGGGCCAAATATGATAAGTTTGAAAACCTGGAGTGGACTAATGTGAAACTGGTTAGGCTTCTAGGTCCTAATAGATTCTTTTGAACTTCAACTTATGCTGCCACAAAGTTTCACAAAAAGAACTGAAGCTGTGCTGTGAAATTAACAAAGGTGCATGTTAGAAGAAACCTTAAATTACCTTTCCCGTGTCAAGGATGAAGCAGTCCCCCTTATTGAAGCTCTCCCATTTAAGCTCTGTCTCCAAAGCCCGAATCTGTTTTCTGCCTTTTACGTGGTACAGATGATCTTTGGAGGCCGCTGGGTCCTGAGCAGCACGATGTAGGCCTGAGGAGACCCCTCCTTCCTATGACATTGTATGGTGAAAGAATAAATGTTACTTTTTTTTAAACTGAAGCACCTACTTTGACAACTGAACAGCTTATTGAATAGCTAAGAACATTGCAAATTAAATATTTAATGTTCTACATTTATTAATGTTAATCTTTGTAAATTTGTCTTCTACTTCTAAAAGTAACATGGTGAGGGAAGACTTTGTAAATGGATATGTTATAGTACTAAACTGACATTGTGAGGAAATGCAGGCATAATTCTTTCCACCACCTACAGGCCCCCCAATATTGTTATAAGCTTTGATTTGTTTTCTTCTACTCACCAGGTAAGTGACACCATGAGGGAAAAGAGCCATGAACTCTGTGCTTTCATGCCCTTGTGTTTCACGATTCTGAGTTGGCTTCTCTCCCATGTGCATGTGAAGTTGCGAACTGTAAATTGCACCTGCAGCCCTTTCATCTACAGATGTGTCACTCCCTGGGGAAAAGTAAAAGGAGAGTTAGGCCAAAATATGCTATGGGACTGTACCCTAAAAGATCATAGCGGTCTATTCCTCCCCCTCCCCCCATCCCATATATCTCACCATTCCACACATAAATGCTATTGCCCTCAGGAGTGTTAGACAATACAAGATAGGTATCTCCGGAATGAAAAATGCCATGACTTTCACAAGGCACTGAAATCAGCTTCATTTTTTCAATACGGAAAACATGTAACCCAACGTCAGACGCTGATTGCGGGAAGCGCAAATCCCTAAAGTAGAGGGGGAAGAGAAATCCATCAATTAAGAGTTTTAGTTAATTAACAATCTGTATGTTGTGATTAAATTGAAGAGATCTGGGTTGTTCGATCAAGTGACTCCACTAACAAGTCACTGATACCATTTCCCATGCATAAGCATGCCATCCTTAACTATTTAATGCTATTGTTAATTTTTCAATTCAGTGTGTGTATACACGTGTCTATTTCTGTGGAGTGGTTCAAAATGCTGGTTAATAATGGTATGACTTGTGTCTGAGTAAATGCAGTGATGTATATGGAGTGTTTGAATGCAAGAGTATATATGGGAAGAGATGTGAGCACGAATGGAGGGGCATGTTTGGGATCAATGTGTGTGAAATCTGGGGTGCTCAGTGTTTGAAGGTAGGGATGTACATTTACCCATCATTATTTGTAACTGCAACAGGAACAGGGTGGCTGATCCCTGATTTTTGATCTAGACCTGAACCTGTAATTGCATCTATCCCTTCACATGCCACCATGAATTTCCAGGAGCTTACAACAGCAACCTGGTACCATTTTATCGCTAATCATCTAGCAGCCAGTGCTGCTTTAGTGATAGAACCACAAGGTACAAGTGTTATTGCTGTATTGATCAAGAGACACTAACTGTGTGACCCCAGAGAGTGAGTTCTCCAGAGTAGTGAAGAAATGTTTAGCTTTCTACGGCCTCAAGAAGCTGTGAATTGGTTAGCCGAGGAAGAGAGCTGGGTGGTCTGCCCTGAACATCCACCTGATGATCTCACTTTTGAACACAGTGGGGAATGTAAGCCTTGGGTGTGTGAGTGGGAATTCGATAACCATAAAAATACATTTAAAAATAAAAATAAAAAATGATTTCACAAAAAGTCAATCTTTACCTATGGACTGTTTGCTGCAGACTGAGCACTGATAGTAGGGTAAGCCCTTACATAGGCTTTCCGACACTGTTAGCTATTGCGAAGTGTGGGAAAATGTCAGCATATGTCTAGCTTAATTTACAGTATCTTACAAAAGTGATTACACCCCTCACATTTTTGTAAATATATATATATATTTTAAAATTCTTTATTTTTCATTTTTGGTGCATGGTATTTAAGTTTCACAAACCGGTGCGCATGTAAGTGCTCCAAAAAACGTATAGATACAATGTCGTTTAAGTTTTGCACCAATTTTGGGTCAGGCAGTAACATATTCAGGAATAACATTAACATAGTAAGCTTTTCAATATGCTCTGTCGGGGTGTGTCTGTATGTTTTGTATACCCTTTATTTACATTATGTATTGTCAGCACTTGCGGATTGTGGGTCTGATGGTGCTAGCGCTCCGTGTGTGTAGGGGAGTAGGTGCGGCTATAGTGTGCCTGCGTAGCATTAGGCTAGGTCTTTGTGTTGTGCTGGGTGAGTGAGTCTGTGTGCTATGGCGGAGGGTCACGGGTGATGCTTCTGGGTTGATTGGTTACCCCCAACCGCGGGGGGGGGGGTGGGGTTTAGGACTGTGGACGCCAAGTATTTGGGTACAGGTTGTGCTTGTTCTTGTGATGTCTAGTTTATGTCCCCTATGATATAGGGTAAGTGAGTCGTGGACATGTGGTAGTGAAGCATAGGTACAACGTTAAGCATTAGTGAAGAATAAACTAAAAAATAAATAAAAAACAAAGTAACTAAATCAACATTGAGGACTCAACATGAAAGGTATGCCACTGTTGTGTTGGTAAGGCTGGAGGTATCAGTCCACACCCTTCACGGTACAGGGTGTTGTGATCCCGGTATGAACGGGATGGTATTCTCAGGATCCCAGACCATCGTCTGCGGTCTGTCCCGTGGCACAATTGTGGAGCTGGATAGTCCCAGGGCGTCTAGGAGGGGTGTTGCTTCCTCCACTGAAGTTAGAACATGTGTGGTTCCTTTATGGGTTATCTCCAGAGTCCCGTTAGCGCCCCACCTGTAGGCTATGTTTGCTGATCGTAGCTGTGTGATGAGCGGTCCATAGCATTTGCGCCAGAGGAGGGTAGCTTTTGATAGGTCTTGGAAAAATGTTAAAGAGTAATTCTCAAATATCAGTGGTGTCTTGCCTTTCAGCCCCGCCATGATGTGTAGCTTATCTTGAACAGTGACACATCTGAGGATGACATCTCTGGCTGGTGGGGTTTTTAGGTGTGGGGAGCTGGGTAAGCGGTACACTCCATCCATTATGATTTTCTTTACACGTGTGTGTGTGTGTGTGTGTGTGTGGAAGCACAGTAGTCAGTAAGCGCCTGACATAATGTAGCAGCTCGTCGGCCGAGATCGTCATGGGTATGCCCCGGATTTTAATATGGGAGCGGCGTTGCGGTCTTCCATGGTTGACATTTTGATTGCCATGTAGGTGTGTTGTTGCTGGAGTTGTTTGATGGTTTCGTCCATCTGGTTCATGTGAGCGTGGACTTTCCCTACTTCTTCCGTGGCTCTCACCCTTTCTGTGACTGTGCGTAGTTCAGTCTTGAGGATGGCTGAGTCAGCTGCTATGAGTTTATGGATTTCTGCTAAAAGGATTTTGAGGTCACGTTTGGTAGTTGGAGCTGAGTCATCCATGGACTCCGGTGGCAGTGGCTGTGGCTCTTGAGTGCCCGGGTGAGTCAGGCCTGTGCTGAGTTGTAGTGTGTGCTCTTTTCGGCTGCTGTGTCTGGGGATGCACCTGAGAGTCAGAGCTCAGCCTTGCCTGGATTTACGGTCTTGCAGGTGGAGGTGTCTGGGGGAGCTCAGAGGGGCCAGGATCTGGTGCCTTATCCGGCTGTCCTGTCTGGGGTAAGCCAGTTATTTCGGGGCTCTGCTGGATTGCAGTGGGTGCCTGGGCAAGGTCCGGCCTTGCTGTCATGGCAGCTGGCTTGGAGTTAGCAGGCTGTTGTAACATAGCCCCTATATCCCTGTCCCCAGACATACCTTGCGGTTTTTGGGAGTGGCATCCCATGGCTGGTGTGTGAGGAAGGACGGTGGGTTGTTCCCGCGGGTAGTTAATGTTCCCGAGCTCCGTTGGGTATCCGCGTAGGATTTCGTCAAGGCCGAGGATCGATGGCTTTTGGTAGGCCCCGATCTTGCGTCTCCGTTTCTGCTGCCGTTGCGGTTGGAAGAAAGGCATCTGATGGTGCGGTGTGCTGGTGCCCGTTTGGTATGTGGCAGGGCTGGATGGGTGCTGGAATGTTTGATTTATTGTGGATTATATTTTAAGGGATGGGAGCTGAGTGAAATGGCGTCCGCATGGGTCTGGTAGGCTCCGCCCCCTCTGTAAATATTTTATATCTTCATGTGACAGCACTGAGGAAATAACACTCTGCTACAATGTAAAGTAGTACGTGTACAGCCTTTATAACAGTGTAAATTAGCTGTCCTCTCAAAATAACTCTCACAGCCATTAATGTCTAAACGGTTGGCAACAAAAGTGAGTGCACCCCTCATTTAGCTGCACTGGAAAGTCTGATTGGACAGTCACAAAGTCTGGGCGGGATTAGAAGAGGTGGGTTTGCAAAGCTAGCAGACGTGAGAACTTCAAGTTTTGCAAACTGTTTATATACCTTCAATGAAAAAAATACATAATTAAATGCATGCAAGTTTTCATTTGGGGTATATCTACTAAACAGTGATTTAAATGTTGTATTTGGATAGTGAAGTGTTCCTTTAAGATCTCTTTAACAGGGCTCTGCGAATGGGCTGCCGAGCATTGGCCTAACATACTTAGTTTTGTGGCGGAGGGGTGTGCTTGTCATTGGTGTTGGTACTACATGCCCCCTCTCTGGTCCCACCCCCTGCCAATCGGCCAAAACTTTAATTTCTCTCTCCAGTCTGGGGATGTGTATTGCTCTAGTCTAGCGGTTTATTTATTTTATTTATTTTTATTTTTTTCAATTCTTTATTTTGGGTGTGCATAGATTTTACAAACAGTCTTGCCATGCCACAACAGCTAGTGCAAGCTTTTCAAAACATAGACATTCGTATGGCATTTGATAATTCTGCACATTTTTATGAAATAAAAAGATATTACAAGAGTAACAGGCGTAACTTTTTGTAGGTAGAAACAGGGTGATGCTATCACTGCCTGTGGATGCTTAAATGAGATTATCAGTGTAAGGTCCTGCAAGTTATCAGGCCCGGTAAATATGGAACATATAACACGAAAACATTAACTTTGTACGCCAAGGGTGTTATTCCCCAGGATGCTGAGTAAGATAATATGCAAGACATTAATGTGTTATACTGCTAGACAGAATGCAAGAAGGAATAAAACAAAATAATATAATATAGCCACTGGGGAACTAGGCTGGTAAAATTATTGCTTATAGTGGAGCAATAGTCTGTGATCCCCAAGCCCTGAGCGGAAGCTTGACCCCATGGGACCTGTGAGAGGCAGTTTAGCCGATGCCTATCTGCGGCAGGTTATTGTCCTTGGGTGGTATGAGTTCGTTCTGGTAACAGGTACTGACCCACTTGTGATCGCGGTAGCCATCATGAGGCTGCAGATTCCCACACTGGGTGCGTGGCTGCCACTTGTGATGATCTTGTCTGGGATACAGCTCCCTTGTGGGACGATGTCCAGGTGAGTGCTGTATGCTCTCTTCAGTCCCGCTCTCCAACTTTAGGTAGGTTGGGCAATGCTGCGTGTGTAGTAAGCATTTGGTTGGCTGATCGCCACATGGCAGGTCCCTGTCTCTACGGCTCCGGGCTGTAAGGGGAGCCAGTGCCCTTAGTCCGTGGGTCCCCCTTCTCCCAGTGGCGGGATCGTGAACCCCCGGGGCTTCTGGGTAACGGTTTACCCCTTGGGTCAGTGGACTGTGGCATGGAGGAGTCTCCGGTTGGGCCCCCGGCCCGGAAGAGAGACAGGTAGCGGTGGCTGCTTTACTTACAGTTGCCATTTCGGGAGGGGTGTGAGTGGGTCTCCGCTTGGCGAGGCGGTCCCAGAAGGCCTGGCAGATCGCCTCGAACCTTGCATCGAAGGCCTCTCTCCAGCTCTGTCCCATCAGACTTGTTTGGTGGCATTGGGATTTCAAAGTGGCGGCCATCTTAGTTGAGCCGCGTGGCTCGCGGGATTCTTTCTTTGAGGCTTTACGGAGCAGGCTTAGCTGGCCCTGTGGGGACTGGGATAACCCCCACCAGTCCAAAGGGGGGGGATAACGGAGCTGTGAGCGGTGTGTTGTGCGCCTCCCGGTAGGAGATCGGCCGCATCTCACCACTGGTGGTCCGCCAGCTGCAGTAGGCCTCAGACGTGCTGTCCCGCGGTCCGTCCGACCCGGGCTCCCCACGGCTTGCTTGCCTGTGGGATGTTAGCTTTAGAGTTGAAAACTTGTTTTGCTTTTTGTTTTTGCAGGATTTGTGCTGTTTTCGTGTGTTTGTGGCTCATATCGTGAGGAGCTACAGGCAAACACGTCCAGCCATGTTGGAGATCAGGCCCCGCCCCCTAGTCTAGCGGTTTATGTGTTTGGAATTAAGAAGAAAATAAATAAGTTTATTCAAATATAAGTTTTTATATACAAATAATTGACTCAAAAAAAACTACGCCTTCATGGAATAAAATCCTTCGGCATGCTGAAGCGCTTTGTGTGTTTGGAGTGTTCTCTTAGGAATGAATAAATACTTCAAATAGCAAATGTTTTGTTTATTTCTCTCTAGAAATGCTACAAATTTTTATCTTACTAGATTAGATTGATTTTTATTGTTGATTTTACTATTGACTACATTCACAAAAACGAAAGTCTTACAAGTGGCATAAAGATGGGTTGCCTCCTGGACAGTATCATGGATATTATCACGCCAGGGTAGTAATTGGTAACCATCCTGGCTGGGAAATGTAGTCCAGAACCATCGGGTGTATTAACCAGCTTGTAATGCAGAAGAATTGTGGTGCTATAGTAAGCAATTACTGCACTAGGGTAGTACTCACATCATCTAAGGCGCAATCATGTCATAAATATGAAAGTATATCAAAACAATTCAAATGGATTCAAATAATTTCATATGTGCATTCCACTTATTGCACTTTATATGAACCAGACAGTTTACATATGTTTCAAGTACGAACTAGAAGAGAGATTAAAGGACCACTCTAGGCACCCAGACCACTTCAGCTTAATGAAGTGGCCTGGGTGCTAGGTCCCTCTAGGGTTAACCCTTTCTTCTATAAACCTAGAAGTTTCAGAGAAACTGCTATGTTTATAATGGGGTTAATCCAGCCTCCAAATCCTCTAGTGGCTGTCTCATTGACAGCCGCTAGAGGCGCTTGCGTGATTCTCACTGTGAAAATCAGTGAGAACACACAAGCGTCCATAGGAAAGCATTGTAAATGCTTTCCTATGAGACCGGCTGAATGCGCGTGCATTCAGCCGAAGGGGAGGAATGGAGGAGGAGAGCTCCCCGCCCGGCGCTGGAAAAAAAAGATAAGTTTTAACCTTTTTCTTCTCCCCAGAGCTGGGCGGGAGGGGGACCCTGAGGGTATGTTTTCCTGGCACTATAGTGGTCCTTTAAGATTGTATCTGGAGAGTCCCACATAACCTCTAATATATTATCCAATCTAAAGTGTGATTCTGCAGCCCAGACAGGCTAGGTTTCTTTTTAAGGTGTGTCATTTTACTGAGACTGTCACCTCTGTTAATGTATATTTGAATAAAGTTATTTTCTCAAACACGGAGTGATAATTGAGTTTGTTTGTTTCTATTTAATAGTTTATGTATGTATGTATGTTTTTGGATTGAGTTTTTTATCTTTAGGCCCATTTCTTCTGCAATTTTCCTTTAGTACAGTCTGTGTGCGCAATCATTTGTTTATGGTCTACTACTAAATCTAGATATCCGCTTTATTTTGAATTTCTTGGTAAGTTAGTTACAGTGATGATAGTGGTTTGTTGTGGAACAGATTAAGTCAGCAAAATTATAGACTGATGCTTTAGATAATGACTGATGGATTAAGCGGTCTTTCTCAGATGACAAGTTTGTGTTTTCACCTAATTCTGTGCTTTTTTTTTTTTTTTGAAACAGTGTTTCAAAAGAAACTTTATTACACATGTATCATTAATACAGGAATATATTAATGAGATTTAGATTTTTCAAGTTTCGATTAAGTGTTTTTATAAAACCGGGTTTAGAAAACAAGATTGTCATACATAGTTTGCAGCAGATCTGGGTAAAAAGCCACCAGTTAACATGTGCACAAGTAGATGGGAATAAGATTTTTAGAGTTTTGTAAGGTCTAATTGATGTAGTTTCTTTATTTCATCTTCTTTTTCAGGCTAACAGTGGTTCTGATCTAGTGGAGACTAGCTGGCTAGTAGTGATTTATTTTGTATGCAGGGCCCAAGGAAGGAATGCCTTAAAGGAACACTCCGTTATTTTACAATTTAGTAGATATACCCCAATGAAAACATGCATGCATTTATTCACTCTGGGTATATCTAAAAATCCGCTTGAAAAGCTGCAGGTCTCGTGTCTACAGTTTTTGCAAACCTTGCCCTTATGCCCCAGAGAAGCCAATGTCCTGGAGCCATGAGCTTGAATTCTCCGGAGCGTGCCACTACTTGGAGCTAACTGACTTATTGGCACTTTTATATTTGGGGGCAGAATCACCATGTCAAACTCCTTATGTATTTGTACTTTTATAAACCGTTCCAAACGTGATGGGCTCCAGCCACATAAAGCACTTCAGCAAGCCGAAGTGCTATTTGTGTGGAGTGTCCCTTTAATACTTTCTATATAGAACAAATTTGCATTTAAAGTCACACTTTAAAATAACTTAAAAATACACTTTAGTGGTTATGCAGCCAGAAGTGCCACCGCCCTCCCCAATGGTCAAAGCATTTTAGAACAGTTTATCTTCTTACTTAGTCAACTGCCTGCACTCCCCACCTCCACTACCAACAACCGAGAGCCGAAAATTTGCTTAGCAGGAACTTGTTAGTTCTTGTAAGCTAGGGGTTTTTCCACCCAGTCCTCAAGTACCCCTTACTACTCCAGGATTTAGGGACTACCTTGTTCTGTCTAAAGTGTTTTCTTTCTTTCTAAAAACACCTTAGACACAACTGGGTAATACATAAATTCTGGACTGGTAGAGGGTACTTAAGTACTGGGTAGGTAACCATTGTCCTAAGCTAAGCCCTACAGTGCAGGTCTAGCTTACTAGCTGAGAGTGTAAGCTGATTGCTCTCAGCTAAGGGCTTAGCTCAGAAAGAGAGCTTCCAGATGTCCATAGTCGGTAGTGGAGACGAGAAGGGAAGCGCCCCACAGACACCAGGTAAGCAGTCAAACTATTCTAAACTGGTTTAACTCCTTACAATAATGAGTGCCACAGCACTCCTTACACCATCACCGCAGTGAGCTTAATGAAGCAGTTTTGGTGTAGAATGTGTGCCCCCTACAGTTTCCAATTATCTGCGCTGGGGACTCTCCTCCTCCTCCTTCCGACGTCATCGGCTGAATGCAAGAGCCGTGCGTGCAGTCAGTCCATAGGAGCATTCTCAATGCTTTCCTATGGACGCTGGCGTCTTCTCACTGTGAAAAACCACAGTGAGAAGCACGGAAGCGCCTCTAGCGGCGGTCAATGAGACAGCCACTAGAGGCTGGATTAACCCTAATGTAAACATCTCTGAAACTGCTATGTTTACAGCTGCAGGGTTAAAACTAGAGGGACCTGGCACCCAGACCACTTCATTGAGCTGAAGTGGTCTGGATGCCTATAGTGGTCCTTTAATACGGAGATAGGAAACTTTAGGATTTTGTTAGTGAAGGGGTGCCCTTCCAGAAACATTAGGGAGAGTGATAGTACATCTATCATAACCCCTTACACTCAGTCCTCCACGTATCCCTTGGTTACACTCACACTGAGCAGTATATTACCATTACAGTGCAGCACTTGTGTAGCAATACGCTAATCTTCTACATGAGATACTTTGTGTTTCTTTATAAAGTTACATAGAATATTATGTCCACCACGTCGTGTTAGTGATCACCTCATGTTACTTTCTAAGCAAGCGAGCCGTTATGCTCACCCATAGATCTCTGTATTCAGCATAGGTACCAACTTAGGATAGAGTTCCTTGGCACTATTTTTAGACATTCTGCCTTATTAGTCAATAACTTATCCAGGCATTAATCAGCAATATTCGTACTATAGCGATTCGCTGCACTAAACTGTCGGAATAATCAAAATGATTAATTACCCCAATACCACATTAATTCATGAAACATCCCTATATATATCTAAATTTGAATATAGATACAATTGAGCTAATTATATCCTTTCATTTGGATTGATCAGTGGGCTAACGGTAGCCGTACATTTGTATAAATATATACATTTATCTGTGTGTTTTTATTTTCACGTTGAGCACTTATATAGAGAGTGTTGTTTGTCTTGTTTTTCTGTCTGATTTGGACTTTTAAATTACCTATTAAACATTTGGTTTTATATATATTTTGTGATCATTTAGGTTTAAAGTTTAGGTTTCCCTCTCCATCCTCTTTCTTTTTAATTACAATTTGTGAGCTTTGAAATTTCTTTTTAGGGAATGAGTGAGTGCGTTGGATTTTGTATGATTATATATATTTAATTTAGCCATTGGCCATCTTTGCAAGAATATCATTAAGAAACTTGTTAATTATTTTAAATATATTTACTGGCACCAAACGTATGCACCTGCTTGTCCAGTTTATCTAATGCACTTTTTTGTGATATTTTTGGAACTATACATGTGAGGAAATATTTAAAGAAACACACACTCTTAAGGGTGGTCTTGTCGGGTGCTTTAATTAGTTTGCATGAATGAGCTATGTTTTGTATATGGGCATTGTGCTTGTTGAAGGTCTGTGAGTGGGAGTGAGATGTGTGACTTGCGTGTGTAAATCACTTTCGCTGGATCCGTAAATGCCCCATGATTAAGATTTTTTTGTTTTTTTTGTTAAACAGGGGTAATAAACAGTCCAAAATGTGATTATGGGTATTGCATTTATAAACAGAAAACCTTAGATCAGCGCTACTATTTAGCAAAAGAATATTCTATATTCATAATTGTACCTGGACTATATAGCGAAATGCCTGTTTTGTATTATATAAATGGTGAAACTGAATTGGAGGGCATGATCACATCTGTCTTCGAACCGTATGTTGGGAGGAGAGAGAGAGAAACCCCATGGTGTAAAATGGGTCCAACAAGTAAAATAAAATATGGGAGCCAGCCAGTTGTAATTGGAGCCAGCACTTCTGTTTCTGTTCCTTTAGTTACACTGAACTTGCCGCTCTATTGAGCAGCAGAAATACACATCCCCTATCTTTCACTGTTTTGCGTGACACAAGAAGGAACGAGGAAGGTGTGCACATATTCATAGTGTTGTATCTTCAGCACCCTTATAAAGTATGCATGTTCAGGAGAGTTCTGCATTTCTTTTCCCCTTTTTTCATACATCATATACACAGGATACATAATGTTAAAATGTATACTACTGGAAAATAAAATCGGTCCCTGGAGACCTCATAATTCACATAAAAAGGTCAAGTGCTTTATAAAAGTCAACAAAAAACACAGATTTGACATTTTCTCAAATTTCTGAGTACAAAGTGTTTTATTCCACACAAAGAAAGGCAACATTTCAACTCTTCTTAATTTTTATAAAGCCACATAGGTTCAAGAGTTTCAAATATATGTGTGTGAAAAGTCATGTGACTAAAACAGGCACAATAACTACAACTAACGTTTTGCAAAAACTAATATACTCTTTAAAAAAACAAATCACATAAAGCACAATGTATGCATAAACTTAAAGAATCACTGTAGGGGCAGGAGCACAAACAACTATTCCCAACCCTATAGTGTTAACACCACCATCTAGCCCCCCTGGGCCCCTCATGCCTCCATAAATATAGCAAAATCTTACTGTATTCAAGCCTGAAGCTGTAACTCTGCATGCTGTTAGACAGAAAAACAAGCAGTCTGCTGACATCATTATAAGTGGTGGCCTGATCCAATCACAGTGCTTCCCCATAGGATTGGCTCAGACTGACAAGGAGGCAGATCAGGGGCAGAGCCAGCATGATTCAAACACAGCCCTGGCCAATCAGCATATCCTCATAGCGATGACTTGAATCAATGAATCTCTAGGAGGAAAGTTCAGTGTCTGCATGCAGAGGGAGGAGATACTGAATGCTTGCATGCATTTTAGGCAGCCATGACCCAGGAAGGATCTCTAACAGCCATCTAAGGAGTGGCCAGTGAAATTATCACTAGGCTGTAATATAAACACTGCATTTTCTCTGAAAAGACAGTGTTTACAGCAAAAAGCCTGAAGGTAACGATTCTATTCACTAGAACAAATTTAATAAACTGTAGTTGTTCTGGTGACTATAGTGTCCCTTTAATGTAGCATTCCATTTGCAAATTCAGTTAAATGTACATTAGATCATAAGAACTATTAAACTTTTCATTAAATGGTATTTTATAAAACAAAACACATATACAAAAATGTTTAATCACTAAGATAATCACTATGGCACCCATAGTACATAAAAATAACTATCAAATATCGGATGCACTTGATCCTATGTGTTAAGTGCCCAGAAAATCACAATTTTGCCTTTTATTTTAATGGAATAAAAAACCCATCACTAAACAATTTCAGTGATTCTGTGAAACTGTAGGTGGGTTGTTTGGCACCTGGTACTTTTGTATGTTGTTATTCATACTTCTTTATAAGTTCTAAATAGCACGTGTAGCATGTTCCACCTGTGGCACAAACATGTTACATTTATGGGCATGCTTGCTATGAAATGTTGTGGTGTCTCTGCAAAATAATATTGCGTGTTGAACAGAATGTTTTCTCTGCCAAAAAATATTTAAAGCCCTAAACATGAAGGGATTTACTTACTAAACAATAAATTGTACAGAACTGAAAACCAAAATATAGGCTAAAACAGTCATGATGCAACTAAAGCTAGCGAAGTTTAATAATCTTGCCATATCAGATGTTTTGTTTTTTTGTTGCAATTTTCTGTTTTTAAACAAATTGCCCATTTAACCATGACCTGCAGCATTTCCCTTTTTGTTCTACAAAAAAAAAAAAAATAATACTGCCGCACATAGTGCCATAACTTTGGTTTCTTAATTTTAAAATTCAAGTGTTGGCTTTTTTTTTTTTTAACACAGTGAAAAGTTGACAATTGATCTACAATTCCCACAATACTCTTACTGTGCCAGTAAAGCACTACTTATGCCATAGACCAGGGATAGGCAACCTATGGCACGTGTACCATGCACGGCACTCAAGGCTGCTAGAGCCAAACAGACTATGGCCTACAGGAGCCCCAGTGAAACCTAAGATTTCTGCCTGTACGAAAAAGGTGGTGAAGGACAATTCTCAATGTATGCATTGCAGCACGTAGAAGAAGTGATCTCAGATCACTTCCTCCCAGCACTTGTGAATGGGAATCCACACTGGAGTAAAGCAGCCTTCGGCAGGTATTGCAGCTCCCGTCATTGACCTGTACCTGGCCAGCCTGGTCCCACTGGAAGCCACCCACACTGCTAGATATACACAGAGCTGCAGAATAACCCTTCCCTCATACAAATAGCAGCCCACACACAAACACAATCCGCACAAACTCAACACCACTGACAATCCACATACATGCACACATCCCCACATGCAGCCTCTCACATGCAATACCCCAAACAGGCCCACAAATAGACACATTACAAAACACACAATGTGATACATCCATTCACACACACACACACACACACACACACACAATTCCACACGCAGCCCCCATACACAGCCGACATTCATAGATATCAAACGATATCACAAACTACTCATGAACATATACAATATAATAGCTCATATACACACACAAATACAAAGATACAAAGCAACCACAGTATAAATAACACAAGCAGAATAAGGCAACATGCACACCTCAATTAAAAAAAAAAATAGGACCGGCACGCTATGAGACATCACAATCTTATTTTGGCACAGTGCTGCTAAAAAGTTGCCTTCCCCTGCTATAGACTGTTATAGAAAGTTAAAGGGAACCATATACTCATGAAAACCAAATAGTATCTTCCTGTCAATCAGTATGACCACTGTCCCCCCAATATAAGAAAGAGAAGATTACTTACTTTTTTACATCACAGAGACACCTCCTCTGCAATAGCCTGCTGACCTTTCCATGTTCTTGTCCAATCAAATGCTTCTCAGAGGGGCAATGGGGTCAAGATACGCATGCGCAGCAGAATGCCACTCTCCTCCAATCAAATGCTGTGAGCAGCAATTGATTGAAAAACTGAGTTTGACTCTGTTCTGGAGGCAGGAAGATGGCCACTGGGAGTGACTTTAACCCTTCAATGTAAACATTGAGGTTTCAACAAAAAAAAGCAATGTTTTGCACTAAATGGTTAAATTGACCGGATCACTGCACCCAGACGACTTCAGTGAGATGTGCTGGTCAAGGTGCTGTTAGTGGTTGTTTAAGTGAACTTTGTGACTAGCTGATTGAAAGTCTGGTTTTCTGGCTTACACATTTCCAAATTTGAGGCTTTTTATTATTTGTGTATTTTTTAAAATTAATTATCTTTCTTTACTCTCAAACCCAGAGTGTCCCTTTAATGTTATATTGTTCATCTCCCAACTCATTAGACCTGAGTTGAAGATGCTTTCAGTACATATATTCATATCTACCTCTGGTGGAGCTGCACTCATCTCTAGCCTGCATTAAGCCTTTTAAAGCACAGTAGTTTTCTTTCAAGGGAGTAGATAGAGCATGCTGCCAAGCTATTTTTGACTTTCCTTTGAGCATTTTGTCAGTGAATGACATTTTTTTCTGTGTGCTCTGCGTTTTTTACGATTCTGCAGAGAAACGGCCATGCACATTTGTTATCAATTAGTCTCTTAGTCTGATGTTACAAAACTTCTCCAAGTATTCAAACAATGCCACAGTTATGTTAAGAGTTGGTTGTTTATACAATACTTACTTTGCACTGGGAGCTCCATACATTTTGAATCTGCAAGAAGTAAAAAAGGTATAAATCACAATATGAATTAGAAAAAAAAAATTAAAAGCAGTTGTTAACGAGTGTTTCCTTCAATTTATTCCGCCTTTCTTACCTCTTTGTGTTCTGCTCTGTCTGGTGCCTTTAGAGTTTTCGGAATGCAGATATGTTTGCTTGATGAGTTAGTAATCACCACACCCTTGCAAGCCAGAAGGGATTTATTTTCTGTGGTTTGTGGGTTTAAAAAGAGAGGAAGTACAGTATGACTTATGTGCAGTAGACTAGGCAGAGATGCAGCCAGTAGCAGCGACACAGGAAGGGAAAAAAAAAAACCCTCTTACCTACAACCGTCAGTATGTAACAAAATCCTTCCACCCCTCCCTTATGTTAGGATCTGAGAAAGACAGAAGGCAAGTGTTGAGCAAGAGAAAAGGCAGACAAAAAAATGAAAATTGATGAGGCGTCGATCATTATTTATTTATAAAACCCCAACCACTGTTCAAAGGTGGAATAATAACTACACCTTACACAAAAGGGAACAAATGCAAAAATGTAGTGAAGATACCCGAACGGTCGCAAGATGGAAATGTCCCTCTATGTATGGTGATTTGACACTGAATAAATTATCTTCATGGATATGATGCTGCAAGCTGGAGTTATTTGAAATCAAATAGAAAGAGATGGGGAACTGTGGATAAAATATTTTATCTGTATTTCTCTTTTTGAAACTATTTGAAGTTTGCAACAACATCCTGTAAAACCCTGTATATTGCAAATGGATGGTGTAGTAATACTTAGTGTTTGTGCATTATACCGACATATAGACAATTGTCATAGCTTCCAACATTTCAAATGGACTAAGAGGGATACTTTAGTTTTAGGAGTTTGAGTGGGGGTGCGGTCAGTGGCTGGACTGTTCTTGGTAGTAGAGTGCTGCACACTAGTATTTTTGTACACTGGAGCTCGATGGGGGACGTCTGCTAGCCTCTAAGATACGGTGCAGGATAAACAGTAAGGTATATTTTATTATGGTCCAAAAGACAAAACAAAGATACAATGTTTCGGCCATGAGGGCTTAATCATATATGATATCCTCCTCTCCTACAGCATCAACACTAGTGAATTATTCCCTCTTTCACTCATAATAATTTGCAAATGGTGCAAGACACAGTTGTCAACTTTCTTTTGTACTTGATCCATTTTGGCCCACTATTAGGCACTAATCTTTGATATTTCCTTTCATCACAAAGTAGCCGTATATCTAAAAATTATTACCCAGCCTTTCATCTCCTTCACATTTCAGACTCTACATTCTAATACACGCACAGTTATATAATCCCTTTGGAGAACCTTGCTGTAATGTATGGGGAGACGCTAAAAAAGTCCAAATAGTCTGAAAGGGTCTTTGTCAGTATATTATAAGATTGCTCAATAGAGATGCCACGAACCGTCCGCGAACTTCTCGCAAACGGTTTGCCGCGAACCCCAGTCAGCTGACACATCCCGGCCAATCTCCAGCAGACCCTCCCTCCCAGACCATCCCACCTCCTGGACAGCATCCATGTTGAAGCTGCCTTCAACATGGATGCTGTCCATGAAGTAGGAGGGTCTAGGAGGGGGGTCTGCTGGAGATTGGCCGGCATGTGACAGCTGACCGGAGTTCGCCGCGAACGGTTCGCCACGAACCGTTCGCGAGAAGTTCGGACGGTTCGCGACATCTCTATTGCTCAACTGCTATATGTTTTGAGATGGTGCTCCCCGCGGTCGCAGAAATATTTTATTCCAGTAGAGGATTCCACTATACACCTGCATTTAGATTCACTACCATGTTTTCCCCATCCTGAAGTAACGAATATAGTACATGGAGAGCAAAAAACGGGTCGCAAGAGTATTCTGAGAAGAGACAGCAGCTGAAATAGCCTGCCTTTCGGTGGGTCCCCGCTCAGAACTCAAGCTGGTTTTAGCTCATCTTGTGCATTACAGAAAGAACATATCTGAAGCATATCAGACTGGTCCCACCCATACGGGCAGTCCAGATCCTAAATGCCAGCAAGTTCTCTCTGCACGAGAGATACAGCAACCCCAGACGATCGTTTCAACCTTGTTAGGCATCATCAGTGAGGCATAGCTGATATCTCTCTAGGCACCGTGAGCAAGGGGTCCACATCTGGATTACCCATTAAACTTATGGAGATCAGAAAACGGGTCGCAAGAGTATTCTGAGAACGGACAGCAGCTGAAATAGCCTGCCCTTTGGTGGGTCCCTGCTCAGAACTCAAGCTGGTTTTAGCTCATCTTGTGCCATTACAGAGAGAACATATCTGAAGCATATCAGACTGGTCCCACCCATACGGGCAGTCCAGAATATAGTACATTCCCACCCAACAATGTGTTCATTATGTTGGCAATGAATGGTCCTGTACATTTATAATGCATTTAAGGACCTTCCTTTGATTCTGCATTATTTACACTAGCATAGGGTATATGGTTGCTTTCAGTTCCTGCCATCTTGCCCCTTTCAAAAAAGGGATCTTATGTTTTTTTTTTTACGTTATATACCTTATTCAGACGCCTATATGTGCACTTCCAAAACGACATCCCTGCATGGAAGAGAGCCAGGGGTCAGGTCCACTGCCCCCCCCATCTCCCCAAAAAATACACTCGTATGCATATATAAATGCGTGCGCACACACACACACACACTCATGCACTCACAGACACACACAAATTATTCATATTTTTTACATTTACAAGTGTCCATCCAGCTTCCCTACCTGGAGAGCTGGCGTGGACTTGTCCCTGGGGTCCAGTGGGGCTTTAGTGCGGCGGGCAGCTTTCTCCCTGTCAGACAAGGCGAGGGAGCTGTGTCCGCTCTGCTCCCTCTCGCCGCGCGGAATGTCTACTGATGCCGGAATAGGATGTCATATTCCGGCTCCCGGCATCAGCAAACGCGCACAAGGGAGCAGAGCAGAGAGGACACAGCTCCCTCGCCACGTCTGACAGGGAGAATGCCGCCATCTTGGACCCATGACAGGGGGCATTTGGGGGTGGCGTTCCTGCAAGACTCGAGCCCTGAAGATTGCCCTCTCCCTATAAGGAAACATTTGTTTGTTTTCTTCACTCTACATTGTTCTATCTCCTAAAATTCAGAACTCTGTTTAACCTTTTATTGGTACAATGTTTCCCCATTTTACATGACATGTTTCCAAACAACAGCCCCCAGTGCCAGGGCTGCTATCAGCCTGAGCTTTCGACATATTGGATGGGACTGCATCAATAGCAAACCTTTTTTGACCAAGATCTAATCGTCGGTCAGAACACTTACAGGGTTATTTACTAAAGTGTATATTTAAATTGCATTTCAAGTTCAAGGACAGAGTAGCCAAAAAGAGATGAGAATTTCCAGGTGAGCTAGTTTGACTTGGAACTTGCAATTCACTTTGATGAATACTAACTTTAATGAACTACCTTATTAATGATATCAAGCCCTTTCCTGCTACATCGTGACACAGTATGTCTGTCCTGACCTAATGACTCAAATTCCTTTTAATCTATGCCTGAATTGTGCAGTAGTAAGTCCAGTAGTTATTCACAAGACAGTATTATTTACTAAAATGACAAGTGTTGGGAATTCAAAAGGATATTTCAAATTTAAAGGTCAAAATAACTGAACTGAAAACAACTGACACTTCCCATATGAGCTATGTTCACCCGAAATGTAAAACTAATTTAAAATTCCCAACAATTTACTCTTTAGTACATAAGTGTGAAATGGAGAATTGTTGGGAATTCAAAGTGAATTTCAAATTTAAGTTCAAATTAGTCAAACCGCAAGCACAGTTGACTTAGATAATTTTTCAAATTAATTCCCACCCTAAAGCAGCCAAGTCCTTCATACCACTTCATAAGCAATGATCAAACCTCCCCTCACAGATAACAGTTTGCCAAACTTATGGACATCAAGGTCATGGAAAAAATTATCAAGATGGCTGGTTGCACTCAAAGCAACTACTACTACAATGGATATTTTCTTCAATCAACAAGTCACTAGTAGGGGTGTTTCTGCTGAGGACTTTCCGACGACTTCTCACCTGGCTTACTTACGTATCCAGGATAATATAAGATACAATTCCCCTTTCTCCTTTTTTCCCCTCAGTTTTTCTCTCCTTATTTCCTACACCAAGGGTAACGGACACCTGGCTGCAGGGATTTTATGTGCCGTGTATGTGAATTGCCCTTGCATTTGCTCACCTTATTCTCCTACATGTATACGCCATAGCCCTTTCACAATAAAGGCTGACACAAATTCTTTTCAGCTGGTTTTAACAAAACAAATCAGTTTATCTGGGATTTACCTGTGGACTCTTTTCAATTATAAAATGGAGATATTTGACAACAAGTAATTTACATACAGAATATAAAAGAGACGAGATAAAGACACCCAAGAGAAGTATCAGCATGTCAGAGGTGGGGGGATATTGAATAAGACTTCCCAGATAAATCGCAGACTGATTGATTAATTTGGGTGCACATTAAAAGAAATTTGATTAATTCGTACCAGCTGAAAAGAATTTGTGCAGGTGTCTAGTTAACGATGGTTAACGATAAAACTGCAGATGTTGGTGGACCATATTTACCAACATCCTAAACATACAGGATTCTTAATAATGTGTGTGAGAATCTATATCATTGGTGTATGTTACATTATGACAAAGTAATCTTGGTTGCAAAAAAAGACAAGTCCACCATGTTCAACATTCCCACCCTATTTTATACTATTTGTGAGATTGTGCGTAAAATATGTATGAAATCGTGGATCGGTGGGTGAATGAGTAGATTAATTTGACTCAGGATGGGATAGTTAAACTAAGTGGTATGACTTTCAGTGTTATTTACTTAAGTGAGATTTGCTGGGTATTCAAAGAAAATTAAAATAAATTTCAAGATTTAATTCAAAATAACCAATTTAGAAAATAAAAAACTTCAAGCCAATTTTGGTCTTGCATTTGAAATTCACAGTTGTCTTTTTAGTGAGTAACCCTGTGTATATGACTTGGCGTTTGTGTGAGAGTAACACTTTGGCAGAATGTGAAAGGATGCATGACTGGATGAATGTGACTAAATGAAGGCTAGTTAGGGCGACAGCCACACACGCAGCTAACAAGCTCGTTAGATGGGTGACTTTAAAAAGTAATATACAGAAGTCACAGAAATTGTGCATCTTTATTAGTTTACCCCTGCCCTCCTCATGTCTTTGGTCCATGACCTCTTTTCTTGAGACTAATGTTTTTACAAGTTTTGTTTATGGTCAGAAGAAAGTGTTGACTTTTCGCTATGCCTTCTTTATGCTATTTGTTTTCAAAGCCATACATTGCAATGAAATAAAAAATTTTAGAACAAAATGACACGTTGTATTTTAGCCTAGAATTTGCAGTAGCCTTCTGATTACCTTACAATTGCTGGTTTAGAGAAAAATCCACTTTATATAAAAACAAACAAAAAAATCCAACACATTTTAAATTAAAATAACTATTGTTAGTGAATTTGGTTTATATTGATAGGCTAGAACAGCCCACCCTCCGTGATGCTTAGCTCCCATGTAGGATGCAGAGAAGCAAAAATGTACAACATTTAGAATACATACTGTATATCCACTTTCAATGTCTAGCTATTCAATACATAATTTCCACTCTAGGTGGCGCTGATCCTCCTTAGAGTTAGAGTCACGTGTCCTGCCATCGCGCATACAGTATTATTTTTCCAGACCTGTTTCCATCACTGGACGAACATCATGTCCCAGAATGCTTCACGCCACATGCGCCGGATACGGCGTCACCGAAGAGCCGAGTTAAAGGGTGAGGTTGTGCGTTATGGCTAATGCAATAATAATAATAATATTATAATATGCCCACCGTGGGAATACGTCCCAGCTCGGAGTTTGTTATTTGACCCGATAGCCCGCGGCTGAATAAGCTGTTACTGGGTGTAGTCTGCCTTCACCTGCACCTGTTTACACGCTGAGCCATGGAGAGAGGTGTCAGACATCAATAACCAGGGATTGGAAACATTCTATCATTAGAACGGCTGGCTGCCTCTACCCAATCACCTGCTGGTACATATTCACATATCAGATGCCCAGCTGTTACATAGCCACATTTATTAACCCCTTAAGGACACATGGCATGTCACGATTCCCTTTTATTCCAGAAGTTTGGTCCTTAAGGGGTTAAAGAAAGAAATCCTACAGAGAGGGATCAAGAAGCCTGGGCTTACTTATTATTTATACTTAGTGTTGACATATGTACTATGTGTCCCCACCTGGACACACACACACACATTGTTGTTATTAGCATTTATATAGCTGGTCATGATAATAGGCAACACTTGAAATGTGGGCACTATAATAATAATATATGTGTAATATGCTGAGGCAGAGAAGACATGGGCACTGTAACAATAATAATTATTATATACGTGTAATATGCTGAAGCAGAGGTAAGTGTGCCAGAGCAGGAACCATTGTACAGTGCTGCAGCACTATTAGTTGGCGATTGATAAATAGTAGTAACTACCTTGATTTATTAATGGGTTTCTCTACTATGGAATGCTACATACTACAGCTTAGTATCTTTCTTTGCTTGCCTACCACTATGAAGCAGTGATGTCCACAAAAACATTGCATCTAAGTATAGCGTGCTGAATATTCTTACTATATTCTGTGCTAACTGTCCTCTTTCTCAGATGCTGTCAGCACGTTGATACAGAGTCAACGAGAAAGCCATGGATAACCGCTTTGCAACAGCTTTGGTGATCGGTACCATGTTGTCTCTTCTGTCTGTGATCTATCTCTCAACAGCAGTGGGGACAGTGTCATGGTATCACTACTTTACACCGACGGTCCTTTTAAACTTAAGCGAGGGTGCAGCTACTGAGTTCAGTAGTGATGGTGAAAAAATAGATGAGAAAACGTATACTGATGCTCTGTTTCACTGCAATGGCAGTCTTGGTCTTTGGCAAATATGCATCAATACCCAGCACACTTCAGACCAGCAATATGGTAAGTACCATCAACTGCACCTTTCTTATCAGAGTTTGACCATCACGTCTCTTGAGTAATTTACTGTTTTTGAATATTATCTTTAATGTGAGCGGTGAAAAGCACTGGCAGATAATCCGTTTTTCCTAAACTTGCAAATTGAGGTATTTGATGGGGATTCATAACCCTTTAAAAAATAGATTTATTTTCATGCATGTTATTAATTAAAGATACACTATTTGCCCTCCATGCATTATGGAAATTTTGCTGCCAATCTGCAGCTTTTAAAAAAGATCAGGAAAATGATCAAATGTCTGTCAATTCTGACCATTCCATTGCTTATGGTGATGCCCATGGCCAGATCCAATAAAAAAACCTTCACAGGCAGGGTCTTAGTCATATGTAGTTTGACATTTAGCTATAGTTTTATTCTTTAATAGCCATGAAGGCTATTACCATTACTTAATAGAAACTGTATCAACTGACCTGCGTCTTTTCATGCATGTTAGTGCCTGCTTTACAGATTTTTTAATGGATACTTTTGTCACAGCTTGTGCAGTGTAATTAGAATCTGGAAGAAGTGCACAATCAGGACAGGACCTTCAAAGTCTGGGACATTAATTGGTGAAGGATGGGGAAAAGGTTACGCTGTAATGATCAATATGTAAGAAAATGGTCTGGACTAGGTTTATTATACATGAAAGATCTTTAAATAAAAGTAGAAAAAAAAGTAACAGTGTCTTCATGAACTGTTTTGTTCCCTCAAAGCTGAAAACTACCTGCCTACTGCAGTATTTCAGTGGGGTATGTATATGAAATAAAATCTAACTGTAAAATAAAAACATGCAGTCACATACACTGTATCCCTTCCCCATATGGATATTCATGCGTGCGGAGTCTAGTGCACCTTTAAAAGATAGCCATCGAAGTTCCTAGTCTCTTCAGGTTCATTCAAATCATGACAACAACTTAATTGTAATGTAACATAACTTGGGGAAAAAAAACAGGTTGCCATTGAAAGCTAACGCTGGTGAAGTTACTGCTTTATATGGAACAAACTGTAAACAAACACACTATAACCCAAAATGAGCACCAGTCATAAATAATAATAAAAGAGAAAAAAAGTATAAAACTAATTTACCCTTTAAACTCAATGTAGATTATGAGAGATCCCTCAATATCTTTAGAATAAACATCTCTTCTAAAAAGATAAAACACAAGACAAGAGGGCCATAAATAGTGTAATAAATTACAGGACCGTATAGGATTTTGGGGTATATTGCACTTGCAAACTTTTTTTTTTTTTTTTTTTTCATTTACCCTCAAAGAAAACATACATTCATTCATGCATGCGTGTTTTCTTTTTGGGTATATCTACTAATTGTTTAAAATATAATTCTAATGGAGTGCTCCTTTAATAGGCTAACAGGGTTGAACTGCAGGTTTCTGACGGTGTGTTTTGCTTGGTCATCATGCATCACTGTCTACTTTTCTAACCTCACCACAAGATTTAACCTGTGTGGATGTTCTTAATGTGTCACATGTACTTAATATTGTATTAATCCCTATTTCCTACTATTAACATGTCACATCTTTGCTACACTTACTTTCCCATTTAAAACTGACAATACCTTGTATACCAAAACCTGCTTAATAAAAATGTACCACTACTATTTAATTACTTGTACATTTTTATGATCCAACATTTATCTCTGCATTACAGAAGGATCTAAGTCACACTGTATTGTTCTGTCATTTTCTGATCAATTTTTGGAGAAATACAAAGAACCAGGAAACCACAACACTGATATCGACATAGTGCGAACGTGTAAGTAACTATGAGTGGGTTTACTACTACAAACTACTTACTATATAGCTTGGACGAAAACAAGTTAAGTGACTTTTTATACAAAATAGACAAATTCGTTTCAGCTGGCTTAAACAAATCAAATTGCTTTTTACTGTACCCCCCAAAAAAATCAGTCTAGCCGGGATTTACCTGTGGAGTCTTATTTAATAAAGACCACCGATACATTCAATACATCATGTCACAAAGCTACATAATGTATTCATTGTAAAATTTAGATATATCAATCATCATACTTACGTTCCTCTGCTGCCATTTCCTCCGGTCCTCCCACAGTCTGTCTGTTCCCTTATTTCATGTGCCTCTTATGTGACGCCAACATGTTGTTACGCCACTCCTGGCTATACTTCCTAGCCAGTGCTATCAGCGTCCACTAGGGAGTTTGGATAGCTACCACATCGCATAGTATGCTTGGGAGAGCAGAAAGACTTCCTATTTTTTTGCAATTTTTTTAATGCGCTCCCTTGTCACTCAAATCGTCAGCATAGAGTCTATCTCAAAGATTTGGCAGAAGTGTGAGAGAGAACTATTTCTAAAAAAAAGTGTTTCTCCGAATCTGTACATTTTCTAGCTAATCTGCCAGCACAATGTAAAATCTTTTTCTCTTTAAAAGTTATATAAGTTTATAAGTTCTGGGGGGAAGGTTGCTCTTTAAAGGGAATTTGATGTGTTCAAACTAGGTGAAACGCAATTGTGCACAAGTCTAATACACAACATAGTTTGATAGAGGCCCCAAAATTACCTAATTTCCTACTTAAAAGCATGTCTTTTGGTTTCATAAAATAAGATATGCAACAGATAATAGAAAAAAAATACTACAAACATTAACTTTATGGCATATCATTTTATGAATTCGTCTACAGGTAGGCTAACTTATTAAGAATACCATCACATATTTCAAAGAAAATGTAACAGACTGCACATTTTGGCTAGTATTTTTAGTCCTATTTTATTTGTTGTATAAAGTATTGAGACAGAATAATTTATTTTCTCTCAGACCTGTGGCGCTGTCAGTTTTTGCTTCCATTGGTGGCACTTGGACTTATATTTTTTGGTGCCATTGTTGGATTTGCTGGCTGTGTGTGTCGGAGTCTGTACCCAGCCCTTGGCACAGGGACTCTTCACTTACTGGCTGGTGAGTATATACGAGTTCAGCTTAGCTCCCTTATGTTTCTATTTCTTCCTGTATCTGATGCTGCCTATTATTGTGTTCTCTGTGCCCATTCCTTTACTGCTTTCTTGGTGTATCACAATTTCTTTTTTTTTTCTTCACACGACCTGAACTCTTATTGTGTTTTCTCTCTCTCACATCCTTGGTCCCGTCACATCCTTTTTCCTGCAGGTGTGTGCACACTGGGCTCGGTTCTTTGTTTCTCCCAAGGGGTTCGGATGCTGCAGGAAAAAATGCCCCTTCCATCAGGGATACGGGGAGAGTACGGCTGGTCTTTCTGTTTGGCTTGTGTCTCCTCACCCCTGCAGATCATGGCTGGAGCACTTTTCTTGTGGGCATCTCGAGCTAGCCGTCGAGAATACTCTTTAATGAAAGCTTACCGTGTAGCATGAGTGGACAGATACATGGAATCTTGGTAGTGGGAGACTTGCAAACATTTTGCTGTATATGTGGGTTTTGAAATACACATAGGTGGCAGATATTTTGGCTTGTCAGCGATATTTATATGTTTTGAATACAGCAGAAACTTCCTACGGTGCAGCAGCTATTTATTAATGATTTAGATCAGTGCTGTCCAACATCTTTGTTGTAGAGTTTGGATTTCTTTTGGCTTACATTGACTCATTACAAATATTCAACACCCTGCCCTGGTCTGATTTCCTTAGCTTTCCTCGTAATCAGTGGTGGCTGGTGACATTTTAAATTGGTGGGGCGCCAGACTGACTAGACATATGCATTTGACTCTGCTCATATATATATATATATATATATATATATATATATATATATATATATATATATATATATATATATATACACACACACACACACGCTACCCCTCAAACCTTGCATTCCCTGAACTCAGCATCCCAGCCAGATAATGAAAGTGGTGCCTGCCACTAAAGCAGGCCCATCTGATTCAGTGTATTTGTGAAATTATATATTATAATTATCTGGCTGGGATGCTGAGTTCAGGGAACGCAAGGTTTGAGGGGTAGCTTATTAACATTAAAGTAAGGCAGGCTTCACTTTAAACATTGGGTGCCTGCCTTACTTTGGTGTAAAGGAAAAAGCCAGCGAGCCAGGAAGAGTGGAAGCTGGGGAGTGTGTGCTCAATTTATCAGCAACATGGGGATGTCAAGCAGCCAATGACTATAAAGCAGACCACTCATCATTTTTAAATAGACAGAAAAAAAAAAATGGTAATATTTTTAAAAATATTTAAAAAAAATTTTAAAACAATCCCTAGCAACAACATAGGAGGATAAGGGAAACTGCAGTACCAATAATTGACATAGGTAATAACAATAATTTTTCCCCCCAAACAGACACATATTAAAAGTGTAAGTTTACACAAAAACACAACAAAAAAATAATTCTATAGGCTATTATTACATTTATTATATTTTTATTGCAAGAGAAACTGGTGGGGCGGTGCCCCTATGGACACGTCTCCATTGACTCAACCCTGTCTCATTTATCCTATCAACCCCTTTGTTAACTTTATTTCAGTCTTGTTCCTCTCAAAATTCCTACTTGCATGTATGCCTCCAGAGCCCCATATCTCACTCATAAACCTTATTTTCCCCTCACATTTATGCCTCTTCATAATCTCCATTTCCTTCTACAATCCAGAACTCCCTTCCCTCCAAACTTTATCTTTTTCCATTTTCATCCTCTCCCACTCTTCCAAATGTCTTCTTCTGTTATTTACCATATTATGTTACTTTATTGCCCCGCTCCATTACTTTCCTGTCATTCTGATACTGTGCCATATGATGACTTTCATTTTGATTTCCCATTTACTAATCTCCCCCTGCACTTCAAATTTTCTTTCCACCACACTATACAGTTTCTCACTATTCCCTGTCAACTATATTATGCAAGATTGTTTTAGAGAGGTTTCATTAAATTGCTTTGGAGAGCTGGAAGATTTAAGTTAAATTTCTCAGAACCTGGAGACTTCATGCCTTTTGTTTACTTGTCAGATTTTAGAAAGGGTTCATGTAGTGCAGGTTTCCCCAAACTCCTGCCCTCCAGATGTTGCTGAACTACAACTTCCTTGATTCTCAGCCTATCTATTTCATTCATAGAATCATGGGAGTTGTATTTCAGCAACATTTGGAAGGCCGGAGTTTGGGGAAGCCTGATTTAGTAGGTCATACAGTCTGTTAGCCCAAGATAAAAATAAAAAAATAGTTGATTTGATTAATATATAGAAAAGGAAAAAAAGCTTCAAATAGGTTAATGAGCATAAACAGGAGAGAGATTTAGTATTTGGGAATAACCATTATTTAATTTCCCATCTCCCTCATCACACCATTTTCCGCTTTCAACATCTAAGACACTTTTTTTTTTCCTTCTCCTAGACATTGAGTGCAGCCATTTAAACTATTTACTTTTATACTAGTTGCCCATCCCTGGCGATCTATTCTGTGGGATTCACTGCTTTTGATATTAACTGAAAAGTGTGGGTTATTTAAATGAATAATCAAAGGACCATTTCTACTACAGTAATGCCTTTGTACCCCTTAGTGTAAGTAGTCAAACCACTTGCTAATGGTTTGACAACTTGCATGGGGTGGGCTGGGAGCAAAGCGAAAATCAGCTGATGCTCTCAGCCAATAAGCAGAACCTGCAAAGCATGGAGTAGCTCAGAAAGCTCCTGGCAGTAGGGGGTTGCCAGAGTACATTTTATCATAACCACTACAGTGCATTGTGGTGCTTATATTGCTTGGAGTGTTCCTTTAATTTGCGAAATTTACATTTTAGGTGTAGACGTGAATATATGGTATTCTTTTTATCCTGGGAAAACTGCAGAATAGGGGTGTTGTAAATACTTTTCAAATGGTGCTGCAAGTTCAACAGCATAGCTCTGGTCAGCAACTACCTGAATGTGACTTACTCTGAGGGAGAAAGGCTTCGTGAAGGTGGAAAGTGTGGAACATCATATCCTTACTGCCCATTAACAAGCATTGTCTCTGCATTTACTGAAGATGCCAGTACTTAGCCAGCACCAAAATATTCCATAACACGTTTAATGATTTATACAGTAAAGGTGACTGCTGGCTATTGCTAGCTGGACAGCACTGATTTAGATTGAGATATAGGTGTGTGTGTACATTGTATTAAAAAATGGGCACTTAGAACTGGTATTTAAATCTAGTATCAAAGTCTGTTGCCTATTTTTTTTTTAGAAATTAATCCTCCATAAATATACCCGCTCCCTTGCTCATTAAATTTTGTCTCCCATCTTATTACATTTGTGTGTGTGTACGTATGTAATGAGTGCATGGTATACAATGAGAAGTCTGTTTGTTTTCCAAAGTTATTTTGCACATATACATTTATACAGATAGCATTAGTATACACCTAATGTGAAAGCACTAAATAACTTTATAAGTGAGAAAGTGTTTGCATATTATGTGTATATTGGTAAAAAAAAAATAAAATTACTCATTGAAAATGAAAGTATATAGGAGTGTTTTTTTTTGTTTTTTTTTATTCCTGTTATCATGGAATCTTTTATAAGTAGAAATTTCCTATGGTTTAAATATATATTCAAGATCTGTTTGTCACTTAATAAAGGTCTGAAAAAATCAATCTCTCTGTGCGTCACAATATCTACCTGTATATGTTGAGTACTGTTTAGAAAAACACGTTTGCATATTTAATGGTTTTAATAACAATTGTAAGAAAATAATTTACAAAACTATACATTAGAGAAGCAAATTGCAGCTTTCTCCAGATGGTGTTCGGCTGTAGTCCTCATAATTTATATGCAAGGTTGTTTGAGGGGTTTCAATAAATTGCTTTGATGAGCTGTTAACTGAAAGTCCACTTTCTCAGATCCTGAAGACTTCGTGCCTTTACTTGCCAGATTTTAGAAATGGTTCATGTAGTGTGTCATACAGTCTCTTAGCCTGAGATTAAAAAAAAAAAAAAAAAAGTTGATTTGGTTAATATATAGAAAAAGAAAAAACATCTATAAAGTTGCAAATAAATTAATGAGCATAAACATGAGAATAACAATAGAAACTCACTTTTTGTGGCCCAAGTCCTGGACAAAGGGAGAGGTCTTCGCGGGATGAGTTTGCAATATCGGCTAATGTCTGAGGGCAAAATTAGTTTTTAGTAAAACAGAAATAATAGAACATTCGTGAAATTACTGTAAAGAGAGTAGAATTGTTACTGGTCAGCACATACATACACGTGCCCCTCCTTTCTAGGAGTGCAGAATGTTTAGTATGCTGGAGTTCTATAGCTGTTGAGCTTTGTGATGCACGGAAAGTTACAAGGTTCTATATTTGCTGTAAATAATAGGCTAATAAAATAAAATCTTGTTCTAAATCACCTTGTTACTTAATTACGTCGGGTCATTAGGGTGGCTCAGTCACTTCAAACTTACCTTTCTCCTAATTATTTCTCTTCTGGTGTCAGAATATATTCTTTTTCTTAATTTCTGATATTCATCTTTAGGGACTACTTTTGTCTTTTTTCTACACTTTACATCTTGACAAAGGTTACAAAGGAAGTGGAGCTTGCCTTAAGCTCCACCTTTTTGTCATAATTGTCAAGCGTAGGAAAAATACACAAGACGAAAGTAGTCCATATTTTGTTTTATGTTTTAAAAAGGAAATAATAGGAGAAATGTAAGTTAGAGCCACTTTAACTAAAAACTTCACAGACTATTCCTTTCACCTGGCTATACCACCTAAAATTAAAATACAAAAAGAGTTCTACTTTTGGCTGGGTTGTATGTACACTTACTGTGACATGCCATGTTTCTGGTAGAACTGTTAGATTTCAGAAACAATCTCTGGAAATGCAAATTAATTATACATTTCAATGAGATGTGTTTTTCTAAGTTCAAATAACAAGTGTGATGGCTCTAGAACTAGCTTGTTTAAATGTGCAAAAATTAAATTCTAAAACCTTAGTGTCCATCTTGTGTCACAAATCAACTCTTTAAAAGGGACAATGTGACAAAAACAATTCAAGACTGTGCTGCCTGTTAAGTTAATGCATTATGTCCTGAATAGTTCCAACCCCTGTGTGTCTACTATAGGGTAAATCTTGCAATTTCCAAAGCAATTAATACCCCCTAATATTCTGTGTGATATCCAGTTAATTTCTAAGTATATTATATTTATTTTAAAAAAGGGGAGAGAACAGAAGCCCTCAGAGAATAGCATGTTAAAAAGATTTTGAATTTATTACATAAAAGCAATAATTTGACTCTCACAGTCAAATAAAAAGTTACCAGCATAACACTGTTTCCAACTAGTTCAGATAGGCTGTATCTTCATCACTGTGAAGTGGCTGTATGTGTCTCAATACTGCAACTTGGAGTTTAACAGCGAGACAGTAACCGAAACATGTGGAGTCTCTTAATGAATTTAAAAGTGAACTGTGTGATCAGCTAAATCACCAAGAACCTCCTCCATATATCAATTGTTTATATTTTGAAGAAATTAAAAGCATCTGAGAGATATGTTATTATACAAATATACACAGGGCTAGTACAAGCAGCTCTCTGTTCTGGTAACTTCATTTATTGAACTATAACAAGGACTACAGGTGATTCATTTAGACTTGAAAAGAAGACTTCACCTGTGATAGAGAATAGGTTTCACTACACTGAGCTATTACATTTGACTTCTTTTGTAATGATATGGCAGCAAACAAGTTAGTCAATATTGTCTGTTTGATTTTGCTTTTATCAATGTGAAAGCCTTTTACGTGTGGTTTTTGTTTCCTGAATGCATACGTTTCAAATCATTTGTATTGTTTTCACAGAATATTAATTGATTTAAAAAACAAAAAACAAAAAAAAAACCCGAACACACAATGAAAATGATGACGGCATACATATTGTCAGAGTCAGTCACTCTGGCCCAATTCTTTATTCTGTGTGTGTTGGCGGAAACAAGTTATATAAATAATACTAACCCCAAAGGTGGTAAACAAAGTTCCACTATCTGTTTTGTTCACAGATTTCACAGTAGTGAGGCAGTCTGTCATCTAAAATAAGGAACAAATAGTTAAAACACTCACCTAGATAAATAAGTTGTCACTCTTAAAACGCAAATGTTCAGGTGCAATACAGTACATGCAACTGGTTAAAAAACAAAATAACAAACAAGTTTATTTTTGAATAGAGTGGAAAATGTTTAGCAGTTGAGGTGCACATAAGAATCACCATCTGCAGGGACACAATAACAGATGGAAGCCTGGGGTAAGCTGTCACAAGGGTCACATGTAGAAAATTCTCTATATTGCACTCTTACTGGTAGATGTCCTATGTCTACTGTCACAAACAGATCACTACTCCTATCGCATACAGAACCACCAGGCCTATACAATCAGTGTCACTTCTATATGGTGCATATGATGTTTGTGATGCTGCTTTGTAGAAGATTAATATGCAAGTGACACACAAAAGCCACATTGAGAAAATACAACAACCATAACACACACATCCCCGAGTCAATTGTTTGGTACCTCATTTTTGGCTCAGGCTCCTAGATTTAAAGAAAGTTAGTCAAATTCTGAATAATGGTGTCAACAACTGATAAATATTGTCTGAGAAACAATGACCATTGTGGTTTGACCCCTTTTGCTTAAAGGGACACTCCAGTGCCAGGAAAACAATCCATTTCCTTGCACTGCAGGTCCCCTCTCCCTCCCAACCCCCGTCCCCGGTTTCTGAAGGGGTGAAAACCCCTTCAGTCACTTACCTGAGACCCCTGCCGATGTCCCTCGTGGTGGTTTCGGGTCGCCGCCCCTCCCCTTCCTTACGTCAGCTGGTGGGCGAGAATGATCCCGCCCGCGAGACCTAATGCCGCGCACGCGCATTAAAGCTCTCCATAGAGCGGTTCTAATATTGAAAATAAAAATGCTTTCCTATGGGGAACTGAGCGACGCTGGAGGTCCTCACACAGCGGGAGGATGTCCAGCGACGCTCTAGCACAAACCTGTGCTATAGACACGGACATGCCCTCTAGTGGCTGTCTAGTAGTCAGCCACTAGAGGATGAGTTAACACTGCAAGGTAATTATTGCAGTTGATAAAAAACTACAATAATTACACTTACAGGGTGAAGGGTAGTGGGAGTTGGCACCCAGACCACTCCAATAGGCAGAAGTGGTCTGGGTGCCTGGAGTGTCCCTTTAATAGTGCACCCATTTAGCCCGATGTTCTAAAACACAATTGGAAGTCAATATTGTCCCAAATCACACCACGGAGGGTTAAATAGCTTTGTTCAAGGTAAGCACATACTAAAATGGGCATGCATTAGTAGACAGTTTTTTTTTTTTTTTTTTTTTTAAACAAGCAAACATTTTTAAATATACAAACCAAAATAAAGCAAGAATACTTTGAAAAGTATGTAATAAACATTTATAAACTTGGTCAGAATGCAATACTGGGCACGCCTATTATCTAGGGGAGTTTCTTCTGCCCCACCCTCCCTCTTACTAATCCATCTTGGTTTAAGACCTGTTAACTAATGTCAAAAACAGGGCATCATTGTGCAGCAGGAGAGAGTAACCAGACACCGGAGCCTGCTCTATGAAATCACACTGATCAGACTCCCTCTCTTCTCCCCTTGTCAGGATGTTGCAAGGTGAAGAGTTCTTTCAACTGCACTTGGGTAAATCTGTCAGGCATGCCCAATGTACTTTTCCAGCATTCCTAATGATAGGACACTGTTTGGCTAGATCAGTGCCCCTCAAATGAGAATGGAAAGCATAAAAAAGAAGAAGCAGGTAAATGGTGTGGGGGAATCATTTACCTGCTTTTTTAAACCTGCATAGTGAAGCAACTGCATTATTCAAAGCTAAATCTTTGTGATTAGACAGTTGTCTCAAAGTGATGCATGTTCCTTCAATCACACTGTAAGCATTTCTTTTGCCCTGTTAACCTTTCTCTCTCACCCTAGATATGAAGTCCCTCTCTGTCTTCTCTTTCAGTACATCGGCTGGCTTCTGCTCATAGCATTTATATGTTTCCAAGTAGCGTGCTGCTTCCTCTGGACTGTAAAAGGAAGAGCCAAGTTCAAGAATTATTATATTCCCTAACACCTATGCAAATGTCTAATTTTGCTTTGAAAGATTTCTCTTCATATTCCCATTAACAGCATCTTCATATGCTAAGTTCTATGTTACGCTTACACCCACCTCCAGCTCAGTATTAAAGTGCAGTCAGATAGAATACAGATCTTCGCCAACTCTTTTAATGAGAAATGGGGGTCTTTCTGAAAGAACAATATGAGAAATAGTGATGAATATAAACAAGTATAGTGTAACCTTTTCACTTCTGAAAGAAAAATTGTCTTCATGCTGATCAGACTCACCACATCCACCTGTACCATAAGCACACGAAGGGCAAAGCACTGTCCAAGAGATCGAAGGCGAGAATGTATGTATTCAGGGTTTAAATTGTGATATCTTAAGCTATCAAAATAAAAAGATAAAATGTATGTACTACAAATGTTCATTGATTAGGTGAAAACGGAAAAAAAAGGAAATATAAGAAAAATAGTGATATTGCAAATGTTGAAATATAAGGTACTTGCCTCAGGAATAGTGCACAACTTGAATCTCCTAGCAGGTAATCTGGCACAATGTCTCCAAACTCCCAGGGTACATTTCGTAGATGTTTAAGGAGAGGGTTTCCTCTCTGAAACACAGTAAAGGAATTCCAACTTTATCACAAGAAAGGCTTGGTTAACACATGGTAACGAAGAAATGGCAGCTGTATCAGAAAATATTGGCTCCCCTAAGCTTAAAGGTGGTGGGCTATTTAGCAGAGTCCGTTTCAAGTCTACTTTACACTCCCAGGACTCAGATTGAACACAGATGAAAAGGACAGCAAGGGGGCCCAAATGCAGCATTAGATACAGGAACGACTTTCCAATCCTCTGACAGGCATTTGGGAAACAGCCAACCTCTCAAGAAAGAGGACTAATGTTTGGTGTCCATAAATATTAACAGATGGGCGGTAAAGCAGTGGAAAAAGAGTTGTGCATATACTTACCTAACCCAAAGTCTCATTCTAAATATACAAATCTAAATGTAATACTTGGGAACTTACTATATTTTAATCACTATGTGTTTTTCACACAAAAACTAAATCTTGAAAAATTAAAATGTCTGTCTTAAGCTTGCTTACTTTGTGTTTAGAGTGTGTCCTGTCTTTTCTTCATTTAACAAAAAGTGCAGATTTATATAGAAACTGGCACTTTAATAAATGAACGTGGTTACACACCCAGGTTGTTAATCAGACACTCGGTCCTGTTACTTCCTGGTTTGGTTAGCGTAGTGGAGCTGAACTCAAAAGGCAGCACTTGCCTTGCAAAGACTTCTCATTGATCTGCATTGGGAAGCCTGTAATTGGACAGCCATAATTGGTGTGTACTACACTTCTGTGTCAGCTAAACCAGATATGCACCACATACTACACACAGTGGTACTTAGCTTTTGTATAATTGATGCAGCTTCCCAGGTGGTTTGCCCAATTAACCACCCTTCAACAGCAGTATGTATAGACAAAAATGTGGGATTCAGCTACGCATCTAAAAAGGAATAAATAAATAGCACATTGTGAAGTATGTCAGAATATAAATCAACTCTGCGCTGTAGATATACACTCACAATTTCCTTTCCTCTTGTAAGTGTATATCTACAGCACAGAGTTGATTTATATTCAGACATACTTCACGATGTGCTATTTATTTATTCCTTTTTAGATGCATAGCTGGATCCCACATTTTTTGTCTATACATACTACTTTAATACACATATATATATCTATCAGTATTTAGAATGAAAGAGATATAGCGGAGCTTTAAATACCTTACTTATATGAAATTATTTAACCCTTGCATGCACTTTTATGGTAAGAATTCTATACACTGCACAAAAACAGCTTTTATATATTCTTTTATCTTTATTTTCCATTTTACAAGTTAACAAATTCCAAATATATTTCACAATAGTATTCATATACTGTATACTTTACAAATATCATTGTCAACACATTTTATTACAAAGTAGTTGTATATAAATAACTAAAAACATCCAATCAGATGGACATTAAATTATATATTAGATAGTTGTCCTTCCTTCCCCTTTTACTCATTGCTGGTGATAGGGGAGTTGCCGTTTTTTTACTTCCTAACCTTGATTTTCATATCTATATGCATAATTCAATGCATGCATGTATACCTACTAAATAGTGGTTTGTTTGTTGTTTTTTTTTTATTGGATTTGGGCAGTGGAGTGTTCTTTTAATATGATGAATACAAATGAACTACTTGTTTCATAAGCCCTTAAATCACAAACCAAAAAAAGACGTAAACCACTGCTTAATATAAAATAAAAGTTCTAGTGAATAATCCTAAAACTCTTAAAAGTGTAACACACACCAAAAAAAAAAAAAAAAAGTGATGCGGCTAAACCAGAACAAGAAAGCATACATAATTAATACAATTAACCTACCATATATATGGTTGTGGCAGGCTTATGCTATGTATGATCCCTATTATTTTTTGCCTAAGTTAGGTGTTTTTAAATAAAACTATTACATTTTCTGAGACTTGCTGTTTAATGAATGAGCAAGTCTGCTGGATCTCGAATGTGTGAGTGAGTGAGAGTGAGAGAGAGAGAGAGAGAGATATATTTTTTAAGGGAATATTATGAGGGAATGCACTGAGTGATCTTGCTCAGATATGCTTATTTTTTTTTAATTAAGAAATCATTGTTTCAGTCCAACAAACTGGACTTTCTTTAGGATAGCAAACCGAAATCCTGCATCCGATTTAAATATCCTGGGCAAACAAAACCAAAGTGAAAGAGAGGCTCTCAAGCCATGGTATGAAACCACACTCCACACCCATCTCCATAGAAACCACCACTGTGTACCATTAGGCGCAAGCGAAACGCATTCAGGCAATATATATTTTTTTATTTAATTTATTTATTACTGGCATTTATAAAGCACCATATTCTGCAGCGCTGTACAATTAGAGGAGAACGTGCAACATACAAAAAAAAACAAAAAACAACCCAGCATGTAACAAAAAGTGCCAATGAAAAGTCAATATAATAAAATAAAATGTAACAAATGTAAACAGTTTCATAGTTTGTTGTACTGAATCATTGATTTCTTAAAGGAACACTATAGTGTCAGGAACACAAACATGTTTTCCTGACCCTATAGTGTTAAAACCACCATCTAGACCCCCTGATCCCCCTTGCCTACCTAAATAGAGTAAAATCTTACCTGTATTCAAATCTGCAGTTGCTGCCTCTGCCACTGACCCGCATGCTTACAGCTGACATTATCAGAACTGATTCTGTGAGGCAAGCACAATGCTTTGCAATTGGATTAACCAAGACTGTCAAGGAGGCAGATCAGGGGCAGAACCAGCACAAGGCAAAAACAGTCCTGGCCAATCAGCATCTCCTCATAGAGATGCATCTCTATGAGGAAAGTGCAGCATCTGCGTGCAGATAGTGGAGACACTGTGCAGCACTGCTCCAGGAAGAACCTCTAGCAGCCTTTTGAGGAGTGGCCAGTGAAGGTATCCCTAGGCTGTAATGTAAACACTGCATTTTCTCTGAAAAGACAGTATTTACAGTAAGAAGGTAATGATTCTACTCACCAGAACATATACAATAAGCTGCAGTTGTTCTGGTGATTATAGTGTACATTTACTTTTAAAAAAAAAACACAAAAGCATACGTAAGCAAGACAAGTGAATGCATTCCCTTGTTATTTTTATGTTATTGGGCTGGAATTACACCAAGAACAATATTTGTTGAGCTCATTTGCATATGCCTACCCAGAATCCCTTGCAGTAGTGAAAGCACTGTTAAAGTGAGATTTCTGTGGGAAAAGCAAGTCTTATGGCTTGCCTGGTGTCTGTATTTGTGTTTAGCAATGTATTTATTATCCACTTACGTCAGTTGGAAGGTGTTTTCATCCATACTTTTTTCCCCACCACAACTCCATTGGTATAGAAACATAGACATATATAAAAAATTTTTTTGCATAATACTGACTGCCATAATTACCTGTCGCGTACTGACTACAATACAGCTCCTTCCTCCTCCTGGAGTTGTAGATGCAATAGCTTCTTGTCCTGCAGACAATGCCGTATTCTCTCTAGCAGCAACCTTGATTCCAGTGTTTTCTTGAATCTTGGGCTGTTGCTGGACAATGTAATCAGCGTAGGTTCCACATGATGCTGCTGGGGCTAAATGTTCTACTGATGTCGCCTGAAAAAGGGGGCGTACCTACAGGCAGAGCAAAAAGGAAAAGCTAAGAATGTTTGTAGAGAAAGCAAAAAGTCAACACAAAGTAGAAATCTTACCTGGGATAATTCTGGCAACTGGGAAGGGATTATAAAATTCTTTGCTTTCTCCTCTGTGGATTTTTGATCTTCCATTCTTTACTGTAATAAGAATTAAACAAAAAAAGGGCCAATAATAGGTTAAGCTCATGGGTTGCCTTTTGATGATAAACAAATATGGAAAATATTAAACCTAGTCTAGCTGATTGCCATTAGAGTTAAAGAAAAAAATACATATGTAACATCACAGACAACAACAGTTCAGAATTAGACATAGACTTTGATTTACAATGGAAGGATATACGAACCGCTGAGTAAACTTCACACACAAAAACACAAATATCACAATTTAAAAGGACTGAGCAGATTAGACGGGCCTAAACTATAATAATTAGGTTACTTCATAACTTTCCTGAATACAGTACCGTAGGGAAGAACTAGAGTGATTTTTATATATAAAGGATATTCATAACAGAGAACGCAACAAGGTATATAGTTATATCAGATTATCTAGCCAAGGTAACCATTTCTCATCAAATTTTAAGTGGCTATCATATTGAAGATATTCCCCTTTCCATAATGTGTTGGTATTTAAGCTGAGTTAGCACTTGGGTCCAAGATTGAGTCTTTTTCTGTAGCCAATATCTTGATATTTCTATTTTTATGGCCATCATAAATTGGATTATTAAATATCTATTTTGAGTTGAGAATCTTCTTAAATTAAAATGAAAAAGAGCAACCATTGAGTTATATTCCAAATCTTCTCCCACTAAATCTGATATAACTCTAAATGCTTTATTCCATATAGGTCTTAAAAGCTTACATCCCCACCAGATATGTTTAGAGCTACCTTCAGCACAAGTACACCTCCAACAAAGTTTGGAATTATGAGGGTTGATTCTATTTAGAATTTTTGGTACCCTATGCCATTGATGAAGAATTTTATAATGGAGCTCTATGATATTTAAACAATGCAACGATTTTTTAACTTCTTGAATTGATCTATACCACTGCTCTATCTCGATTGGAGACCCGCTTTCTTGTCCCCAGTTTTTCCAGGCTTTTGGTTTAGACTCTTTTTCTTCCTCTCTCAATATTTCATACCAACTAGATATCGATTTACGTTTAGTATTATTTTTAAAGAGATCATTTTTTTTTTTAAATTTATCCTAGTGTTGTCATAAAGCAGATGGTTATCCAAATAATTTTTGATTCTTAGGTATGAGAATAACTCTCTTGAATTAAGGTCAAGACTTAACCGAAGATTTGAAAAATACCTTATTTTCTTCAATTATAATAAATCATCAATCAATCTATTTTAGTTGAACCAAATTTGATCCAATTACCTAAATTTAGGTAATTAATATTATATTCCATTGTCTTAATTGGATTATACTTAGATTTTTTATTTAAAATGTGATTTCTTTTCCTGTATTTTACCCAAATTTCATAGATATCTTTTATGTATGAAGTTTCTATGTTGGAGATGAATTTTGCACTAGCCCCGACGTCAATCCATAACATATTGGAAAGATCTTTTGAATTACACAGAAAGGATTCAATTTTATACCAAGGCTCTTGTATTGTGGTTGGGCCCTGCCATCTCCACAGATGGTACAGCCTAGAAGCTGTATTCATTGTTTCTCAAAGTTACGTTGTCAGGCAGCATCTATAGATTAAAACCACTATATTAAAGGAGCACTACAAAAACAAAAAGTGCTTAAGCTTGTGTGAAGTGTGTCCCCTTTTTTCATTTTACAAAAGTGCCAATTTGCATAGATATTGGTCACTTTTATAACCTTATGCGGTTAGGTTACACCTCTCTGGCTGACAGACAGCTTGGAGGAGTATCTTCTGCTAGTTTAGCTCCTTTGCTAAACTCAAATGGCAGGCACTTGCCTAGAGCACCTGCCTTGTAAAGCTTCTCAATGAGAAAACTGACTGTGAAGAGAATGTCTGTGCCAGGAAAGAACGTGAGGGCTTCCAGCGGCTGCAGATATTAGATTTTTAGGTAATGCAAACTATGTTTTCATAAGTCCCCAAAGAGTGCTTTAAAGGAACACCCCATAACCTCCTGCATCTCTATGTAGTGGTTATGGTGCTGCTAGGACAGCCTTGGTGTCATCTCATGACAAGCAGTCAAATAGTTATCCTTACCAGTATGAGTGTATGCACCCAGAGGGCATTGTATACAGGTGATACTCGGAAAATTAGAATATTGTGCAAAAGTTCATTTATTTCAGTAATGCAACGTAAAAGGGGAAACTAATATATGAGATAGACATTACATGCAAAGCAAGATAGTTCAAGCCGTGATTTGTCAGAAGTGTGATGATTATGGCTTACAGCTCATGAAAACCCCAAATCCACAATCTCAAAAAAATAAGAATATTGTGAAAAGGTGCAATATTCTAGGCTCACAGTGTCCCACTCTAATCAGCTAAGTAAGCCATAACACATGCAAATGGTTTCTGAGCCTTTAAATGGTCTCTCAGTCTGGTTCAGTAGGAATCACAATCATGGGGAAGACTGCTGACCTGACAGTTGTGCAGAAAACCATCATTGACACCCTCCATAAGGAGGGAAAGCCTCAAAAGGTAATTATGAAGGAAGTTGGATGTTCCCAAAGTGCTGTATCAAAGCACATTAATAGAAAGTTATGTGGAAGAAAAAAGTGCACAAGCAGCAGGGATGACCGCAGACTGGGGAGGATTGTCAGGAAAAGGCCATTCAAAAGTGTTGGGGACTTTCACAAGGAGTGGACAGAGGATGGAGTCAGTGCATCAAGAGCCACCACACACAGACGGATCCTGGTCATGGGCTTCAGATGTCTTATTCCTCTTGTCAAGTCGCTCCAGAACAACAAACGTCAGAAGCGTCTTACCTGGGCTAAAGAAAAACAGACCTAGTCTGTTGCTCAGTGGTCCAAAGTCCTCTTTTCTGATGAGAGCAACTTTTGCATCTCATTTGGAAACCAAGGACCCAGAGTCTGGAGGAAGAATGGAGAGACACACACTGCAAGATGCTTGAAGTCCAGTGTGAAGTTTCCACAGTCTGTGTTGATTTGGGGAGCCATGTCACCTGCTGGTGTTGGTCCACTGTGCTTCATTAAGTCCAGGGTCAACGCAGCCGTCTACCAGGAGATTTCCTTCCGCAGACGAGCTTTATGGGGATGCTGACTTCATTTTCCAGCAGGACTTGGCACCTGCCCACACTGCCAAAAGCACCAAAGCCTGGTTCAATGACCGTGGGATTACTGTGCTTGATTGGCCAGCAAACTCGCCTGACCTGAACCCCATAGAGAATCTATGGGGCATTGCCAAGAGAAGGATGAAAGACAGGAGACCGAACAATGCCGAAGAGCTGAAGGCCGCTATTGAAGGATCCTGGTCTTCCATAACACCTCATCAGTGCCACAGGCTGATAGCTTCCATGCCACGCCGCATTGAGGCAGTAATTGCTGCAAAAGGATCCCAAAACAAGTACTGAGTCCATATGCATGCTTATACTTTTCAGAGGTCCGATATTGTTCTATGTACACTCCTTGTTTTATTGATTGCATGTAATATTCTAATTTACTGAGATTGTGGATTTGGGGTTTTCATGAGCTGTAAGCCATAATCATCGCATTTATGACAAATCACTGCTTGAACTATCTTGCTTTGCATGCAATGCGTCTACCTTATATATTAGTTTCCCCTTTTACGTTGCATTACTGAAATAAATGAACTTTTGCACGATATTTAAATTCCTCGAGTATCATCTGTAGTGGACTGAGCACTGCAGGTTGCCCTCTAAAAGGTATGACTACACGGCCACAGAATTAATATATAAATCTCACATATATAATTTATATATCTATATCTATCTATATGTAAAATCACAGGCCAAACATCCTTTTTACAATATTAGAAAATAAATATATTTACGTGCAACACATATAATGCACTCTGCAAGTAAGGACAAAGACATAATTTCTTAGTAGCTTTCTTTAACTGGGATAATGACGTACACATAGTTTTTGACGTACACATATATTCCTGCAAGCTATTCAATATTTAATATGTGCACTAAATGTGAAACGGAAATAAAGGCAAAAAAAAACAATAAAGCAAAATTTCACATTTCTCTAATAATAATAATAAACCATAAATAATTACAATAGAATTATTACTTAAAGGGCTAAGTGAATCCTTCTCCCACATAATAGACGGTGTTCGGTGCGGCCATTAGCAATACTACACACAGACCTTTAAGTTAAACCAATAACTATAGAGCTGTCACTATTACCCTGGAAGGTCTCCCTGCTGGGTTTCTCGTCGCACTGCTTTGTCGTCACTTCCGGTTGCGCCTAGCGTCCCAATCCCGATAGTCCAGTAACCCGGAAGCAGATAGTGCGCGGCTGACCTTTGCGTGGTGACGTCAGCTGGTGCTCCTGGAAGCGATCAGCCGCTTGGTCCCCGAGAACGGACAGGAAGTGAGGGAGACAGTGACAACGTACCGGCTCCGGCGGGCTGTCATCACCAGGGGCTCGGAAAGAGGGAAACCAGGGATCAGACCTAGAGTACAAATCTAAACATACCAGAGAAAGTGCCAACCAGGGTAGATATCCATTATACCCAGCATCATCCATAGTGGGCATTGAGTAACTAATGGTAAACATGGATTAAAGCAGAGGCTGGCAGCCTTCAGCAATCCAGATGTTGTGGACTACATCGCCTCTGGGGCTTATCCTGCATTAGACCTGTAGAGCATTATGGGAGATGTAGTCCACAACGTCTGAAGTGCCAAACCTTGCCTACCCCTGATTTAAACTGTATATGTTAGCATTATCAATCTGCTGTCACACTCCTGCTTGTCAAAGGTGTTCATTTGTGACCGCAGTGCTTTGTGTGTGCTTGTCTAATCTTGCCATGTAGCAGGGTGGCTTTCCGTAATAAGGGTGCACAATTAAAGGACCACTATAGGCACCCAGACCACTTCCGCTTAATGAAGTGGTCTGGGTGCCAGGTCCCTCTAGGGTTAACCCTGCCTGCTGTAATCATAGCAGTTTCAGAGAAACTGCTATGTTTACATTAGGGTTAAAACAGCCTCTAGTGGCTGTCTCATTGACAGCTGCTAGAGGCGCTAGTGAGAAGACGCCAGCGTCTATAGGAACGCATTGAGAATGCTTTACTATGGACTGGCAGAATGCGCGCGCGGCTCTTGATGCGCATTCAGCCGATGACGACTGAAGGAGGAGGAGAGTCCCCAGTGCCGAGGGAGCCTTGCGCTGGAGAAAGGTGAGCGGCACTCTAGTGCCAGGAAAACAAGTTTGTTGTCCTGGTACTATAGTGGTCCTTTAATTCAGAATATGATGTGTAGAAACATATCTGCAAGAGGGGGGTAACAGAGGATAAAAATGCAGCTTTGACCATCAGCTGCATTGCAGAATGTGTGTGCTTCCCTATTGTAATCACTTCACTTCCAGGGAAACAAATCCTTTCTGCTATGAATGTAAGATAAATTTTTTTCCCCCCCTGCATTTTAGACTCGGCACTATGTCAGGAACCGGCAATAAGAGAACTGCAGGGGATAATGTCAGTTCCTCAGCACCCCCAGAAAAGAAGGCTGCAGTTGAGGACTCGGGGACCACAGTGGAGACCATTAAACTTGGCGGTGTTTCATCTACGGTAACTACAACAGCAAATAAAACTTTCTTGCACACAAAATTCCAGAAAAGGTTTAAAACTTAGCATTTATTGTGATTTTGTGACCTTATTCATTGTGTAAAAAATAAATAAAAAAAAACAATATCTTGATTAGTCTTTTAGTTAAAAATGATAATGATCCTACAGCTGTAGTTTAGGGGATGAATAGGGACAAAACGAATGATATAGAGTGTTTAAATCAAAAGAGAGAGAATGATACAGAAAACAGAAATTTTACTTACAGTATATTCTTTTTTTTTTTTTTTTTTGTTAATATAGTGGCTGTACCAGAGGGGTTGTATATATTCTTAGGGACAAACAGACAAAAAAAAAATGTAAATAATACCTCCTCCTTCCCCTTTAAATACTTGCTTCAAGCCCAGGAACCTCGGTCTATGAAAAGAAACCACCAAAAACCATGCCATGCTCAATATAAATTTACTATCAAAATATTGAAGGAAATTGTAGTGCCACTATATTAAGGGGGAAAAAATTTAATAGGACTTGAATTTCCCCAATCCCCTTGGCTGAGGTAATTTCTATTAGGAACAACGTCTTGAGAAATAGCAACTTAAGTGACACATTCTCTAGCGGTTCAAAACAATCTTCACATAAAGACTAAAGTACCAACGAGAAGTCCCATGATGGGAACTGAAACTTGCGAGGAGGTCTTTTCAGCAAAATAGCCTTAAACACCTAATCAACAGACAAGAAGCAAAATCCTTAAGTAAATAATGGCTAAGAGCCGCTATACCTTCAAGATAGAAACACTGAGACCGGTTTCAAATCCCTCTTGCAAAAACTGGAGAATAATTCTGACAGATGGTTCACACTGAATGTACTCATTACAAATGCACCAATGGAGAAACTTGCTCCTTATTCTAAGGTTGATCTTCAAAGTTGATTTTCTAGTAGAGTTTAGAATGACATTAAACAAACTTTCCGGTATACCTTTACTTTGCAAAATTAGCATTGCAACAGCCAAACCATCAATTTGAACATATGAAGTGTCATTTCTAGAAGAATAACGTTCTCCAATAGATGTTCTAGTGCCATTTGTTTTAATGCTGAGAACCAACTCCTGGTCTCTTCTGTTTGAAGAACTAAAAAAAGTCTAAAAAAGCGAAGCGAACACAGGAACTTTCGTGTTCAATCTTTTTGCTATGAGGTCTTTCACAGGCAGACCGAGTCTTTCCACTATTTTGGAAAACCACTGATTCCTGCTGAGGTTGTCTGCGACAATATTTTTTGTCTTTTTATGTGGACTGCAGAGAGGAAACATAGATTTCCTTGTGACCACATCATTATTTTGCCAATGAGAATATGAAGATCTTTGATCCTTGTTCCGCCTTGACGATTGATATAGGCTACTGTAGTGCTGTTATCTGATTGGATTTTCACTGTTCTTTTCAAAATCCAGAACTTGAATGCTTTTAGGGCATACCAAACTGCCAAGAGTTCTCTGTAATTGGTCAAGTGATTTGCTTCCTCTTGATTCCAGAGACCCTGACTGAACTGAGACAGTAGATGCTCTCCCCATTCTTGTTTTCGTCTTTCGCATTCATTACTATTCATTCTTGCTGATGGAACGGAAAACCCATCGTCCAGAATCTTGACTGCTTCCACCGATTTAACTTATCCCGGACTGGTAACGACAGGCAGAATTCCAGCTCCAGATCTTTGCCCCTTCTTGTCCAATGCGCTAAGATCTCCCATTGTAGTGGCCTCATTGCTTTTGCCCATTTGGCGGCTGGAATCGAAGATGTAAGGGTTCCTAGAATACTCATTGCTTTCCTTATAGTGCACTTTACTTCTTGTTGGAGGAAAAAAAAATTCCCTTATGATCTTTTTAGAAGCGGCGATGCAGTGATAATATTTTGGAATCCATGGATCTTTAACCCCTTAAGGACACATGACATGTTTGACATGTCATGATTCCCTTTTATTCCAGAAGTTTGGTCCTTAAGGGGTTAAAGTTAGTTGAAGCTGTGACTTTTTTAGATTGATGATCCAACCATGTTTCCTGAGAAGATGCATTGTGACGTGAATGTGTCTTCTTCCAACTGTCTCCTTGATCCTGCTTTGATGAGCCAATCGTCTAAATAAAGCACCACCGATACCCCTTTCTCTCGCAGACTTGCAGCCAGTGGTCTGAGAAGTTTAGTAAATTTTTTTGGTGCTGATGCGAGACCAAAGGGCCTTGATTTGGAAATAGAGTATTGTTTCGGCTAAAAGAGCATCTCTTTTCTTTAGTGCAGGATAGGATGTCAGAAGGAAGCATGGTCTTGACTTACTTGAAAAGCTGATCATTTTTTAATCACACCTAAAATTCATGGGTTTGCAGTTGTACTCTTCCATCCTTTGAAAAATAGTTGCAGACAACCTCCTACTTTCTCGTCAGAATATCTTCTTATCTTGCCTGTTTAGAGGTCTTGTTATTAAATTTATTGTTTATCTGTTAGGCTTCAAGAAAAAACTATTCGTATCATTCCTCATAGCTCTTTGAGGACGGTATTGAAATCTTCTGGAACCAGATGCATATGTTTTTTTGTGGCAATGCTTTTTTTTGTGAAACCAGGGGGCTGCACTCACCTGAAAATACATAAATGGGGTGCTGGAGGGGGCCAAATTATACAATACAGAAGATCCAGCACACTCACATATCCACTAAACAGCAACTTCAATGCTGACAGATTTTTTTTTTTTTTACCCCTTAGTGACTAGAGCGTTTTTTAAATTTTCTTACCGTTAAGGACCAGGCCTCTTTTTACATTTCTGTGGTGTTTGTGTTTACTCATTTACTGTACCCACACATAATATATACAGTTTTCCTCGCCATTAAATTGTCTTTCTAAAGATACCATTATTTCATCATATCATATATAAAAAAAAAAGTGGGGAAAAAATACACGTTTTCTAACTTTGTACATTTTGTCCTGAGTTTAAAAAATGCCCAATGTTAACATGTTCCTAGCTTTTTTTCGGAAAGTTATAAGGCTATAACTACAAGTCACTTTGCTATTTGCCAACCATTTTTTGTTCAAAATTAACGAACGTTTCATTGTAATACTGATATAACCCTTCACATGTATATATTTTTTTAAAAGAAGACAACCTAAGGTATAAAACAACCTAAGGTATATTTCTGACACACATAGCAATTTAAGAATACATGTACTGAGAACTTTAATGGTTACTCCCAAAGAAAACCCCAATATGTGTTCAGCAACAACCACCCATTCATAGGTGTGTCAGGTTCTATGGGGGCTAAAAGACCTTACTTGGAGGTTGCGCATTCCAGTTTTCCAACTTGGAATTTTCCCAGCTGGTCATCATGAACCCATTTGCTATTTGGGACATTTTTGAAGCAGGCCAATGTAATTTACCTACATCAAACCATATATTTTTGAAAAGTAGTCACCCTAGGGCATTTCAAATGGTGGTATTTTAACACTTTCCATGCACTAATTCTACCACCAGTCTTTGTCAACCTTTTGGGTAGACATTTTTTTTTTATTTTCACACACATTGTACTTTAGGCATGGATTCTCAGCTCCTGTTATGTATTACTGCCAAAGAACACCACAATATGTGTTCAGCAACATCTCCCGAGTACAACAGTGCCCCCAATATACAGGTTTTATGTGTTTTTGCAAACTTACAGGGGTCAAATGTAGGGCTTTTCCATTTTCCATGTTTGCACATTGAAATTTGCCAAATTTGTTTGCTGTTGCCTTTGAGACCGTATAGCAGCAGGAATGAAGCGTAACCCCATCATGACAACCATTTGTAAAAGTAGACAACCCACGGTATTAAAAATAGGGTGTTGTGTGTGTGTGTGTGTATATGTGTGTGTGTGTGTATATATATATATATATATATATATATGTGTGTGTGTATGTTCTTTTTTTTATTTATTTTTTTATTTTATTTTAACTGAGTTCCTTAATCCCTCGAGGCACTCATTACAGGCAGAACCTAGGAAGCCTGCCTGATGGCTTCCTAAGCTCTGCCTCACTGCCGGTCCCCACGTGGAGCAATCCAGAAGTGATCGCTCCAGGCGGAGCGGCCACCGGCAGTGAGGGGGGTATTGCAGCAATACCTCGACATCGAGGCATTGCTGTAATACCATTAGAGGGGTTAAAAACGACTAATCTAGGCAAAAATAATGGGGATTTAGTGATATTAGATGCTTCTTTTTTTTTTTTTCTGTCCGACAAATGTTTTATCGTTTCCTCCAATGGCGATCCAAACAACTTTTCCACTTTCTATTGGTAATTCACATAGGTAAGCTTTCAAAGCTGTATCCGACGACCATGAATGGAGCCACATTGCTCTTCTGGTTAAAGATGCTAGCCCCATCGTGTGTGCTGACAATTTAAAATTTTCCTCTGACATTTTAAGCATAAATTCATTTGCTGAACTGATATTATGCAAAAGTTGAGGAATTTCTATTTCTGCACCTTCAAGCAGACGACTTTCAATCACTTGAAGCCATACTTTTTGAGCCTTCATGAGAGACACCTGCTACCGAGACCTTACTCTGAAAATCTGCTGCTTGGAACATCCTCCTACAGAATGCTTCCGGTTTTCTATCCATGGGATTCTTTAGGCCCAATACCTCACTGATCGCCAGGGTAGGTTTTTGAGATCGTTGTGCGACCTGTGTGTGTCTACTTTAGGTAGATCTTCCCAGCTCAACTCTTATTGCAATCAAAATAATACTTTCAAATGCTTGGAGATGAAAGTTGTTTTTTTTTCTGGATTCTTCCATTCCCTGTAAACTAGCTCCATCAGTTTACGTTCTATTGGCAAACCTCTGATCTTTTTTGTCTTTGAATCATCGGCTAACCTCGCTGTAATTTCCTTGGTGAACCTTCTCAGTTCCTCAGTAGGAAAGCCTTCCTCCACACTCAAAGCTTAACTGGCGAGTGATGAGTATGATGTGTCCGAGCATTCTTCAGATGATAATTTCTGGAATACTTCTCCCATGTCAGCGTATGCACTCAAGATGTCGCTTTAAAAGACTCAAAAGTTTGCTATAGGTTGTACTGGAACACTGTGGAGGAAATTCTGCACATCCTTTTGTTTATTTTTTTCTAAACTTTCCACAAAACCACTGTTACACAACTTTTTTACTCCATCCATCTGGCAGTGGAGTAGCGCATTCAGCACAGGCATTATGCTTGGATTTAAACGCAACTTTTTCGGTGCATGTACAGTCTTTCTCTCCTTTTCTAAATCCTTAGGAGATATTGGGTTAGACATCTGCAAAAAAATAACCACCTTAAGCTACAATTCCATATAATGTATAGGCAATATAGATAAAACAGAAGCCTTTAAATGGTTCATGGATTGCGGGATAAAACTTACCAGGAAAGGTTAAAAGATCTTAACATGTATAGCTTGGAGGAAAGACGAGACAGGGGGGATATGATAGAAACATTTAAATATATAAAGGGAATCAACACCGTAAAGGAGGAGACTATATTTAAACGAAGAAAAACTACCACAACAAGAGGACATAGTCTTAAATTAGAGGGACAAAGGTTTAAAAATAATATCAGGAAGTATTACTTTACTGAGAGGGTAGTGGATGCATGGAATAGCCTTCCAGCTTAAGTAGTAGAGGTTAACACAGTAAAGGAGTTTAAGCATGCGTGGGATAGGCATAAGGCTATCCTAACTATAAGATAAGGCTAGGGACTAATGAAAGTATTTAGAAAATTGGGCAGACTAGATGGGCCGAATGGTTCTTATCTGCCGTCACATTCTATGCTTCTAAAGACCTCTGAACCGTGTGGGGGCGCTGGTGACACGGTAGATCCTCCAAGGACACCTTCCATGCCTGTCCTGAGGGTTTGCACAGCATTTATAGGCACCCAAATTGAATTTTGTGCCAAATTTTCGAAGTTCAAAATTGAGCATGCGTTCCACCGCAGTGCCCAAGCGCAAGGCTTGCATCACAGTCAGATGTCCTTCCCGAATGGTACAAGAACTAATACTGAAGTAAAGGGGAAGGAGGGGCTATTTAAATTTTATATATTTATTTTAGTCGGTTTGTCCCCAAGAAGATATACAGCTCCTCTCATATAGCCACTATTTGTTAGGAAAAAAATATAAATGTACAGTGAGGGGAAAAAGTATTTGACGCCCAGAAAAATGCATGTCAAAAGAGTTATAAATTGATTTATATTTCAATGAGTGAAATAAGTATTTGATCCGCTATGAATCAGCAAGATTTCTGGCTCCCAGGTGTCTTTTATACAGGCAACAAGCCTGGATTAGGAGCACTCTCTCTAAAAGGGAATGCTCCTAATCTCAGCTTATCTGTATAGAAGACACCTGTCCACAGAAGCAAGCTATCAATCAATCAGACTCCAAACTCTCCACCATGGCCAAGACCAAAGAGCTGTCCAAGGATGTCAGGGACAAAATTGCAGACCTACACAAGGTTGGAATGGGCTACAAGACCATCGCCAAGCAGCTTGGTGAGAAGGTGACAACAGTTGGTGTGATTATTCGCAAATGGAAGAAACACAAAATAATGGTCAGTCTCCCTCAGTCTGGTGCTCCATGCAAGATCTCATCTCGTGGAGTTTCAGTGATTATGAGAACGGTGAGGAATCAGCCCAAAAATACATGGGAGGATCTTGTTAATTATCTCAAGGCAGGTGGAACCATAGTCACCAAGAAAACAATTGGTAACACATCTTTGTCAGTGGGCAAAATGTTCAAAATCAGCAGGGTATCAAATACTTTTTTTCCCTCACTGTATGTATATATATATATATATATGTGTGTGTGTGTATGTGTATGTATGTATGTATGTGTATATATATATACATACACACACAGTTATTTTCTTTTATTTTTAAATATCCACACTCTATCCAACTAATAACTGCTAAAATTATTGGAATTACCCTTTTATGAAGCATCCTCTGAATCAGAACAATAAGTGAATCTATTGTGAGATTGCACAAATTATGCCAAACAATTTTTATAATTTTTTTTAACTCTAGTTTCAATATTTCATTTATACTTATATATGTTTTTATATATTATAGAATAATATACATACAGGGTATGACCTGTTGTGCTGCTTAAACGGTTTTAAAGAAAACTGGGAGGGCGGTGACATCCAAAGACTGCTTGAACTGTTTCATTAAGGGGGAGCTTTAATGGTGAGCTTTAATGGTAGTGGAACTTACAATGTCATTTTAAGCTTTCTTTCTAGCCTTTTACTACATATGCTTGTGTGGGTTTCAGTAGGCTAACTTTGTCGATTCTCCAAGTCTATGATCAAGTAGTATCTTTGTGGTCTCAGAATATATAATCATACCCATCAAAACCTTATTTCTACTTTTGATTTAATCTTTTAGGAAGAACAGGACTTGCGAACTCTTCAGGTTAAGAACAAGAAGTTGGCTGGAATGTTAGATCAGAGACAAGCTATAGAAGATGAATTACGAGATCGCATTGAGACCTTAGAGAAAAGGCAGGCGACGGATGATGCATCTCTCCTAATAATTAACAGATACTGGAGTCAGGTTTGTGCTATTTTTGTAATTCAGACTAGATATTTTTCAGATAGCTTGCTCTCTTAATTAACCTTTGTATCCTGCATTTTTCTTTTGTTATATTCTATTCTTCTCTCCTACGTAGTGTGTTTTTTTTTTTTAATATATATTTACTTATTTTTTACATTTAGTTTTTTTTGTTTTTTTTTGTTTCTTCACCTTACATCTTTTCCAAATTTTAACTTCTCCTTTTCTTATTTCACCCTATTTCAGTTTGATGAAAACATTAGGATTCTCCTAGGTCGGTATGATTTGGATCAGGATTTGGGAGAGTTTTTGAGTGAACGAAAAGCATTAGTGCTTCCTGAACCTGAACCAGATTCTGACAGTAATCCTGAGCGCAAGGAAACTGATCGGGGTAAGAGATAAATTATGGCGTTTGAAATACACATTGTATAGATGAAGGATTAGAAGACTTCGACCAATATTTCTTAAAGTTTTGATTTTTGTATGTCATCACATGACACAGGGCAGAATAGGACTTTATAGTTTTGGGTGATGTGTATCACAAGTTGAAGGGACACTACAGGCAATGCAACCGCTTCACCTCATTGAAGTGGTTTTAGTGTCTGGCAGACCTTGGTACTGATCTTTCAGTGTTTAAACATTTTTAATGTGTAACGCTAAACAGCCCATCCATTCTGTGCTTTATGGGCTAATAAGGACGCACTAGGCTGAACTATGGGTGTTGGTGATTGGATGACAGTGGATCGTTGTAAGCCTATCATGGGCTGCCATTGTTAATATGAATTCATGTATTTAATTACAAGTGTAATCTGTGCCTTACCCACATCTTTAGTGGGTGGCCAGGGTCACTTAAGCTGTTTGAAAATGGTTTAAAGTGGTTCTGTCAGCGACTGAGGTCTTTGCATATTATGACCTGCAATGGTGACTGCACCACTTGCAGTGCAGTGGCCGCAGGGAAAGGTGCGTTTTATTTACCTGAACCTGTCCCTTGCAGCCAAAGTCATGTTGCTCCTGAAGGTCCTCTTCAGCTCCTGGTGCTTAATGTGACAGGAGCCCACATTAGTATTGTGAAGAGGAGAAAATATACTTTGTATATAGTTTGACTACGTTGGAATTTTGGTGAAATGTATCTTTTTATTAAATACTCAATTTGGAGGGAAGTTGACATAGATGCTGTAACACTGAATAGAGAGATGGACTCCAGACACTACAACCAATTTATTAAGGTAAAATAGTTATGATGCCTAGAGTGTCCCTAAAACTGTACTGTTCCTAGTATTTGTTCTATATCCTTGTTACATAAAACTTCACCATAGTATTTAATATTTTCTAAAACCATTGAGCATATAATGTTGTCTTCATGATAAATTATATATTCATTGCTGGAAGTGGTATAAGCAAAAGTGATCTTTAAATGTTTGTTATGGAGAGGTGTAAGCGACAACAGTGCATTAATGTGTGAAAACATAAGCTAAGCATGTTAAAGTTTTTGTTTAAAATTGAAGGTGGTAGGAAAGCATACAGAAATAGTCTTTAGAAGGTAACGTGCAGTTAAAGAGTATTGGGTGATACTAGACTTTTTTTTTTTTTTTTTCTTTTCTTGCTACTATTGTTTATCTTTGTAGGTGAGGGTCTATGGGAAGCTCCACTTTCTTTCTTGGCTACGCTAGCCAGCAGTAGCAGTGAAGAAATTGAAACCCAGCTGCAGGAACGTGTGGAATCCTCACATAGAGCTGTCTCCCGCATAGCACTGGTGTATGACCGCTTACATGCACGCCTGGATCAACTGTCCATTAAACTCAATAGTACAGGTACAGCAACTATTAAGCTTTACTACTTTTCACTCTTTTTTGTTTACTTTTTTAATATGAAACCTGTTATATGTTCATTTTATGGTACCTTTATTTCATTGCTGATTTTTGTTTTTGGCGGGGTTCTCTCTCTGGCTATTTTTTTTGAATCTTTGCAGACCCCACACTGATGGAGGAGGCAGTTCGAGATCTAAATTCTTTGTTAACTAATGAGAATGCACGACTGCAGGAAGTGTGTACATTGTTGCAGGAGAAACAGCAGAGCATGTCTCAAGAGGTTAGTGAATATGTTATTTGGTAAGAATAGATCAATAATTTTTGTGCCTCAAAAATAATCAGGGTTATTCAATTAAGTTAGAATTAACGGGAATTAAAAGTGTATTTCAAAATTTAGGCCAAAATAAATGAATCTAAACATTCCCCAAGTCAGTTCTGTATTTGTTTTGTCCATAAATTTGAAATTCACTTTGAATTCCCAGTAATTCTCCCAGCAATTCTCTCTGATGGGATGTCTTTAGAGAAGGGTCGGCATTAGTAAATGAGGAGAGATTGCCTCCTTCCCCTAGTGAAGAGACTCACTAATTGGGTATTCCCATTCTGATCTTTGTAACTAGCCCATAGCTTCAAGCACCACTTGCGCAGGACTCTTAGAATGTGGGTGCAAAGCATACTTCTGTCACTTACCTCTGTTTTCATCAGTCAGTGATCTGGTGATCTCACAGATGTCTATGTATATATACATGATGAGATGTAACTACTCTAAACTATAGTTAGTCTACACCCAATGGTCATCATTTTATCCCCTATGTGTTTGTATGTTTCCATGCCATACCTCCTTGCTATCCCCACTTGTGTAATTGTTTTTAATATAGCTTCATGTATGATTGATCTAAAATCTGTAGTATTTTACTTGAACACACATCACACACCCCAATATCTTTATAAACCAGTCACTTTAAGCATTTTGTGCAGTAGTTTAAACTTTGCGGTTGAGTGAGTGGGGATTCGTACAGCAGTACACAAGGACCGTTTAATGGTTTAAATATGGGTAGAGGAACTAATGCCTATCATCCAGAGTCGGGCTGCTTTACAGTATCATTTTACTCCGCTTCTCAAAGTGGTACAACATCAACATTTAAAAGTCTCTACCTACTGTATTAATAGAAATGTGACTTTAGATAGTCCTTGCTGTTTAGTGAGAAGCAGGCCATGCTCAGGGGTAGTCAACAAGAAATACGAATTCAAGCGGTTTCCTATAATGGTGTGTGTTTCATAACATCAGACACAGAACAAAATGTCACTATAATTTGTCTTTGTGCAAGGTTAAATCCTATCTGTTACTCTCATTGTCGTTCTCCGCCAGTTCTCACAGCTGCAATGTCGGTTAGAAAATGCAGAGTCCCGAGTCTCCGTCCTAGATGGACTTATTGAGGATCTACAGTGGGATATTGATAAAGTCCGCAAACGAGAACAGCGCCTTAACAGACACTTGTCTGAAGTTCTTGAGAGAGTAAGCAACGGATGCTATTTGGTTACTTGGTGATTTTACATTCTGTTTCAATGTTAAATGACCGTATGTCTATCTGACAGGTTAATTCCAAGGGATACAAAGTGTACGGGGCTGGCAGTAGTTTGTACGGAGGAACTATTACTATCAACTCAAAAAAGGTATGCTGACATTGCTTAATTTATGCTTTTGTTTGCATTTTTTTTAGCTACTTGCTTTTAAAAATTTACTTGCAATGAAATTTGCTTTATTTCTCTTCCTGTGTACATGTTGTCTCATACGACGCCTTACTCTTTAATTCAGTTTGAAGAGATGACATCTGAAGTAGATATGAATAAGGAGCTAGCTGTGAACCGCTTGCAGGAATTAGAAAAACTGAAACAAGACTTAAACGAAGTAACATCAGAGAACCATGAATTGCAGGTATTTTTGATTTTAACTTGAAAAAAAAAAAAATTATACCCTATATGCATTTATTGGACTTTTCTTGGAAAATGTGTCGGACAAAATGAATATATATTCTGGAGTGTCTTGCATTTCTTGCAGGCTGAGCTTGTGAGTGCTGTGGAGAGCAATGTCCGAATTTCCCCAGAGTATCGCTGTATGCAGTCTCAGTTCTCTGTTTTGTATAATGAGTCCTTGCAACTGAAGGCCCAACTGGATGAAACTCGGTCTTTACTGCATGCAACGCGCTCTAATCATCAGCGTCAGCTTGATTTGATTGAGGTTTGTTTTAGTACATAATCCTTTTTATATTTGTGGACACTTTATATTATGAAAGACATCGTTTTTCCACTCGTGTCTGCTTCAAAATATACATTGTTCACATGCATGGATGCTTTGAAGTTTTAAATGTTGTTTGTACATGGAACAGCTCATGAAATGAACATTCACTGATAACTGTTAAAGATGCCCACTGGAAATGGGTAGAATAAGTGCAAGCCTTGTAACACCAAAGTATATAGACACAATCCCTTTAACTAACTGAACATATGTTCATTGAGCTGGTAGAAGTATACTCAAAGTTTATTCGAAGGGGATCTTCATATATTATTCCAATTCAGGTTTGAACATCATTCAGGAGCCAGTTACCTGTTACCAATTTAAATGACCTATAGTTCAATTAACTTTATTAAAGAAACACCAAAAGTTAAACATATACTTTACTTTAACATTAAAGGATTACCTTTCTAAGATTCGGATATCCCTTTTTGATAAAACAATTATAATTAAAATCAAAAGAATACTAAGCTTGCATACTAAGCTTGTATCCCAGCGCAAGCATTTAGAAAATAGGCTTTAACATATAGTGGATTTGGTACTTAGTCCCTATACTTGGACACAGTAAGCAGGATTAACCCCACAATTTGTTAATACATTACATAGATAATATATGACAAAAAATACTCTTATAGCGGCAACTCTAGTCCAGGAGAGATTTGTGGAATAATATAGTTGATCCCCCATGAATATCAAAGGAGAAAATAAATATTCCACACATGATGATATGTGAAAGAGTCTTATCGCGACAGAGTTTTTTTTAATGTTGTATTTTTGTTTTCTCGACAATAAAGGAAAATTGTTTCATACCTACCATAATTTTCTTTTCTTGATAATTATGCATGGCATAATTTACTTATGTGTTTGCTCCTCCCCTCACAGCAGAAAGGATAGGAAATAAAACTTTGAAATTGCCATAAATAGTTCCATCCCCTCCCCATCAGGCAGTCTATGTAACTAGCTTCATAACTTTCATAGTATGAGGGTGTGAATGTAATGCTGTAATGGGTGTATAATGATCAGGAAAGGAATATTACTGTAAGTATGAAACAATTATCCTTATTTGTGATTGAACATGTAAAAAACTTTAAAAAAGTCAAACGAGTAATCAATAAGGTATCCCAATAATATCTGCTCAGACAAGTGATTGTGCCCCAGAGGCTGCTTGTCAGCAACCCCATGGTATTTAAATATAGAGAATCTACTCAATAAATATAGTATATAGTGTGAGTGTGTGTACGTATGTATGTATGTATGTGTGTATATACATACATACATAATCAGGTAGGAATCAAGGTTATGATAACCAGACCTATAAAGGAACATGTCTTCATGTTCAACATGTCTTGGCTAATACAAGACAACTCCTGTAAGAAATGAGATATCCTTGCAGATGCTTGCTATGGAGAATAAAATATATTAGAGAAGAACCTCCTCTAAACATAAAGACGTGGTCTGAAAACTGCAAACTTTTTATGCAAAAAACGCAATGTTCGTAGGTGTCCTTCTCTAATATAGAGGAAATACTCAAATGACAGCACTTTCAAATTAGAACTTGGTATATATACTAAGCATCAACATACTTAGAAATATTGAAATGCTGATGTAGCAACTTCTCGTGTGTGTGTGTACACACACACTCTTACCCTGATAAGGGTGAATCTTCATAAAGTTTTTAGAAAAGAATATTCTCCCGACATTAACAGCCACTTTTAATGAGGTTGACAGATTTATTAAGAGCTCATACCAATTCTAAAAGAAGGTAAAATCCCTACAAATATCTCAAACTACCGCCCTATATCTTTAGTGAACGTAGATGTTAAACTATACGCTGCCATACTGGCAAAAATAATTAAAAAAATATTACCTTAGATAATACACCCAGATCAGATTGGGTTTCTGTTGGGTAGGCAGTCTTGCAATAATACTCGAAGAGTGGTGGACATCTTGGACTGGGCCCATGGTACGGGAGTTTCCCTTCTGACATTGTCGGTGGATTCAGAAAAGGCTTTCGACAGGGTTGGATGGGGATTTTTAAGAGGTGTTCTGACCCATTTTGGCTTTGAGGGATGGATAGTAGAGGTGATAGGAGCTCTGTATTCGGTACCCTCGGCAAGGATAGTGTGCTGAGATATGTGTTTTGATTGGTTCAACATAACAAATGGGACAAGACAGGGCTGCCTGTTGTCTCTGCTGTTGTGTGTTCTGTCCATTGAACCCCTAGCTATTAACATAAGGAATAACCCCCAGATCAAGGGTGTCAAATTGTCAGATAGAGAACTAAAGATCTGTCTATATGCGGACGACACATTAATCTGTTACAGAACTAGATACCTCTTTAACTTAATAGAGGAATTCATAAAAAATATGGCATTGTATCAAACTACAAATTAAATATGAACAAAACTGTAGCCCTTACTAAAAATATAGAAGGAAATAATCTCCAGTAGATGAAAAGAGATTACGACTGTAGCTGGACAGCCAAAGAAATCACCTATTTGGGTGTTGTAATCACAGCGGACCCTAGGTGGGCTATGGAGGCTAATTTTTTAAGACTCATAAAAGAGACCAACAGTTTATTAAAAGAATGGAGAGGTTGTGAGATTTCTTGGTGGGGTAGGATAAACACCATAAAGGCCTACATTATTCCCCAATGGGCATACCTATTCCCCATGTTTCCCCTCTCTATCTCTAAACACTAGTTGAATATGATACCGAGTAGTATTACAAACTATATATGGAGAGGCCAAAGACCTTGAATTATCCATTAATAAAATATATGTTCCAGGCTAATATGATTGTACATGTTTATAAATTACAACTAAGTGAGTCTAGGTGGAACAAGCGTGGTACAAACTAGAATCAAACAGAACGGGTTTGGATTATTAAGGATTTATATATTGGACACCAGATTAGGAGGTATGATGATTTAAAAAATATCTTGAATTTACCATCCAAAGAGATCTTTAGTTATCTGCGTATCAAGAGTTTTTTAAAAGATCATATACTGAGTTTAGACAGCGGTATTACTTAAGAAAATCTTCTCTGGTGCTAAACATAAAAATATATTCTCTGTTGCAAGGGAGTTGCTAAAATCGATGGGAGGTTCAAACATCCCCAAGGCTTTATTGAAATGGGAATAAGATTTATTGATAGTTATACAGTATAGAAAGTGGTGTCTCTCGTTTATAAATATCAAAAAATATAACCACTGTTTAAATATACTAGAGACCCCCCAAAAAAGAGTTAGTTATAGGTGGTACATGGTCCCAACGAGACTAGCCAAGATATCCCAGATAAACCCTTCGAACTGCTGGAAATGCTTTCATTTAGATGGATCAATGACCCATATGTGGTGGAGTGGTCCAAGAATTGTGCAGCTATGGAATGTAGCTTTTTATCTAATAAAGAAAGTAGGACGGGTGATACTCGAAAAGGAAAAAAAAAAAAGCAGAAACAGCTCTACTACACTTAATTGAGAATGAAGAGGCAGATAAATCAGACATCCTGATTGTGCACTGCTTTATGGCAGTCAAGACCCTTATTGCCAGAAATTGGAAAAAAGTTTGTATTCCGACTAAATAACATCTTAAAACTCAGCTGATAAATCAGCTTGAGATGAAGATGGGCATAATTCTCACCGATATATATTCTAATCAAATATATCTTGGTACTTATACAAACCTTACTGGTATGATTTTAAAGGTTATTGAGAAGCTATCTTAAAGGACCACTCTGGGCACCCAGACCACTTCAGCTTAATGAAGTGGTCTGGGTGCCAGGTCCATCTAGGGTTAACCCATTTTTTTAATAAACATAGCAGTTTCAGAGAAACTGCTATGTTTATGAATGGGTTAAGCCTTCCCCCTATTCCTCTAGTGGCTGTCTCATTGACAGCCACTAGAGGCGCTTGCGTGCTTCTCACTGTGATTTTCACAGTGAGAGCACGCAAGCGTCCATAGAAAAGCATTATGAATGCTTTCCTATGTGACCGGCTGAATGCGCGCGCAGCTCTTGCCGCGCGTGCGCATTCAGCCGACGGGGAGGAGAGAAGTAGGAGAGCTCTCCGCCCAGCGCTGGAAAAAGGTAAGTTTTAACCCCTTTCCCCTTTCCAGAGCCGGGCGGGAGGGGGTCCCTGAGGGTGGGGGCACCCTCAGGGCACTCTAGTGCCAGGAAAACGAGTGTTTTCCTGGCACTATAGTGGTCCTTTAAGCCAACCCATTTGACCTACACATTTTTTTGACCTTTTACACGACTATTTGAGCAACAATATTTAAGTTGGACTCTACAATCCATGTGTTTGTGTATTAATTCCTGTCTTGCATATGTGTTTTGCACTAGCGATATACCCAAGGCTTGTAACAATGGTCCACAATGGTGTAAACTAATGGAATGAATGTTGATGTTTGTCAAGTTCTGTACTTTGTGTAAAAACATTTTTATTCTCAATCAAAAGCATTTATGCAGAAAAAAATTTAAAATGAAATTTCAGTATATTTGTCTTTATCCTCTTCATTTAAAAAAACCTGAAGTAGAGAATCCACAGTTTGTAATAGGTACCTACTTAGTGCGACTGCATTTGTTTTGGTGCATCTGGGCTATGTTTCCTTTCAGTTCATACACCGAGATTATATCAGTTGCATGTACTAAATATACTGTGCATATATTGGGGTTTTATATTAATGCCATCTTGCATACATACTAATCCCATATACTGAGGATGTGTTTTAGCAGCTCCTCACACATAGAGATATCATTCTAATATATCAAGGCTGTGTTCTAACAGCACCTCATACGCCGATTCTGTTCTGCATGGAGATGCTAGACATTCCCCATACAGCTTAATTGATTCAATGCATCTCTTTAAGTTGATGCTGATTGGTGCATTTTGCTGTACATGTGCAATATCTTCCCTATGCTTCCCTATGGGAAAGCGTTAGATTGGCTGAGATAATCAATATAGATGATCTCAGTCATGAAGTCAGGGCCAGCCACAGCGAGACTGGCGCAATGAGTATGAAAAACTGAGTAAAACCACCTTTTCATCTTTTATAAAATGCCACATCAGGACTATAGTGTCCAGAATACATGTTTGTACAGAATACTTGGCAAAATAACGTTTGCAGTGATACAATATTGTTATTGTGTTAAGAATTATTTCAAACCAAGAATCTTGTGGGGCAGTCCTTGCTTCCTGCGTCTAGAGATTTTGTTAGATGTTGAAAAGCTTAAGCAGTTATAGAACTTAAAAGTACAACCAGATTTTCTACATCATATAGAACACAAATTTGGATATTTTTCAAGTCTCTTATCGGGGTCAAGAACATTTTATATGAAAATTGCCTTGCAGTCTACGTTTCTTTGCATCTTATCTTGTGTGTTGCAATTTAAGGTCATGTGACACATCAGTCCTGACCTCGGTTATCATGATCTTGACTTTCCAGAGTATACTGCGTATGACCTGTACCAACTTTTGGTTTCTTTATAGTTGATCTGCGCTCTAGTTCTCCTGAATTGGGCATGGTTTTTATTTTGTGTGTGTTTTTAACTCTTGGTAATCTATATAGGTGCATCTTACAAATTCCATATGTTGAATATCTTGACTATATGAACCCTTATTTTGGCTGAAGGTTTCCATGCTTGACGCATGTATATTAACTAGTAGTGTGCCGTGAAAACAATTAAAAAAGACAGTCTTCAATGATGTACACACCCTCACTCCGCTCTGTAACTTTATGGTATCCCTACTGGTCAGCTGCCTCACTGCCCTGTATACTGAAGTCTTGTCTGATTTGTCTTGCAGCGCGATGAACTGTCTCTCCAGAAAAAGGTTCGCACTGAAGTGATTCAGTTAGAGGATACGCTTGCTCAAGTGCGTAAAGAATATGAAATGCTTAGAATAGAGTTTGAGCAGACTCTGGCTGCCAATGAACAAGCTGGTATGTCTTTCATTTCTATATATTGCTGTGCTTTATTGAAAGAAAAAACAAACAAAAAAAACCACTTTATTGATATTGCCTTTTTGTTGTAGGTCCCATTAATAGAGAGATGAGACATCTGATCAGCAGCTTACAGAACCATAATCACCAGTTAAAGGGAGAGGTACTGAGGTATAAGAGACGTCTGCGAGAGATACAAGGAGATATTAGCAAGGTAAGTAAGGGGACCCCACCCCTGAGGAAAAATACAACTAATAAAATAATGCTTATAAGACTTGTTTCCCTTTCTTCCAGATTCGTTCTCGCAACAGTAGTACGCTTTTCATGCTGCCTTCCCAATCTAGCATTGATGAGTCAAAGGAAGAGGCACTTGAAATAAAGACTGAGCCTGAAGAGACTGCCATTCCAACACCCGCCATCACTCAGCTTGAAACTACTATTAAGCGTGAGGAAGAGGAAGTACAGCCTCCACAAACACAGTCACAGCCAAAAGACAAAAGGGAACGCGAAAGAGAGCGTGAACGAGACAGAGGACGAGAGAAAGAAAGAGGAGACAGTTCCAAGGATAAATCAAAACATGAGTCTGATTCAAAGCGAAAAGAGGCAGAGTCTATTAAACAGATGAAAGCAGAGCTAAAGTAAGAAAAATCTTAGAATAAGTGTATAATGAATTTTTCTGTGTGGATGTCTCCTTTACGGTGTGTTTCTTTTAACAAGGAGAGTGCAGGAGTCCTTGAGAGACATGAAGCTGCTTTTAGACATGTATCGTTCGGCACCCAAGGAACAGAGAGACAAGGTTCAATTGATGGCGGCAGAGAGAAAAAGTAAAGCAGAGGTAAAATAAATAAATGTATTTGATTATATTATAAATACAGGGACACTCTAAATTATAGTAGTTATATGGTTTAAGGAGAATTTGTGTGCAGTTCCTCTGGTTTTTATTGCACTGTTTTTACAAAATATCTATAATTTTTTTAATTTATTTTTTTGTACCTCATTTTTAAAAATGCATGGGGACCGGTTTTAGGCACCTTGCCTGTCCTAAGCAAATATGTAAGCTACCCAAAGTCTTATGATCTTTTTATGGTTAATAATTGCTTACATAAGTCTGATATTTCAGTAGTTAAGAGGCAACAATTCAAACCTACCTATTGACCCTTTTAAATGGAATTTTTAATTTTATCTTTGCCTATATTATGGCTTTAAAAAAGTATAAATAAGGGTTTGGCCTGTCTTCCAAGATGGCCGGATGTGTATTACTGAAGCCCCACTAAAGTGTTAATTCTTGCAACCAGCAATTCTATTTTACCAGTAATTGCTTTAAGCTGTATACACACCATTCCCTGCTGGCTATTAATCATGTCCAAAATCGAGACCTATCATGACTTGTGCCCGGATTGACGCTGGGCACTGACCTTACAGTTGAAGATCTTCAGCCCCATTCTATCCCCTTTGGATCCTCCAAATAGACAGCCAATTTGCTGCAGCCGTCACTGGTAACAGTTGTTGGGATATACTCTTACATTCCACTTTGAGTCTAAGTAAGTCAGGCAGAGGAAATACACAGAGACAAAGTAGTCCATTTTAAGTCTCTCTCAGTATATCTCTTGATTGGGTTGGAATTTCAGTGGAATGCCAACAAAGTCAAAATGAGTATTTCATAAAATTCTATGAATCGCTTTAACTGATATCCACCCGAGCACCTTTATCCTTCACAAAACTTGTTAATATATTTTTTTGTGTTGTGGGAATTTTTTTCTTTTCTTTTAAATATATCTTTTTTTTTATGGTGGCCGAGGCTGGAGTGGTCATGTATTTTAATTTTAAACTCTACTAGTGAACTGTGTAACACAGATGTATAATGTTCCTTTCAGGGGGTTATTATGAGGTGATTGCTCTATGCTATTCAATGCGTAGTGTCTGCTGCTGTCAAGGTAAGTATAACAAAATAAAGAAAAAAGTTACCTGGGCTCTTTCCCAAATCCCTATGTATATTTAAACAGATGGAGGTTATTTAGTTACTCCAATGGCCATTAGAGGGAATGCCCACCTGCCACGTCACTGCACACCTTTTAGGTGGGTCCTACACTGACAGTGTAGGACCCACCTAAGAGGTTTGCCTAACAGTGTAGATTCCACCTAAGAGGTTTGCCTAACAGTGTAGGACCCACCTAAGAGGTTTGCCTAACAGTGTAGGATCCACCTAAGAGGTTTGCCTAACAGTGTAGGACCCACCTAAGAGGTTTGCCTAACAGTGTAGGATCCACCTAAGAGGTTTGCCTAACAGTGTAGGATCCACCTAAGAGGTTTGCCTAACAGTGTAGGATCCACCTAAGAGGTTTGACTTGTTGTGGCAGGTGGGCATTCCCTCTAATGGCCATTCTAGTAACTAAATAGCTTCCATTTGTTTGCATATACATAGGGATTTGGGAAAGAGCGCAGGTAACTTTTTTCCTTTGGTTTTTACTGTATGTATTGGGGCTGATGTGTACTATGGTCGTTGTTGCCGCCCAAGAGTAGTGGGAGTTTGAGTGCATGACTACAAACAAAGGATAGCAGCGTATTACTGGACCTTAGAGTGACCAGGCTTATCACAATGCCAATTGTTGGAGACATAACAAGGTCAAGGAACAAAGCAAGATCAGGGATTCCTATGGTGAACATTAACTAGACTCTAAGCCAGGTCAAGAAGTACAGATAACAGAGTAGTCAGACAAGCCAAACCAGGAAATCTCAGAATAAGGAACTTACTATTGGGATCACAAGGAAATCACAACAGCGTGCTGAACAGATGGAAGCTCAGGTATTTATAGCCCTGAGAGCATTTCCTTGATAGCCATGCACCCAAAACGTGAGTGGGCATTGGCAAAGGCTTGTTGATGCTGTGAAGCGGACAGAGCTACAGTATCTTAGGGGAGGCAGGAATAGTACGTAAACAGCGTTACGCAAGGGTATACATGTTTACAAATGCAAAATGTGCTGTGCTGGTAATGTACCATTCTATCAAGGGGGTTATTTCCCAGACTAGGCTTTGGAGTGTAACATCATGCATGTCACTTGTAGTTAAGTTTTTGTGTTAATAATGTAGCTTTACAAAGAGATTTACACATATTTACCCATTGATCTATGCTTTCACATTCTTGTTTCAGTTAGAAGAACTGCGTCAACGTCATCGGGAGCTAGAGGAAAGAGAGCGTAGGGACAGTAAGAAGATGGCAGATGAAGATGCTCTACGCAGAATGAGATCAGCTGAAGAGCAAACAGAAGCGCTCCAGAAAAGACTTTCTACAGCAAAACAGGTAAGGGAGTATACACCAGCATGAAAATACCTGCAGTCTGTCTCGGCCAACATGAAATGTATTTATCAGTTTATTGTAACCATTGTGGTACATCCTATACAAGTAGTTCCCAGCCCTGCCCTGAAGGCACACACTAGTGATCCATGTTTTGTCAATATCAACCTCCCCCTTTGTACAGAATTGGTGAATGCCTAACCGTGGGTGTGACTTGAAGACTGTGTTTAGAACTACTGTTCTACTGTGCCTGTGAGCTAGTGAGGGAGGACTGGTTAATGTATAATAATAGCTGAATAATAGCTGAAAATGACTCAAGTTTAAACTTTCAGTGCCTTGCTCCCTTTTTTAAGGAGCTAATGTTACCAGTTACACTTATATTAAAAAAAACTTACAATTCTGCTAGTGCAATGTAACAATTACATTTAATGTCTTCTGTTTTAATGCAGAAGAAAAGATTAATTTTTTTTATTATTTGTGTCATTTTTTTTAATAGAATGATGTAATTCCCTGCTTGTACTATATTGTACTTTGCAGTGAAGAGTGTCTACCAGATTTCTTAATTTAGACACGCAGAGATTTACAGAGGTTAAATAAAGTTTGATAAATTGTTCATTTTTGGAAGATGAGCCAGAAAATGTTGTCTGACCAATCTCCATCTCCTGGTTTTGTTCATTACTGCACTGTTGGTAATCTCACAATTTAAAGGGACACTATAGTCACCATAACAACTACAAATACATGGAATTTTTTCTGGTGAGTAGAATCATTACCTTCAGGCTTTTTGCTGTAAACACTGTCTTTTCATAGAAAATGCAGTGTTTACATTACAGCCTAGTGATAACTTCACTGGCCACTCCTCAGATGGCTGTTAGAGATCCTTCCTTGGTCATGGCTGCCTAAAATGCATCCAAACATTCAATCTCCTCCCTCTGCATGCAGACACTGAACTTTCCTCATAGAAATTCATTGATTTCAATTCATCCCTATGAGGAGATGCTGATTGGACAGGGCTGTGTTTGAATCATGCTGGCTCTGCCCCTGATCTGCCTCTTTGTCAGTCTCAACCAATCCTATGGGGAAGCACTGTGATTGGATCAGGCTACCACTTCTGATGATATCAGCAGACTGCTTGTTTTTTTTTTTTGAGGCAAACAGCATGCAGAGCTACAGCTTCAGGCTTGAATACAGTACGAATTTGCTATATTTATGGAGGCATGGGGGGGCAGGGGGGGCTAGATGGTGGTATTAACACTTATAGGGTCAGAAATACATGTTCGTGTTCCTGACCCTATAGTGATCCTTTAAATAACTCAGTGCCACAATTAAGTGGTAAATGTCATACTAATAAGGCCCTTAATACAAGTCAAGAGTAATAGATAAAAGAAATGCACTTAAATTAGAGTCCTAGATCTATATATAATCCTAAAAACACTAATTTAAAGGATCACTATAGTCATCCAGACCACTTCAACTCAATGAAGTGGTCTGGGTGCCAGGTCCCCCAGGTTTTAACCCTTCAGATGTAAACATTGCAGTTTCAGAGAAACTGCTATGTTTACATTGCATGATTAATCGAGCATCTTGTGGCTGTCTTCCTGAAAATCGCAGTGAGCACGCAGAACGTCCATACAAAAGCAGTGAGAAGTGCTTTCCTATGGGTGCTCTAACTGCACATGCGCATTCAGCTCCACTCGGGGGCCTCCCTCTCCGACATCAGCTCCCGAGTGGAAGCACCCATAGGAAATGCGAAAATCGCATTGAGCACGCAGAACGTCCATAGGAAAGCAGTGAGAAGTGCTTTCCTATGGGTGGTTCCAATGGGCACGCGGCTTTGGCCGCACATGCACATTCGGCTCCACTCGGGAGTCGATGTCGGAGAGGGAGGCTCCCGAGTGGAGGGAGCCCGGTGCTGGATAAAGTCTTTAACCCCTTCAGCCCAGTGGGAGGGGGGCCCTGAGGGTGGGGGAGACCTAAGGACTATATAGTGCCAAGAAAACTAGTTTGTTTTCCTGACACTATAGTGATCCTTTAAGATAATTTCTTCAATAGAGCAGTCCTAATGTGTAAACAAACGATACAGTGTTAAACTTATACAAAGTATCTGTGATGACTGTAACAAGCTAGATACAGTTTCCAAAGACTCTGCTAGGCTCCATAAATTTCCAGAAGAATGGCAGCAGCTTGCAGCAAGGGATATATATATTAATTAGACATCTTCTTCTGGAACATTCTTTTACTATATCTTTTATTATATGTATATTATATCCTTTATTAGATATATATATAATTTTCTTTGTTAGATGTGTGGCGAAAGTAACCTCGCCACTTGTACTTAGATGGGCCTGCTTGACAGCGTCCTGCCCACAGACTATGGGCCTTGCAGGGAAACCTGTAAAAGACTACCGAACTTGACCGACTGTTAGCACTGATTTCCCTGGAACTGTTTTGGGCATAGGACCACATGCACGGTCAGTCAAAACGATGACTTCCAGGAAATTCTTGAACCGATCTGGGTGATTTTTGGATATGTTGTTCACCCAGATCCGGGCTATCAGGGGATGTAACTTATGGGGTTTTATGTGTTTTTACGGTACTTTTTGGGGTTTCATAAAATTGTATGTTTTTTTGTGCTTGGAGATAATTGGGTTAGATTAGTACTGATTCAATTATTCCCCAAGCACAGAGGGGGTATTCTATTGTTTGTGAGTGAGAGTGTCACATGTTGTAACTATACTGTTATTGGTATGTAACATTGTAACCCTGTGTCCCATCAGTTCCACATGGGTGTTCTCCTTGCATGGGGACTTGCATAAAACGTGGGGTATGTTGAGTCTTTTTCAGTCGCCACTTAGTCACAAACACTGGCCAAATATTAGTTTTTTGCATTTTTCACACAAAAACAAATATTAACGCTAACTTTGGCCAGTGTTTGTGACTAAGTGGCTACTAAAAAAGACTAAACATACCCCACGTTCAATACCTTGGATTGTCTACTTTTTCAAATGGTATGCCATTATGGGGGTAATTCTCATTCCTGGGCTACCACGCCATCTCAAAGGTAACATTACTAATCTGGCAAATTTCAATTTGCAAATGGAACGTTCTATATTTGACCCTGTAACTTTCCAAAACACCATAAAACCTGTTAATGGGGGTACTGTTGTACTTGTGAGACACCGCTGATTACAAATATGGGCATTTTTTTTCAGTAATACCGAACAGTATTATGACATTTCCAGCTAAAATGTGAGGCGGAACTACATATTTTTTAAAAAATTTACATTTTTCACAGTTTTTAAAATTTTATTCATAATAAATTATGTTTCATATATAAATATTTGATATGAAATGAAGTCCCTGTTTCTCCTGAACAAAATGATATATAATAAGTGTGGGTGCATTTAATATGAAAGAGGTGAATTACAGTTGAACAGACATATAGCGCAAATTCCAGTTTTTGTTTACGTTTTGTTTTAAACAGAACGTGTACTATTGACTTTGTCCTAAAGGGGTTAAATTGTATTTTTTTTTTATATATACACTAGAGGGAGGTGTTTTTTTTGTTTGTTTTTTTTTGGCTTAGCTGCTATATTTGTTTTTAAGTACTAAGTTTTTATGCTTTTTTTCTTAACTTCCTCCCATATTCTTGAGATACTTCCTGAGCACATTTATTGAAGGTGTATTTTTTTGGTATAATAATGGATTTTTTTTTTCTAAACTGAAATATAGTAATGCAAATATGATACATGCCCTAATGTATGCTATATAGGAATCAACATTAAAGGATTAATCCAAGTACCATGTTTACTTCAGTCATTTAAAGTGGTCATGGTGCTTGGGCTCTGTATGTATAGTGTTTTGCTCTGGAACAGAATTTAACCCCTTTGTAACTCCACCTTAAGCTGCGTCATTGGAGCAATGCCAGTTCTATGGATATTTCTATGTATTGATGCTCATTCTTTGGCAGTGTTCAGCCAATGAATGAATGTCAGGGTTGGCATCTGGTTTCTGTAGCTCTGCAGAAGCTGGATGTCTGCAGAGGAGAGTCTGCACCATGTCAGAGGCTTCTCCCCAGAACTAAGGGTATGGCTCCAAGGTACTCCTGGCATCATAACCATTACGGCGGGTTATAGTGTTTATGATGCTTGGAATAATTATTTAAAAGGAAACTATAGACATCAAAAAACTTTAGCTTAAAGGGATCCTATAGTGCCAGGACAACAAACCCGTTTTCCTGACACTATAGGCTCATGGAGCGCCCCCCCCACAGGGTTGAAGGGGTTAAAAACCTCTTCAGCCACTTACCTGAACCCAGTGCCGATGTCACTCGGCGCTGGGTCAGGCTCTTCCCCCGCCGCTGGCAGGGGGAGACCTCATGCGCAGCAATGGCTGCACGCATTAGACCTCCCCATAGGAAAGCATTATTCAATGCTTTCCTATGGGGAAAATCTGACGCTGGAGGTCCGTGAGGATGTCCAGCGTCAGATAACAGACCAAAAGTCAGTTAGAATTTTGGAAGCCCTCTAGTGTCTGTCTGGTAGATATACATCTTAGCGTCACAGTTCAAGAGGGAAATCGGTCTAAAATTTTTACATTGGGTCGTAGTTTTACCCGGCTTGGGAAGCGTGGAGATGTGCGCTAATAGCATTTCTGTAGTGAGGGCACCCTACGAATAACTGATTAAAAACTGTATGTAGTTGGGGTGAGAAGATGTCGGAGAATGTTTGATAATATTTGTTAGAGAGTCCGTTGGGTCCAGGGGTTTTGTGTGCTGGCAGTTGTGCTAGTAAGTCAAATATTTCCCTCAGTTCAAATGGTCTCGTAAGATGGTTTCTATCAGCTTCCGTCAGTGTCTAAGACTCTATTTATGTCTTGGGTATTGGGAGTTGTCTGTTCATCTCAGAGATTATACAAGTTACCATAAAAACAAGCAAATTAGTTTACAATGTCTTGAGGGTTAAGAATTTTCTGATTACCGGATCCCTTTAGGTAGGCAGTTATGGAGGTGACCATTCTAGCCTTCAGTCAGAATGCCAGTAGGGCTCCAGATTTGTTTCACATCACAAAGAATTTGTATTTCATGCGTTGTAAGAGAAATGCAGTTTTTGCTAACTCTAGGTCTTTAAGTTGTGTGTTGTAATGTAAGAAGTTTGGAGTTGGTACCAGGTGTTGGGTTTTATTTGTTGGCGTGAGTCAGTGCTGCGAGCTCCATGATAATAGTGGTTTATTTAGCATCTCATTCTTTTTTCGCATGGCTAGCATGCTTAATAAATGTTCCTCTTATGTTCCTTATTGGCCAACAATATCCTCTCAATTGAGGAATCTGGGGGGTATTGAGAGTAAAGTATGTAGCTCTTCTCTCATTTGGGAAACTATGGAAGTGTTGCTTAGCAGATGTTCATTAAGTCTCCATGAACCTTTGCCTTAATTGGAGAATTCTTCTTGGAGTAATAGAGTAATGGGAGCATGGTCCCACCAAGAAAGTAAACCAACAGTAGTTTGGGCAATTTTGGAGTGTATGAGGAACCTATCAATTCGTGAGTAGCTGTTGTGTGCTGTAGAGTGATACGTCAAATCTCGCTCTGATGGGTGATGTACTCGCCATGAGTCTACAAAATGGTGTGCCATTAGAGGTTTTTTGTATGCATGAAGAGGTGTGTCTCATTTTGTGAAGTGTTTGAGATCATAATGGTTTAGGTGTAGAGGAGTGTAATGCGCTATCAAGTAAAAAATTCGGATCACCTCCCAGAATTTGTACATTTGGGACAATGCAAAAACAGTATTCAAAAATAACAGTTGATTCTCATTCGGACCATAAACATTGATCAACATATATGGGTTGTTATTAATGACATTGCAATATCAGATATCTCCTTTTTTGTCACTGATTTTGCATATTAGTGTGAAAGAAACTCCCTTGCTTATTAAGGTGGATACTCCGCGTTTCTTTTTCTTGAAACAAGAATGGTAATGGTGAGGAAACAATTGGGATGAAATTCAAAAATATGGGCCTGCCTCACCACTTAAAATGGGTTTCTTGGAGAAAACATACATGGGCGTCATGGTTTTTGGCCTTTTTCATTGACAAGCGCTGCTTGTGGGGCAAGTTGAGTCCCTTGGCAATTAGGGAAAAGATATTAAGTACCATGGGTGGGCAGGGCTGGATAGTCCTAGCTGTATGTTCGGCAACCAAGCCGAGATCTGTAGGGGTAGGCCTGCTGTGTGACTGCAGTTTCTAAGAACATTAGGTAGGGGAGGAGTATTCCCAAGTAAAGGGGTGGACATAATATCCCAGTTCGTATTACACTCATTATCGACATTATCGACAGGTTGGGCGTATGAGGTCTGAAAATAAAATAAAAAATACAAATACAAATAACACACTGTAAAAACTTAAAGGAACAACTATTTACAGAATTCCGTTTGCTAGTAAATAGCATTGTTCAGTGGGGAAATGGATCTCGAAGTGGCTTAGAATGGAATGAAGCCACTGTGGGGGTAACCAAAGAGAGAGGTTGTAACCGTATTGCAACCCGGCAACAGCATGTGCTGAGGCATACAAATAGTTAAATATTGACCTAGTAGCATATGATAGGACCAGAAACAAAAAAATCTTATAAAAGCAGGTAAATATAGGTAAGGCAATTCACGGAAGTTGATAGTAGTGGAACACCTTATTGGGTCAGATCAGCGTTCAGGTGTGGGTCGTAGCAGTGATATAGTCCTTGGGGAGCTTTTTTCTATATTGATGTTCCAGTTTTGCAGCATGGTCTTTCCGTCTGTAGGGGTGAACATGGTCTTGTCTACTCCATTTCTCCTCACCAGTATACAAATGGGAAACCCCATTTGTATACTACATTTGCTGGTCTTAAGGCCTTCGCGATTGGAGCAAATGTTTGTCGTTTGAGCATGGTGGCAGAGGAAAGATCAATAAATAATTGCATCTGCTGGAATTTTCGTGTGAGGGTAGGCTTCAACCTTGCTGCTTGCATGATGCAGTCTTTTATTGTATATTGGTGTACTCTCGTAATGGCGTCCCTTGCCGGAAGATCTTTGGGTTTCGGAAGCCTATGAGTACAGTCCAGCAGGAGTTCTGCGGGTTCTAAGGTAGGTATTAATGTCCGAAACAGTTCAGTGACATATCGTTCAAGCTCTTGCGGCTTAATTGTCTATGGGATCCCCCGGATCCAGAAGTTGTTGCGCCGGTCTCTATCTTCGTGGTCTGCTAACTTTTACTCCATCTTCTGTAGCTTCGCTTCCACTAGGGAATTGTGAGCCTAGACTATTTCCTCAGTCCTGTCCTCTAACCTGGCGGTTCGTTCACCTATGGTGTGGATGTCGGATTTGATGTCCGAGGACACCTCGTAGAGCTCAGTTTGTAGTGAGTATTTCAGTTCTCGGAGCATATGGTGTACCAAGAGGTTTGTGGCCAGGCTAGCCAATTGTGTGGCAGCAGGAGCGATATCACTAACGTCCGAGCATGAGGCCGGTGAGTCAGGCCGCTAGACGCCATCTTGAATGCTAGGCCTTGCTGTTGCTGGTTGAAGTTGTAAAGTTTTCTGCTTAAACTTTTTTAAAATGTATATTTTAACGGACAGAAAGGGCTTTCATTTAACATCCTACTGTAACGGAGCGCTTGTACCCAGAGTTGTACCTCAGCTGTATATTCTCCCAGGTCCTGTAGTGAAGCAGTGATTATAACTCTGGTATACCCAAACATCAGCCGAGACTTGATGAAGGGTACAAAATGAATTGTTTTAATAGGGCCAAGTGGCCTGTTTATATACACAGACCCCCAGCATGGGTTCTCCATTCATTACAACGATAAGCCCGCCCAGGCATCTCTGTGTCTGGGAGATAAGTGAGTTTGCTTTAGCTTAAACAAATTATCTTCCAGGCACTAGAGGTACAAAATATTACAAAAACACCTAAAAATAAACATAATATCGGAAGGAACCCCTACAAGTATTATATCCCTGGATAGTCTGGATCTGAGTTCCCAAGTTGTCCAAATAGCGCTCAGATCCATATATTCTAGCTGAATAGCCAGCAGGTTAAGTTTTGACCGGCCGTACATGTGGTCCAATGCCTAAAATAGTTCCAGGGCGTTTGGTGCTTTTGACTGTCAACTTTCGGGAGTTCCCATAAGAAAACAAACTAAGGTTCCTCCTGGCTCGTAGGGGGTAAATGGTCTTTTTGTTTGGTAGCGTCTGTTCACTGAAAATCACTCTTCTGGCTTGTCAGGGAACGGAGTAGGTAGTGGTACGATCTTCCCTGAGGTTTGCAAGGTCAGGTAGCCGAACCAGAGTTCCATACACTCAACGGCGAAGTAGTGCTGCCTGCGTTCAGCAGACAAAATGACCATTCTCTGCAGCACGTAGTTTCGGTTATACGAATGGCGGCCACCCAGAATGAGCACTTAAGTCTGTGGTTACTTTGTAGTTAAAGGGACACTCCGGGCACCCAGACCACTTCTGCCCATTGGAGTTGTCTAGGTGCCAACTCCCACTACCCTTAACCCTAAAACTGTAAATATTGCAGTTTTCATTAACTGCAATATTTACATTGCAGAGTTAACTCCTCCTCTAGTGGCTGTCTACTAGACAGCCACTAGAGGGCACTTCCGGATTTATAGCACAGATTTTCTGTGCTATAGTGTCGCTGGACGTCCTCACGCTATGTGAGGACCTCCAGCGTCGCTGAAAGCCCCATAGGAAACCATTGAAAGCATTAGGTTCCCCCTCCGCCGGCTGCACATGCGCAATAGGTCTCCCCCGCCAGATGACGTCGGCGGTGGAGGAGCGTAGACGGACCTTGAACCAGCCCAGAGGGACATCGGAGCTGGATACAGGTAAGTCACTGAAGGGGTTTTAACCCTTTCAGCAACTTGGGATGGGGGGTGGGAGGGAGAGGGGACCTGCAGTGCCAGGAAAACTAGAGTCCCTTTAACGAGCCGGGGGGTGGTCGGTGTTCAGTAGTTTATGAATACCGAACTAGGGAAACTTGGAAAATTTTCCCAATAGATGAGTAATAGTGAGTTCATCACACCTACCTAACACAGTATTATATGTGAATAAAATGTAAAATTTTTGGTTATAATTTATTATTACACATCCAGTGCAACTAATTAAAAATAACTCGTATATCAGTCTTGATGCCCAGTATTTTTAGCATCTAAATACATTTTGATAGTTAAAACAAACCTTATGCTAACTCCTACACTGTGGTGCAAGCAGGGATTTAACATTGATCATTCTGCGATCATAGTAATAGGCATTTAAATGCCTATTTAAAGAACTGTTTGCAGCACTGGCTTCCAGCACTACAAACCGCTCATTGAAACACAAATTGGCTCCAGCAGACAGTGGGGGAGCCCCTGAGATAAAACATTCTTAATTAAATCTCTCTTTACAGGAAGTGTTTAGGAAAACTATGCAAGTTATCTACAGTGATGTATGACCCAGGCTATAAAAAAAAGTGATTTAATTCCTAAATGGCAAATAATTTAGCAGTGAGACTGCAGGGGCATGAAATATGCACCAAACTGTTAAAGGAAAACTCCAGTGCCAGGAAAACAATCCGTTTTCCTGGCACTGCAGGTACTCTCTCCCTCCCACCTCCCATCCCAGGTAGCTGAAGGAGTGAAAACCCCTTCAGGTCACTTACCTGAGACCCCACCGATGTCCCTCGGCCGTGGTTTCGGGTCGGCGTCTCTCCTCCCAGTAATCACGTCAGCCGGTGGGCGATACTGATCCTGCTCGCCGGCTGAGGAAACCTAATGCGCATGCGCGGCAATGCCGCGCACGCGCATTAGGGAAAGCATTGAAAAAGATTTTCAATGCTTTCCTATGGGGAATTCAGCGACGCTGGAGGTCCTCGCACAGCGTGAGGACGTCCAGCGACGCTCTAGCAAAGAAAATCTTTGCTATGAATCAGGAAGTGCCCTCTAGTGGCTGTCTACTAGACAGCCACTAGAAGTGGAGTTAACCCTGCAATGTAATTATTGCAGTTTATAAAAAACTGGAATAATTACAATTGCAGGGTTAAGAGTAGTGGGAGTTGGCACCCAGACCACTCCAATGGACAGAAGTGGTCTGGGTGCCTGGAGTGTCCCTTTAATGCCTTTGGTGTCCCTTTAAACTGATGTGTACATTTGAAGCAAGCTTTGTTTTGTAGTGCTTTCATTTAATAGCAGAACTTTTAAATACCTCTTTTCTACTTCTATGCATTAGTAAATCTATTTATTATAAGCCTTTGAAATATATGTGATAGGAGGAGGAGGCACTGCTGTCAGAAATGGATGTCACGGGCCAGGCATTTGAGGATATGCAAGAGCAGAACATCCGGCTGATGCAACAGCTCAGAGAAAAGGATGATGCCAACTTTAAGCTGATGTCTGAGAGAATCAAATCAAACCAGATCCATAAACTTTTAAAGGAGGAAAAGGAGGAGTTGGCAGACCAGCTCCTTACTCTTCGCACACAGGTATGTATACAATCCCTTTTTTAAAAAAATATATTTCTTGTAAATGATTCCTCAACTCGTTAACTTTCTCTCTTTTATATGGTCTATGCACCTTCTGTAACAAATTCAGATTAATGTTCTATTAAGTCTTCTCCCTCTGTAGTGCAGTGTTTTGCACTTGTTTTCTCCATTTTCTGATACTTGGTGTTACTGCTGCTCTTTTGCACAGGTAGATGCTCAACTGCAGGTTCTTCGAAAACTTGAAGAAAAGGAACATTTACTCCAGAGCAGCATAAATACAGGAGAGAAGGAACTGACTTTGCGTACACAAGCACTGGATCTTAGCAAACGGAAGGTAGTATCTGCTTGCCGCTCACTTTCATCCTCTTTACATACTTGTTTTGAATCTGCCTTTGCTCATTTTCACAACTTTTTGCAGGCATCAGAGGCTTCACAGCAAGCAGAGGAGCTGCGCTCACAGATGGAGGTATCTCAAAAGAAATTGCGAGATTTGAGAGAAGAAATAATTGAAAATAGTGCAAACCGGGAGAAGGATGCATTTAACTACAAGAGAGCTCAGGTGATTTGACTTATGCATGGTTTATTGTCTGCCCCCTTCCTTTTTTCCCCCTCCTGTCTTTCTCACTATATATCTTTAATGCTCTGTCTGTTACAGGCAATTTAGAAACCTTTCCACGGTTGGAAATCTCCAATCCCTTTATTAATTTGGTAGCACTATATTTGATATAGATCCTTCCTTTTGAGAATTGGTATCTAACGTTTTGCATAATGAAAACACTGGATATTACCATTGTATTATAAAGAAATGATTTTAATTTTGTTTCAGTATCCTAATTATTCATAATCTCTTACAGGCCTCTGGGGTTGTCTGTAGGTATTTTCATTTTTTTTATCTTTGTGTAAGCATTTGGTTTTCTCAAATGACAATATTTTAGGAGTATTCAACTTCATCTGATAGCTGGCCAGTTTACCTTTACATGTACTTACACATAAACCAATCAGCCATGACATTAAAACCAGCCACGACAGGGTAAGTGAATAAAATTGATTATATTGTTACAGTGGCACCTGTCAAGGGATGGGATATATATTGGGCAACAAGTGTACAGTCAGTTCTTGAATTTCATGTTTTGCAAGCAGGAAAAATGGGCAGTTGAAAAGACCAGAGCGAATTTGACAAATAGTGATGGCTAGACAACTGTGTCAGAACCTCTCCAAAACAGCAAGTCTTGCTTGTGAGGTGTTCCCGGTATGTAGTGGTTAGTACCTACCAAAAGTGGTGCAATGAAGGACAACTGGTTAACCGGCGTCAAGAGCATGGGAGCCCAAGACTCATTGATACACGTGGGAAGCGAAGGCTAGACTGTTTGGATTAGTCACACAGAAGAGCTCTTGTTCTAATTCCTGAAAATCCTAGTGTTGGCCATGACAGAAAGGGGTCAGAACACACTGTGCATCGCAGTTTGCGGTGTATGGGTTTCATAGACATATACCGGTCAGAGTGCCCATAATGACCCTGTTCGCTGAAAGTGCCTTCAATGGGGATGTGAGCATCTGACCTACACCATGCAGTAATGGAAGAAAGTTGTATGGTCTGATAAATCACATTTTCTTTTAGATCAGGTGGATGGCCAGGTGCACAGTTTACCTGGGGAAGAAATGGCAGCAGTAAGCACTATGGGATGATGACAGGCTGGCAAAGGCAGTGTTATGCTCTGGGCAATGTTCTGGTGGGAAGTCTTGGGTCCTGACATTCATGTGGATGTTACTTTGCCACGTACCACCTACCTAGAGATTGTTGCAGACCATGTACACCCCTTCATGGCAATGGTGTTCCCTTATGGCAATGACTTTTTTTAGGAGAAAAAATGCACCCTGCCACACTGCAAACATTGTTCAGGAATAGTTTGAGGAACATGATAAAGAGTTAAAGGTGTTGCTATGGCCTACAAATACACCAGATCTCAATCCAATTGTGCATCTGTGAAATGTGCTGGAACAACAAATCTGATCCATGGAGGTCCCAACTTACAACTAGCAGGACTTAAAAAATCTTGCCGAGTCCATGGTTCCACACATCAGAACTGTTTGGGCAGCACAAGTGGGATCTACACAATGTTAGGCAGGTGGTTTTAATATTGTGACTGATCAGTGAATGGCGCTTAGTGTTGTTTTTTTGTATGTTCTGTCTTAGGTAACCTGTTGCTATCACATATCTCCCATGATTTTGCCAAAGTGAGTCATGTGACCCTTTCAGGAACACCTTTTCTCAATGTTCAGGGGTTACCTATATTCTGGAGTGTTTGTTTTTTTGTTTTTTGTTTTTTTTTATATGTAATTCATTGCATTGCTTGCCTTGTTGGTATGTCAAATGACTTGAGAGAGAAAACCTACCTACAACTGAAATAGTAGAAAGTTGTTTATTAAGATGGCATAGGTTTTTTTTCTCTCATCTAGTATATTTACGATCCATAATCTGATCAGCCTATGTCATGCTTTTATTCAACCTTTCCTAGAAACTACAAATTTGTGCTAATGTATGCTCTACATATTTTCACTGATGTTTTGTTAAATGCAATAGTAAAATAAGGAAGAGTTGAACACCTCTAGCTTTCGGCAGAGCAGTCTGTTATATACCAACCATTACTAAATGAGTCATACCTTGGATAAACCTATAGCTTAGTTTTATCATTTTAATTTATGTACCAATTTCAATCTTATTTTATATACAATGAATTAAAAATATATCACTTACTGCACATTGATTGAAATGTTTAACAAAGATTGCTTGCAAGCAAGATAGCATTGTAATAAACAAGACAAGGTCAGTGTTACAGAAGTCATTTTCAATGTTTAACTATCGAAGGTCAGTATCCCGTAAATGATGGTTAAACTATCCAGTGTTTAGGTCATGGGAAAAAAGACAAAACAGATGTTACTCGTAGTAAGAGTCACATACATTATCGAGGTCAAAACCAACCAAAGAATTACTACAATTTTGGAACCACAAAAAGGTGCCTAATTGTAATAGAGTACTTAAATGTTTCAGCCGGAACGGCACCCCAACCAATCACAGGTAACAACCTGGACTCTGTCTAGTAATTGCATATTGGACTGTAACAACATGAAAATTTTACCGGTTTTAAACTTGGAAAGTTGAAATTGTAGCACAACCCTCTGTTATAGTTACTGATGGCAAGAAAGAGCATGTCCTCCTCAGACATTCAGAATCTGTGAATTGCAAAGTAGCACTCAGCCTTCCACTGTGCTGCAAAGCAAGTATTTAACATAGGAACATAGAATGTGAAGGCAGATGAGAACCATTCGCCCAATCTAGTCTGCCCAAATTTCTAAATACTCTCATTAGTCCCTGGCCTTATCTTATAGCTAGGATAGCCTTATGCCTATCCCACGCATGCCTAAATTCCTTCATTGTGTTAACCTCTACCACTTCAGCTGGAAGGCTATTCCATGAATCCACTACCCTCTCAGTAAAGTAATACTTCCTGATATTATTTATATACCTGTGTCCTCTTGTTGTGGTAGTTTTTCTTCTTCTTTTTTTTTATTTTAAATTCTTTATTTTTGTTCGTGCATAGAATGACAATTAGGTCTGTTACGCCACAACAGCGGTAAGAGACCGATATACAACAGCTGGTATCATGGCATAGGAAATACTGTGCACAATTATTTGTTTTTACGGTTAGATACATGTTGGAACAAGATGCAGTTATGATTAAGTTTGCTTAGAGGTTAATAAGGTTACACTGTGTAGTCTAACATTGGAACAGCTAAAAATAATTATATAACATTCTAAGATTAATGCATATTGTCTTTTATACATAACACAGCCGTAGTGGTGAGAGATGTATGCACTGTGTGTTTATGGTGGGTTATCGGAGGCTGGGTTGTATTAGTGCAGGTAGGGTGGTGTGTTCTTCTGAGCGGGACTGTTATAGGTTATGTCTATGTGTTTAGTTGTGTCTACCGTGTGATTACATTGCTTGGGGGTGCGTGTAATGTCTGCCAGTTGGTAGGTTAAGAGGGACCTTCATGGTCATGTGCGCGGAGGTCAGCGCTCTCAAGTTGGGAGCCAGATAGAGGCTAAATGTCAGCTCCTGGTTACTGGGCGGGTATGTTAGTTTGGGGCGCCTGTGTGGCGTCAGGAATGCGAAGGGTTAGCTCGGCATCTTCCCAGTGAGACCACCCATAGTGGGTCCTAGTGTTATCGGGTGATGTGCATACCGGTATGTTGGTGGGTAAAGGAGTGCGGCCATCCGCAAAGCAGGGTGTTAGCTCACCCGGGAGCAGCTGTCCAAGGTGAGTTCATTATGTTAGGGTAGAGTCCCGGCAAGGTAAGTTATAGTCCTGATATTTCAATATTGTCAGGTGGTGGCTGCTTCTTTAGGTGCACTGGTGTGTCTTCTAGGGATGAATTGTGCAGTGCCGGCCATGCTCCAAGAAGTGGGTTCTTCCCCGCGTCGTGGCCTGGAGCTCCAGTTTTTCTTCTTTTAAATATAGTCTCCTTCTTTACTGTGGTGATTCCCTTTATGTATTTAAATGTTTTTATCACATCCCCTGCTGTCTCATCTTTCTTACATCTTATACATGCTAAGATTCTTTAACCTTTCCTGGTTAGTTTTATCCTGTAATACATGAACCAGTTTAGTAGCCCTTCTCTGAACTCTCTCTAAAGTATCAATATCCTTCTGGAGATACGGTCTCCAGTACTGCTTACAATTCTCCAAGAGAGATCTCAGCAATGTTCTATACAGTGGCATGAGCACTTCCCTCTTTCTAATACCTCTCCCTATTTAACTGCACTTGTTGCTGAAAAATGTCTAATTAAACTTTAAAATCTTTAATGCAGTAATTTGTATTCAATTTATTAAATGAGTGCCTTCTTTGCTATCAGTTTTATTTCCCATTCATCTTTTATCACTTTTTCATTATTTTTATGCTTTTTGTTTGTTTTTATGTATATATAGGAGGACATATCTCGTCTGCGGAAGAAATTGGAATCCACTAAAAAACCTGATTTGGTGCCAACATGTGATAAAATTCTTATGGAAGAAATCAAAGAATATAAGGTATAATTATCTCTAGTTACAGGTCTAATGTACCCATTATACATTTTACATCCAAATCTATCATGTTCTTGCATGTGCAATGGTGCCAAAATTGTGTCGCATTTGTGCATGTAAAAAAACAAGCCTCAGACACAGAAGAAAACATTCATTCATTTACTACTGGAGAGAAAAGTGGGGTGTCCAGTTATACTAGACTACATACAAAATGTGCACGTGCTTCTCAAAAAGAGGAACTGTCGTGTTTTCAATTTAAAAAAATTCTAATGGTTACCGGTTGTACTAAAATCTTTTTTTAATACTCCTCATAGTATCTTTTATTGGCATTTACCTACTTTGCCAGGCAAGTTTGTTAACTCTTGCAGAACCATATAGATGGCACATACGCGAGTGCACCATTGCTGGAGAAAATGCAGAGTGCATGCCTAGGTGCAGCATTTTCTCCTTTATATGTTGTAGTGCGCATGCATGCTCCCAAAGCATTATGGGGTGGTAAAGTTGCTGTAATGCTGAAGTGCAGCAGAGGTTAAGAACATTTTTTAAATTAACGGTGGAATAGAGTTTACCGGCGTGAAGGAAGAGGGAGCTATAATCTCTCTGGAAGTGATAGTTCCTCTTTAAAACAAGGGTAATTATCAAAGAGGAGAAACAGTTGTATAGAAATCTAGGTTGCAAAAGACTAAAGTTCAACCTTAAAACCCATTCTGTTGATACAAAAGAAGGCAAAAACAAAGCATCCAGGCCTTTAAAAAAAAAATATCTAGAGAATCTGATAAAATAACCTATTTAGACAGAAAATTTCACATCTTTATTGTTCTTCTCTGAACTCTGCTGTAAGTGAAAACTCCTTTCCATCAGTCTCAATGGGTGACATCTTTTCAGTTGTGTATTCCTGCTAACAAACAGATTAGCACATAGTAGTTTATACTGAACCTGTATATATTTGTATAATGCCATCGTATTCCCTCTGAGGCGCATTTATTTTCCAAAGAAAACAAATGCAGTTTTTCTAGCCTTCCTTCGTCTTTTTTATCCCCCTTATTAATTTTGTAGCTCTTCTCTGCACTTTTTCTAGTTCTTCTTTAAAACTGATGACCAAAATTGCACTGCATATTCAAGGGGGGTTTTTACTATTGCTTTATAAAGAGACCAAACTTTAGTTTGATCAAGTAAATCAATAACCCTTTTTATACATGAAACCACCTTACTAGTTTTTGCAATGGCTGACCGTCATTGCATACCGTTGCCTAGTTTATCTATAATTTTTATTTAATGTTATCTCTAACGCAGCCTCATTTAACTCTATAGGGTCAATGACACAAACATGCATTCCTGACCCTATATAGTTAAAAACACCCCTTGCGTCCCTAAATATAGTAAAATCTTACGTTCATTCCAGTTTGCTGCTGCTGACTCTGGCCCAGATCTTCCTGCTTGGCTGACATCTTCAGGAGTGGTGATCTGAGCCAATCACAATGCTTTTACATAGGAACGCATTGGATTGGCTGTGCTTGTCAATGAGGCAACTTAGGCCAAACACAGCCCTGTCCAATCAGCATGTCCTCATACATTGAATCACTGCATCTCTATGAGGAATGTTCAGTGTCTGCATGCAGAGGATGGAGACACTGAATGGGTGGAGGTACTGCACAGTGTACAACACGGCTACTAGCACCTCTAGTAGCCATCTGAGGAATGGCCAGTGGAGGTATCCCTAAGCTGTAATGTAAACATTCCACTAACTCTGAAAAGACCATGTTTATTGCAAAATGCCTGAAGGGAATGATTATACTCACTAGAACTAATACAATAAGCTGTAGTTCTGGTGACTATAATGTCCTTTTAATGTATAAGTGGCCTGTGGGTTCCTTATTCCAAAATGCATCTCTGTAGTGAAGTTATATCATGTTCAGACTGCAGATGACCTAAAACTTTGTAAAATTATAGAAACACTTACAAATGACTTTCAATTCCATCTTCAAGATCATTTATAAACTGATTAAAGGGAAGTTGATCCATGACAGACCTCTGATGCACTCTACTCACTACATTTGTCCAATTAGAAAATGTTCCCTGTACAAATATTATCTGCACTCTATCTTTAATACAAAAACACGATTTTTCACCTAAACCAACTGATTTCAGTTTTAATAGTAACTTTTTGTGTAAAATTGAGCAATGAGACTGCAGCGGGCATGATCTATACACCAAAACAGCTTCATTAAGCTTAAGAGGATTTTTTTTTTTTTTTGTTTTAGCATCACTTTGAAATTGTTTTTTTTTTGTTTATAAAAAAATTGCATAATTTAAAGAGATCACGCACATCTCTTTAAAATTAAACTGTTATGTTATTTTTCAAGCTTGAGGTTTCAACTTTATATTGTGCTAGCAGTTTTGCTAGCACATGTATAGATTTGGGAGAAAAAAAACGATTTACAAATATTTTTTTTTCTCCCATCTAAATCTCAATTCCTCGACAGACGTTCAATGTTGAGGAATGAAGAGACAGGGAGAGCAGAAGAGACCCACTGCTCTCCACCCATTGCAATCACGGAGCATGGTGGGCCGGTGGTGGGTATTACAGAGTGTAACATCCACCTTTGTAAGGAGATCGTGGCCTGTATAACCACCTAGAAACATTTTACATATTTGGACATAAGGATATCGGATAAATACTAAACATTTGTACAAATATTTTTTTACACTCTCAGAATTTCTCAGATCCGATCAAAGGGACTTGGTTGTGTAATCTCTCACACATTCATTTAAAAATTTTACGCACTCTGTTGTAATGTTAATCAAATGTCATTTTGTTTGTAATTTGCCATTTCTATTCCACCCACCTTTTCTTTATATCCTAGCCCCCCAAATGTTTTTTCCTATGATTTGCTTCCTCTACGTTTATTACTTTTTAACCTGGTTCTCTTGCAAATCTCATGTTTCGTGTACTTCATTTCCTGTGCTAAAATTTTCCACTCAATATTACAGACCAGACTCACTTGTCCATGCTGCAATTCAAGGAAGATGGATGTTGTCCTCACCAAGTGTTTCCATGTATTCTGCTTCGAATGTGTGAAGACACGCTATGACACAAGGCAGCGCAAGTGCCCCAAGTGTAATGCAGCTTTCGGAGCCAACGACTTCCATCGTATCTACATTGGTTGAATTGTACAATACATTACAATGCCTCAGCAGCTCCCTGCTTGCATAGACATTATAGACCTACCCGCATGTGTAACTGCCCTACTCTACATGGACACATTGCGCTGCAGGAATAGCATCCTCGTATAGTCCCCTAACAAACCTCTCCTAGAAAAGTGTGAAGCTTAATGTACTCTACAAATTCTCATTTCTCAAAAAAAATTCTTCTTTTATACTACTACATCGAGAAATGAAATTGGGCTGATTGTTGTTTCTTGTGACATAAGCTGTAATTAAATTATTTTCCTTGAAAATCGTTTACTCGTGAATACTGAACAGTATGTGAATTTATTAATGCTTCTATTTTTAAAGCAAAATATTTGTTTAAATATAAGCAGTACATTGAGGGTTAACAGGAATGAGTTTTTGTTTACATTTTATTATTATACCATAAAATCCCATTTCCATAGTAAGAGAGGCAGTACTCACAACTGGGTTGTTGCCTTGTCCTCCAATTGGTCAGGTTTTGTAGCAAGCAGAGCATATACAGCTTAAACCACATCCATGTAACCACATCCATTTAACAATTAAGACAGACAACTTGCAAGACCTTGTTTCCCAGTCTTGATGTAGGCTAGGTGTTAAAAGGATTGTGGGGAGGACAATACAACTCCCTACAGTGCAATTATAAAAGCTATTGTGCATCACGGGAATCATGTTTCCACAACTATGCAATATTTCCCAACTTGATATGCAAATGAACAGAAACAGGCGTTGTGTTTTAGACTTCATTCTGTATTTGTACAGGAACCCTTGCAATGCACCTTTCAAGCACCACTCTTTTTTTTTTTTATTTATTTATTTTTTTTTTTTTAAAACCATAGCATGGATTGTGATCCAAAAAGACCAGTGACCAGAAACCAGCCATGGTGCTGGTTTGTGTTAAAAAACTTGAGTACTGAACTCCAGAGTATATCAAAACATATATGATGCTCACATCAAACAACCTGTACATATAAGGTGATTGTGTAAATAGTAGTACACATAATACAATATATATGAACTCAAAATTAAAATAGTCAATGACAAAGAAATCCAAAGTGGATAAACCACCTGCAACTACTGATATCAGTGAACCTTTATGGAGGCCGCAATACACCTACAAGCCTAGGATGGCGGTACCGTCAGAGGGGCCCTTGCGTGCATCTAGTGAGAAGTCCTTGTCAGATTAGGGAAACTGCGCTATACGGGCAACCAGCTGACTAACACATTCACCTCCCGATTCTACAGAGTTGCAGAAGAGTGCTCTGTTCATGTTACCTCATTTTGAAGCCAGGTTCTACTGATGGCAGCTAATGCCACTATAAGAATATGGTATATCAAGTATTGTTTGGACTTTGGAATGCCTGCAGGAAGGAGTTGCAATAGATAAATCTCTGGATCTCTTGGTGGTGCCAGTTGCTAGGATTTCGTAATAAGCTTGTTGACTTTGTCCCAGTATAGTGTTATCCAGGGGCATGTTCACCCGATGTGCTACATGGTCCCAGGTTGTGTCAGACATCTGAGGAATGTTTCAGTCTGGTGTGTACCAGGTACCAGCGATATTAAATTTTCCTTGACAGTTCTATGTGGGATGTACAAAGTCTAGAAAGATCCTGGACCACTGTGTGTGCGTTTTCTGGAAGTCTTTTTCCCAGGCTGTAATATATGGTGGTTGGTTGGTACTTTGTATGTTTTCACTATTATAAATTAGGGATATGATTTCTCGGGGGGGTGTTATCCATACAGCGGCATTAAAGTCTGGTATGAGGGTTGTGAATGCTTTTATTGGCATCGAGGGGGAGAATTTGGAACTAACTTGTTTTGTGGTTTGATGTGCATCCCACACGGATAGCGTTAGGGATGTTATTGGAAGGATGTGTTGGTATTTCTGCCTTAGGTGTGGCAGCTTCCATGCTGGTATGTCTTGTCCCCCTGTGTGTGGTCTCTATTTGAAACCAAGTAGGTGGGTTTTTGCGATGGGTGCCATCAGCACTGGGCTAAGCTTGTTCGCTTTGTAATATGTGGCGAGGTTAGGTCGACCCATTCCTCCTTTTTTTAAAGGTGCTGTATAGAGTGGACGTCGCTACCCTTGGCTTTTTGTTATCCGATATATACTTATGGAGTAGCTTCTGTGTATCTTTGATTGGGAGTGTGTGGAACAGGTCTTGGAGCCTGGGGAGGATTTGCATTTTTATTGCCGATATGCGTCCCGTCCAGAAGCTGGTGCTTTATATAGTTTCTTGTAGTTGGCATGGATCAGACTCTGTGAGTTAGTGCTATACCCAAGAAAGGTTGTCAGTCCTCCGGTCATAACAGTAAGTGTATTGCTACTTTTGTGAAAACATTGGGGGCATGTGCATGCATATTGCCTGCATCTTTGTGACGCTCAATTTATAACAGTTGCTATACTGTTTGAGGATATCGTGAAAGTGTGGCAACGATACATCTGTGTTAGTGAGGGACATCATAATGTTGTCTGCAAACATTGTGATTTTGTATCCTTTGTCACCCACAGGATTCCCGGTTATCCTCTTTTCATTCCGTATAAGATACTCTAGTGGTTCCACGTGCCATTGGTGTGTCCAACTCTGAGGATATGAACACACTGTTTGCTACTCGGGCTGATGGCTTAGAGTAGAGGACCGACCCCATCGACAGGAATTGTGGTGGAAAATTTAATTTGTGTAGGAGGGCTTTGAGGAAGCTCCAGTGTAGTCTGTCAAAAGCTTTTTCAGCATCTAGAGAGATTAAGCCACTGGGCCTCCTCACACCGTGTGTGCCATAGAGCAAGCTTAGAAGTTTCCTTGTCCCTTGTCTGCCCGCTACAAACCTCACTTGGTCCGTATGTATTAAGGCAGGGATCATGTTTTAGAGTTTGTTGGCATAGTGTCTGTGTTCAATAGAGAGGTGGGTCACAGGTTTTGAGGTTTATTAGGGGTTTCCCCAGGTTTCGGGAGTGTGACAATGTGTGCTAACAGCATCTCCAGTGGTATAGTGTTGTGTCAATGATATGGTTGAGGGTTTTCGTGAGATGAGGGGCCAAGATCTAAAGCAAAGGTTTTATAGTAATTCATGAAGCCGCCTAGGCCCAGTGATTTTCCTATGGTACGTGTGACTTCTTGGATGTTAATCCGGTCTCGCATTGTGGTTGGGTGAGGGAGGGAAGATGGATTTGGGAGAGGAAATTTTGTGTATTCTGGTCTGTGGGTTGGTCCGTCACGGTGTCTGTCCGCAAGTTGTAAAGCGTTTTATAGAACTCTGCCATAGCGTTGTTAATATCTGTTGTCGTCACCAGCTAAGGGATTTTAGATTGGGCCTGTTTTTGATGTAGTAGGGAGGCTAGGGCTTTCCCCGCTTTGTTACCTTGAGTATATGTTCTCCGTTTTAGTTTCTGCAACATATACGTGGTTTTGCTAAACAGTAAGTCATTTAATTGCTTAATGATTTGGTCTATCCATGATTGTCTTGCGTCTGTAGGTTGTAGTAGCTGTGCGTTAGTTTGGTCTCTCAGGGATTTAAGCAACCCATAATAAACTTCTTGTGAGTTGCGATGAAGGTAGGATCCTCTACTTATTGCAAGCCCACGGATAACGGCTTTATGAACTCGCCAAATGTCAGGGGGTCTGAGGTCAGGTGTTGCGTTTATCTCAAAGTAACAGGCTATTTTTGTCTCTAGTTTGTGTTTGAAGGTAGACCTGTAACAATGTGTTGATAAAATGCCACGGGGTGGAGCCTCTGTGAGAAATTTTCTGTTAGTGTTATTGATGTCGGGCCGTGGTTATATCATTTTCTTCTGATGACATACAAAGTGTACCCCAGAACACTTCCCCCCCCCCTCCAGATTAGGGGCAGTGCACAACAACGGGTATTTCTTCTAATCTGGATTGGAAAGGCAGGCAGGCAGGCAACCAAACCTTTAAATCTGCAGACTCCTCCTATAGGTATAAAACAACACAGAACCTCCCCAAACCCCAGTTCTCTGCCTTTGGCAGGGTAGTATGTGGAAACTTACGTGGATAGGGTGAGCTGGAATTGTCCAGGGAGGGCTCTGTCCTTCCTTTTAGGATTCAGGGCAATACTGTCCATTTTTGAGGTGGAACGCAAACAGAGTGATGGCATTCCACCGTTCTTTATGCCGCCAATCTTCTGAGCCAGGTGCTGAAAATGGCAAAGGTGCATGTTGCACACATGCTGGGAGGCCCTGGAGATGGAACCCCTTGCACAGGTTGCGTTGTGTTCCATCTGGAGATTGCGGAGTGCTCTGAGCATACGCGAAGCCATCTCCCAGAAATCGGTCACAAATTTTTTTCAAAACTCGTATTCCCGGACCTGGGAACTACATTCACCCTAGCAGCAACTTCCTGCTTGCCAGAAGTTCACAATCCCATTGCAGTGTGCTCTCACCTGCCTTCAAGCACTCTCAGAGGCCATTAAGGTAAGACTTTTCTCCTTAATATCTCTTGCCTGATTTATTTTTAAGACTAATATATAAAATATTTTTGTTAATTTTTCTTTCTCCAGTATGTCTAACTTAGAGGTGACGGATAAACCTGGAAAAAGGGGGAAATGCTTAGCCAAGATGAATCATTTAATGTGTGCCACCTGTTCCCAGCCTTTACCAGATGGTAACAAAAAGAAAACTTGTGGCAGTTGCTATAAAGAGGCTTCCAATAAAGCTAAAAAGGCAGACGTTTCGTCCTTCATGTCACGGTTGCAGAACAGCCTGCAACAAACTTTGGTGGATATAAAGAAAGCCGCTCTGCTATCTGCACAGTCTGCCATTCAGTCAGACTCTAAGAAAAGAGCTTCTAAAAAGAAGACATGTTTGGAGGGTCCAGAAATGAGCTCTGAATCCTCTTCTGATTAATGTTTTTGCGAAGAGTCCAGTACTTCCTCTGACGAGGAATATTGCTTTCAAGAACAGTATTAGCATAAACTCATCAAGGAAGTCTATAGCCTCATGGATTTGGAAAAATCTCCTTCAAGTGCACATGAAAAGAGAAATCTTAAGTCTTTTCCTATTAACCCATCTATACAGCAGCTAATGCTTAGGGAATGGAAATTTCCTGCGAGGAAATCTTTTATATCCAAGCTTTACAAAACCAAATTTGGTGGTTAAAGAAGAACCTGATACTCAGCTGGAGATCTTGCCTTAAAGGACCACTCTAGGCACCCAGACCACTTCAGCTTAATGAAGTGGTCTGGGTGCCAGGTCCCTCTAGGATTAACCCTTTTTTTTTTATATAAACATAGTTTCAGAGAAACTGCTATGTTTATATTAGGGTTAATCCAGCCTCTAAAGCCTCTAGTGGCTGTCTCATTAACAGCCGCTAGAGGCGTTTGCGTGCTTCTCACTGTGAAAATCACAGTGAGAAGACGCCAGCGTCCATAGGAAAGCATTATGAATGCTTTCCTATGAGTCTGGCTGAATGTGCTCACAGCTCCTCCCGCGCATGCGCATTCAGCCAAAGAGGAGAGGAGGAGGAGAGCTCCCTGCCCGGTGCTGGAGAAAAGGTAAGATTTAACCCTTTCCTCACCATCCAGCCCGGCGGGAGGGGGTCCCTGAGGGTGGGGGCACCCTCAGGGACTATAGTGCCAGGAAAACGAGTATGTTTTCCTGGCACTATAGTGGTCCTTTAAGTGGATATACCTATTGCACAGCTGGGTAAAAAAACACTTCCTATTGGAGATTCCAGTGGGCTCCAGGATGCAATGGACAAAGGAGCAGATTCTTGCTTAAAAAAAGCAAAGTGGTTATTCCACTGCTGCTCTCCAGAGTAAGGCTCTCATTTCAGGTACTACAGTGGTCAAATCTTAAAGCTGTTTGCTGGATACGTCGGATAAAGTTTATATGGGTGAATCCAGAGAAGATATTGTTAAATTTTTGAGGAACATTAAGATGGCTGCAGATTTTCTGACAGACTCTTCATCAGAGACTATGAAGCTTTCAGCAAAAATGATGGGGCTTTCCAATGTAACCAGACGTGCAGTATGGCTCAGAAGCTGGTCCGCTGACTCTGCTTCTAAGAATTCTTTGTGTGATCTTCCCTTTGAACAAGGTCGACTGTTTGGTTCTGGATGACCTGCTAAAACGTATGGTGGAAGGTAGAAAAACTATGAAGAACAGAAGATAAATTCTTGGAACAAACCATTCTTCAATAGAAAGAGACTCCTTTAGTAGGTTCTCTTATAAGAAAAATCAAAGAAGACCATTTTCTTTTCAAGATAAAGAGAAAAGGAACTTTCCATAGATTATGACGCCATTCCAAAAGGTGGCAGAGTTCAAAGCGGTTACAGAATAGAATTTCTCGACATTTCTTCAACCGTGCATTCCACAAATGTTGCATCAGTGCTTCTCCAAGAAGTTTTGGCAGAAAAAGGTGGTAGAAATACTTCCAAAAGATGAAGAATGTAAGGGTTCTTATTCCAGAATCGTTTTGGTAAAAAAACAGATGTTTTTTTCCGTCCTATTCTGAATTTAAAATTAGTAAACAGATTTGTGCTCCATAATTTTTTTTGCATGGAAAATATCTTCTCCGCCTCTCACATTATTTGACTAGACTCATGGCTTTGTTCCATCGATTTGCAAGACGCTTATCTAAACATACTAATAGCAGCAGACAGCAGAAGGTTTTGAAGACTTGCGATAAAAGATCAGGATGAGCTGCTGCATTTCCAGTTCAGGGCTTTGCCCTTTGACTTTTCTTCGGCTCCAAGAGTCTTTACCAAGGTACTCGTTGGCCATCACAGAAGAATTGAGAAAAAGAAGTCTCAACATATAGTACCTTATTTGGACGACTGGTTACTCATTGCTTCTTTAGAGAGAGAACTTCTAAAGGACGTCAGAAGGGCTTCCATCACCCTCCAAAAACATGGCTGGATTATAAACCTAGACAAATCGGAACTAACCTCATCTACTTCTATCCATTTTTTGGGACTCATTTTAGACTCCGTTCAAATGAAGATTTGTTTTCCAGAGGAGAAGATAAACAAAATCAAAGTAGCCATTATCAGCTTGCAATAAGTTTTGCACTATAAGAGAAGCAATGAGACTTCTTGGTCTGTTCACTGCCACAATTCCAGCTGTAAACTGGACCAAGGCACGTATGAGACCATTACTGTAAAACATCCTCTCTTCCTGTGACATGAAAACTGCATCCCTGGATAAGTCCATAAATCTAAGTGCCCCGGCTTTGCAAAGCTTCCATTGGTGGATGACTTCACATTTCCTTTCAGAAGATCTTTATTTCCGATTTAAAAAAGTTTGTTTTTGTATCAACAGACACATCAAGATGGGGTGCTCGCATGGGTATAAAGCTGACAAGAGGCACTTGGAATCTTCAAGGTGCAAGGAAGTCTTCAAACTTCAGGGAACTGAAAGCCATCTGGTTGGCACTTCTCTCCTTCAAAAGACATCTGACGTGCACCAGCAGAGCTCTGCCAAACCAAGCCTGGAAAAAGCAAATTAAACTTTTTAACCCACACTAATTCAACCTCCATCGAGACAAAACAAGATGGTGAAGAAAGACAAACACCAAGGGGCAGTGAAACCGGCAGGGGCACGCGACATTGGAGAGCTTCTCCTCCGGCCCGCAAAGGCCCAAAGCCTCACCGCGCCAAAAAAACATGGCGACACAGCCTCTGCCTCCTCCGAGGAACAAGCTATGGATGAGCTGGATGAATTCCCGGCCTCTGATGAAGATAGTGAGCTGCCCTCCACGAAGGGGGTATTAAAGCCCTACTCTGCAAGATGTTTGCAGCAGACGTTGCCACACTGCGCGAAGAGATACACAGGGGCGATTCAAGACTATAGAAGAAGACTCGCAGGACCTCCCTGCACGATGCACACAGATAGAAGCCCATAACGCTGAACTACAGCGCAATCAGTTTCAGCTCAATAACCGCCTTGACGCACTAGAGGACCGGAACAGGAGCAGAAACATAAAGATCCGAGGGGTCCCAGAGACAGTGGCCCCGGGTGACTTACCGCAATTCGTCAGAAGGCTCCTTACCTCCCTACTCACGCCACAACAGGCAAAAATGGCTACAATCGATGGGGTCTACCGCATACTGAGGGCCGCCAGAGCTCCGGCAGACACCCCACGAGACGTCATACTGCAGCGACTGACACGGTCGGCCCAACTCACCATCATGGCAACGGTGAGAGGAAAAGCTACCTTCCCGTTTGAAAATGCCACTCTGTCCTTTTACCAGGACTTATCCAGACCCACCTTACTATGGAGAAGCAGGTTCAAGCCGCTAACCACCACACTCCGCCAACATGCCATCACATATCGCTAGGCATTCCCTAGAAGCCTAGTGATCTCTCATGGGGGCGCGACAACCCACATAACAACAGGGCGATGGGCCGACCATGTCGCTGGAATACAAGAACGCTGAGACTGAGTTTAAGTCTGATTTTAATTTTCATGTTATTTTACATTTTTGGTTGTTTTGATCAATTTAGACCACTATCTACCCTGGACTCGGACTGGCAAGGGCTCGGGCACCTGACCAAGATGATGATATACCACCGGCGGGAGCCTGCTGACCGGGACGCTTACCGCTGCAGATGAGAGAACCTCCATATACCTCATTCTGCCCCTGTCAGAGACTGGTACTGGTCAATTGTTTGTTTGTTTTTATTTTAACTAACTTAACAACAGTGAGTTGGTATTGGCTAGGGTGGTATTTACATCACAGTGGCCCATGCTTTCAAGCATAGCAATAGTACCATTAAATCTTACCCCTAGCTTTACACACGCCTGAAATCTAGCAAGGTGAAATACCTACATACTAAGGAGCTAGTTAACACAGCACCGATTGACCCCTGCTTCGTCTCAAGCATTTTGCCGCTCAAAGCATTGTAGTAAATCAACACATTCACTCAGCTTGATAACGCTACACCTGCTCAAGCCTAAAACGTACACACACACACACACTCAAGGAAAAGCTCTTACACCACAAAATTATTTCAGACCAAATCTCTGACAGGAAGATAATCCGACACACACACAGATTAAGCCTTACCCTGCGAAGGGCCTAGCAGGATTATTATTACTATTATTATAAATTACACTGCATTGCCAAGCCACTGTTAGTTCAATATGGCTCACCCAAGCTACATCTGCCTCCCGGCGGTGTTTCCCACCGACAATCTTACCAACCCTCACTCTTCCACGTTTTATGTTACATGTTTTACTGACATTGCTACTGTTTTAACCCTGAACCAAGCATGAAAACCATATAAAAAATGTGCAGATGTAACTCATGTCTATTAACCCAAAATGGCCGGTATCTGCTGTTGTGGCAGTGCCGGCATGTTTGTCATCATTATGCACGCCAAAATAAAGAATAAAAAAAAAAAGACATCTGATAGGTCATCACACACAGATAAAGCTGGACAATTGAACTGCAGTCGCTTATGTGAACCAATAAGGGGGGACACGTTTGATTCCTCTGGAACAGTTATGCACTGTAACTGTAATGCTAACTACCAAACACCGGGCCACCCTGCTTCATAATTATAGATCATTTACCTCCCTGATCCACAAGTACTTTCGTATAAAGAAACCCACGAATGCTGTGCGAAGTGCCTGGGTGGCCGCCATTTCGGGACTTACACGTGTTTGCGGCCATCTTAATTCCCGAACAGCGGTGTTTTGCCGTCGAGTGTCTGGAACTAAAATCGGAAACTCGAGTAGGCGAAAACACCGCTGAGACCTCCATAGCACCGGGAAATCGTGCTATAACTACCGAACAACAGGCCGTTCGGTAGAAAGACTTAATAGCTTATGGGGATTCCAGCAAACGTTGGGTTATGCACGGATGGCAATCTGTTCGGGACTTTTTACGCACGAACTAAGACCGACTAAGATTTATGCCTGTACCCCGAGTATTTGGGGTACATCCGAACTTTGGGCAAAAATGTGTTCTTTTTAATTATTTGCTTATCTGAGGGGAGGAGATGTGTGGGATGTATATTATGTTTATTGGTTGTTCTGTTAATTATGTGGGTGTCTCCCTTGCATGGGCAGAATCACATAAAAGGAGAGGGCCTGTCATTAAAAGCCAGTTCTTCTTGACCCTTCAAAACGTAGCCTTGTCTCGTTCTTGAAAGGGGATTCTGCAGCATAATCACGTAGCTCTTTTCAGAGCTCTACCTTCTGCCTTGGATCCAGTGGATGGCAATAAGCGACTCCATCACTCTACAGCGACTTCCCGGGAAGAAAAGGACGTCCCCAACGGCTGATACCCTCACTCTACCTGGGTAGCCGTTACATGCACCAACATAATGAATTGGTCAGAAGTACATCTTTTGTCAATGTCTGCAGTCCACATAAAGGGAGAAAGGAATACTCTTGCAGACGCACTCAGCAGGAACCATCTAAAACAGGGTGATTGGTCTCTTTCTCCTCTAATTTTTCAGGAAATCGTGAAAAAATTCGGAATTCCAGTGATAGATCTCATGGCTTCTAGGGAAAATAAGAAGATGAAAAGATTTTCATCCATCAATTCGACAGACAAGCCCGACTTCCTGAATACTATGTCAATTCAGTGGGATTTTCATCCCGGCTATTCTGCAAAAAATCATCCAGAACAGATCAAGGATGATAGCAATTTTTCCCTATTGCACCTATCCAACAATGTGTTTTGAAAACTTCCTGTGTCTGAAAAACTTCTGGAACACAATCTGGTTCCTCTGAAAACACTTCAGACATTCCAATGAACGGACTGGTATCTAAACGCCAGATCCTGAGATTGAGGAGACTCAATCTCAGACTGTTAGCAGCTAAAAAAATACTCCACTTTGTCAGTTTACTCTAAAATTTGGAAGAAATTCTGCTCATGGTGTTATAGTGTGGGTGTTCATCCCCTTTCTGCTTCAGGTCCTCAGATTTGAAAATTTCTACAGCTGGGGTTTGCTAAAGGTCTTCGTCCTGCTACACTTAAAGTTCAAATCTCAGCTATTCGTTTTTTTAGCATTCAGATGCTCTAATCTCCAGATTTTTTGAGCAGTTTCTAGACTCCTTCCTACCATTAGGGAATTGGTTCTACCTTTGGGTTTAAGTATTGCCCTTACGGCTCTGTGTGATGCACCCTTTGAACCCTTGGAGTCTGTCAGTCTGAATACTCTTACTTTGAAACTGTGTTTTTGGTTGCAGTGACTTCTGCAAAACATCTGGGTGAACTTCAGGCTTTGGCCTATTCTCCACCATTCTTGGTTTTTCATCTAGATAGAGTGGTCCTGGAACATCAACCTTCTTTTCTTTCTTTCTTTTTTTTTTTTTTACATTCTTTCTTTTATTGAGGCACTTGCATAAGATACAAAACACATGAGAAAACAAAGAGTTGTGGTAGTTTTAGGTTTAAACTCTTACAAAATTCAGCCTCTTTTTGTAACTAATAAAATGGGTAATATCATACTCTGGTAACCAGGCCAGTAGCAAGTCAAAACGGAGGCAAAGAAAAAAAATGAACATCAACATTAACATAGGTGTAAGTGTGCAATTCCTGTTGCACTTTTGCCATCCTTTGCTCAGCCTGGAGCAGTGGAGCTGCATGGTGTGAAGATTGCTTTGTTGTCCACATCCCAATGGTGTGTAGGTCTGTCAGTTGACTGGCCCATGTCTGGCATGGTGAGTCCCAGTGATTGCAGGAATATTTATTTTTTAAATTTTTTTTTTTAAATTATTTTAAATTAAATTTTTTATTTTTTTTTATCTTTTCTATTTTATTTTTATTTTTATTATATTTATATTTATATTATTTTTATTTTTTTATTTTATTTATATTTTATTTTTCTTTAGCTTTACTTTTATTCTGTTTTTACTTTTTTGTATTTATTTATTTTTGTTTTTTCCCGCATATCTATACTACAAGTGATTACGGTATTAATCCATATATATATACTCTGATATATTCCCTATAGATTTTTTACATATTAATTTCTATGTAAAACCCTGCATACATTTTTTTGTGCCTAGATTGTTTATGTGGTTGTCTTGCGGTATTTACCGATACCCATATGTTGTATAACATTTCTCATTTTAAAATGTAATTAGGAGATTGATATGTGTGTATATATATATATGAGAAATAGAAGTTTGAAGGCACTCACTGTTTTCACGAAAATCTTTAGGTAATATAGCCTCAGTGCTCCACAGAGGTCTTGAGAAAGGACCATGAGTGAGTCCGAAACGTTGATGCTGCAAATTAACCCCTTAAGGATGGTGGGACCTGGCTCTAAACGCAGAGGGGCGGCATAGCAAGTCCCTGCTGTCCTATGTACTTACCCGGTCACCGGCGATTGCAGTGTGGGGACTTACCTGGGAGCCCAGGGAGTCCCCCTCCTTTTTCTTCGGCCCCCCTGGGCTATGTGATCACAAGGTCCATGTCAATGCCAGCAGGGGGAGTACCTGTAATAACAGGTACTCCCCCTGCTGCCTGAAAAAAAATTAAATAAAGAAAAACACTTTAAAACAGTGTAAAATGTAATTATATATATTTAGATCATATATTTATTTATTATATATATGATCTAAGTATATATATACATATATACCCACATACACTGTCTAATTGTATTTTAATATTAATATATATATATTAATATCAAAATACACGTAGAATGATATTGATTAAATATATATAATTATCATTATATATATTTATATATATAATATAAAATAAATAAATATGTCAATACGTAAAAAAATAAAATAAATTAATAAAAAATAAATTAAATATATATGTGTAATTTTGTTCTAACTGTATTTTAAAATTAATATATATATATTGATATCAAAATACATGTAGAACGAAATACTATATATATCTATGTACATAAGTATATACGTATTTATCAATATATATATATATATATATATATATAAATAAAAATTATTTTCAAAAATTATATATATATATATATATATATATATATATAATAATTCTACGTATATATTTATGTAGTAATTTTACATAATTAAGTAATTTAATTAATTACAATTTGCGGGACCTGCCTGACAACCCAGGCTGAAAGTCCAGGGAATTTAATTTGTTAGCACTATATTTAACCCTGTAACTTTCCAAGACACCATAAAACATGTACATGGGGGGTACTGTTTTACTCAGAAGACTTAGTTGAACACAAATATTAGTGTTTCAAAACAGTAAAATGTATTACAACGATGATATCATCAGTGAAAGTGAAGTTTTTTGCATTTTTCACACACAAATGGCACTTACACGGACGATATAATTGTTGTGATACATTTTACTGTTTTGAAACACTAATATATGTGTTCAGCGATGTCTCCTGAGTAGAACCGTACCCTTCATGTACAGGTTTTATGGTGTTTTCAAAAGTTACAGAGTCAAATATAAGGCTTGCGTTTCAGTTTTTTCACATTGAAATTCGCCAGATTGGTTACGTTGCATTTGAGACCGTATGGTAGCCCAGGAATGAGAATTACCCCCATGATGGCATACCATTTGCAAAAGTAGACAACCCAAGGTATTGCAAATGGGGTATGTCCAGTCTTTTTTAGTAGCCCCTTAGTCACAAACACTGTCCAAAATTGTCATTCAAATGAGTTTTTTGCATTTTTCACACAAAAACAAATATGAACACTAACTTTGCAATACCTTGGGTTGTCTACTTTTGTGGTATGCCATCATGGGGGGTAATTCTCAGTCCTGGGCTACCATACGGTCTCAAAAGCAACGTAACCAATCTGGCGAATTTCAATGTGAAAAAAATGAAAAATGTAACATGCTATATTTGACCCTGTAACTTCCCACAACACCATAAAACCTGTACATAGGGGGTACTGTTTTACACGTAAACCATTGCTGAATACAAATATGTGTATTTTATTGCAGTAAAAGCAAACAGTATTATGACATTCACAGTTAGAATGTCACGTAGAACTAAAATTTTATTTTTATATTATTTTCTCCCATTTTTTAATATTTTATTCATGTTAAATTATGTTTCATACTTAAATATTTGATTTTAAATGAAAGCCCTGTTTCCCCTGAATAGAATTATATATAATAGGTGTGGGTGCACATAATATGAAAGATGCAAATTACGCCTGAACAGACATATAGCGTAAATTCAAGTTTTTGTTTACGTTTTGATCACGACATGCACATTTGGCAAAGTCCTTAAGGGGTTAAAAACTTTTTAACTTTTTCATAACAAAGTCCTGCGAGTGCCTACTCCTTTCCAATATTTGAAGACAATATATATATATATATATATATATACACATATATGCAGATATTTATCTAATCTTCTTTTCTACATCTTTTTTTATATTTATCTACTTTTTTACATTTACTATTTCTCCTACATGTTCGATTTATAGTGCTCAGAAAATTGTTGATTTTTATTATAATTTGATTGTTTAATTATCCATTGTTCGATATAAATATGCCTCTTGCAGCTCCATAGGCTCCATAGCCTCTGAAGTGGGGCAGGATCCCCACGAAACACGTAAGGCAGTGGACTTTTGGAATTGGAACATGACAAACTATAGCCCGCTGTTTGCCGATCCAACATACATACCGGAGATGGAATTAGGAAACCTCGAGGGAATACCTCTGAATGAGGCTCAAGGTGGAATGCATGCTGATTCCACCGGTACCTGAGACGTAGGACCACTCGCAACTCCCACATCTCTTCTCTTCTCCAGGATCATCACAGTAAGTTACAGTATAGGCCGATTTTGTCTTTTATCTTACTATTTTTGTGAGTGTTTTTAATCTTTGTCACTACATTTATTGTGATTTTTACAGTGAGCACTATGCAATTTTATTTCTATTTCTAGGAAACCAGTTTTCTCTGTGCTGTTTTTTTTTTTTTTTTTACATATATTGAAGATCTTTCTTAAAGGGACACTATAGTCACCAGAACAACTACAGTTTATTGAATTTGTTCTAATGAGTAGAATCTTTACATTTAGGCTTTTTGCTGTAAACAATGTCTTTTCAGAGAAAATGCAGTGTTTACATTACATTACAGCTTAGTGATAACTTCACTGGCCACTCCTAAGATGTCTGTTAGAGATCCTTCCTGGGTCCTGGCTGCCTAAAATGCACACAAACATTCAGTATCTCCTCCCTCTGCATGCAGACACTGAACTTTCCTCATGGAGATTCATTGATTTAATAAATCTCTATGAGGAGATACTGATTGGCCAGGGATGTGTTTGAATTGTGCTGGCTCTGCCCCTGATCTTGTGGAGTCTGGGGTTCCCTTTAAAGATGAAACCAATGGCCAGGCTGAAAATGCATCCTCACTCTGGAAGAGAACCTTATGAAATTTGTCCATGCAGATAGAATGGTAGAGAATAGTCAGTCACTGAATTTCCAGGTAATGATGATACAAACAAAGTAAATTAAAGTATTTTTTTTTATAAAATGTTAATAAAACTAATATTATATGATACTTAAAGGTGAAATGTACTTTATAGGCAGGGTGACCAGATTTTACAAATAAAAAACAGGGAAACCCTTTAGTTGAGGAAGCGAAGCAGGGCAAGCTGCGGCAAGATTGGTGTGGCGCTGGAAATTAGGTGATTAAAAACACCTTTTTAACGAAGGGCAGGATACCTGGACAGAATGTTTAAAACTATAGTGACATTATAGTGTTCCCTCAAGCAAATTAAAGGAACATTTTGGTCACCATAACAACTTAATCTAAATGAAGATGTCCTGATGCCAGGATGCTGCTGGGTGCTCTCTTTCCCTTAAGGGGTAAAACCACTCTCAAATGGTTTAACACCAAAGGCTGCCTCCAGCACCAGATCTGAGGGGATCCAAAGTTTGCCTGCCAGACCCAAGTACCTAAACCTGTGGAGGCATCACTGGTGAGTCCTGGGCTGTGAAGTCCCCTCCCGGGGTCGATTGGTGGTTGGCTTTCTTCTACCCAGTGCATGGTCTTCGCTTGCGACACCTCCGGTAGTTCTAATCTGTTTAGGAATGTCTCTGGGCCATCAGCAGAGGTAAAGGTGAGTATGTCATCCCCTCTTACAACTATGAGTGAGCCCTCCATTAGCCAATGATACTTGATGAAGTGTTCTCACAATCTTCTGGCTATTGGGGTCAGCTGCCTCTTCTCCAGTAACATCCTGAATTGAAGATTAGCATACAGGGTGACTTTGCAGCCTTCATCACAGTTCACAAGGCTCTAGAGTGGGCCTGACTCTGTTACCAGCAAGGTATCATCTGCCTCTTGAGGCCCATTGAGGCCACCAGTCACTGTGTGAAGGGCAGAAGGTCTTCAACTCTGACTCATTCAGGGATCCCTCTTAGGTGGATATTTTGCTCCTATTTCTTGACTCCAATACAGCAACTGTCTTGTGTAGCATCTGAACCTGGTGGCTAAACTCTTCCACCTGATTCTTGGTTTCTAGTATCTGGCTGTCTCTAATCTTCTCTCTTGTTTCAACAGCCTTGATTTTTGTGTGTACAACTCCCACATCTGTCTGTCTCTTGCAGAACTGCTTTCCAAACCTGCCTCAGCTCTAGCAGCAGCCTCTTAACGTCCCCTTTGGTAGATGAGTAAGTGTCATCATCCGACTCAGACTCCCTGTAAAATCCTCCTAAATCGACCAAGGCCATGAAATCAGCATCCTCCTGGGACTCTTTGGAAGCCTCAGCCTCGTTTTGTGCCTCAGGCGCCATCTTGGGCAGCAGCTGCTCTGCAGGTCTCTCGAAGGAGAGCCAGGTATCCTGGAATGCCGGAATCTTCTGGGCAGCAGCATTTCTTGTGCCTGCATCCCATATCTTGTCTCTAGTGCGTGGTGGGTAAAAGTAGGTATATTAATGCCAACAACCTTAGCAGGTTTCAATTAATAGTGGGGCTGTGTAGGAGCTCCGCTAAAGAACGTCTGGTTCGGCTTGTCGTTGGCCACACCAACTTTCCCTCTCTTTTTATTGTTCTGTTTCCTAGAGGAGGAGGAGTTGTTTTTTTTTTTTTTCTTCCAAGTCACAGAGCCCCTTCTCTGCCTTCTTGAATACAAAGACAAAAATTCAAAGCAGAATATTGACAGTTTTAGAGTATTCAGCATGTTGTTGATTGTGAAGGAGTAGGAGACTGAGGATGTATATTGCTGTAAGTCACAGCTGCATAAGTTGCATATTTGGATGACACTAATGTCTTAGAACAAAACTTTATTTTAAACCACAAAACACATTTGGCATGTAGTGTATGTATATGTGTTTGTGTGCTGTGTGCTGTGTGACTGTGTGACGTGTTCCCAAACTTTTTAGCTATGAACAAAAGACAAAATGTCAAAGTTCAGTTGCATAACTGTGTTCATGGCTCAGAGTACAATGTATTTGCTAGTAACCCATAACAATTACGTTTTTAAATTCTTTAAGATTTACTGGTAGTATAAGAATAAGGACTTTGAGATATTTAACAAATAGTCTGCAGTTTAATATACGAGATATAAAAGAAATTCCATCCAAAAACCTTGGTGTCGCACAGTGAAAAACTAAAGACTGCATCCTGGTAAGTACATTCAAATCAGCACATAACAATATTGTTTTGGAATGTACATTTTTACATGTATCTAGTTTAAATTATTGTAATTAATAGCAACAGACACAAAGCAGTGCTTAATGTAAATTAAGTAATACTATGTAGAAATTACAATTATTTATATATATCTCCAGCGTATTCTGCAGTGCTGTACAATAAATAAACAAAACAAACACTTAATTCTAACAAAACATGATTAACATACTGGAACAGTATTTCAAGAGGGCCCAGCCAAAACCAGCATAGGATCTAAAAGGATGAGGGTGAAATACATAAAGGGAACTAAGTGATCTGTATGTACCTGAGAGATGGAAGGGTGTTTTGGAGGTGATAGCACAGCAGATGGGAGATGGCAGAGGAAGGTTATAAGGTATGAGGAGTTAAGAGGAGAGATGGTAAGTTGTGCTGTGTTTTTAGAGCTGTTTTGAACGACTGCAGAGACTGGTAGAGACGAATGTACTGCGGAAGGGCATTCTATAAAGAAGGGGCAATCCTGGAAAATTCCTGAGGGAGATTATAAAAGCCTCAGTATAATAACAGTACACAAATTAATAAACCAAATCCAGTTTCATTTATAAGTTTGAATTCTGCATTTGCCCGTTCATTAACTGTAACAAATGTTACCGCTAACGCTATATATAGCGTCAATTAATAGTTTATTGTAGTTTAATGTTGCAATTACAACTGTTAATATATTCATTTTATTTATGATTTTGTCCTACAAATAAGTATGTCAGAAAAAAAACCTACCAGATGTTTAACCCCTTAAGGACACAACTTCTGGAATAAAAGGGAATCATAACGGAATATTCCCGTCATGTGTCCTTAAGGGGTTAAAGTTGTACAAATGTTATGCAAATTACGTTTAATACTTCAATGGATTGCTTATGATAATATTTAGATCACATTGTTGAGGAATGTGGTAATTCCTAGTGGTTGAACCTCCTTATTTGACAAGAAATTCTCTGTGTTTTCATGGCTGGGTTATTTTGATTGGTTGAGCTGTACCAGCACATTGCATGACTTTTGTTTGTGAGGCCTTTTGATACTACACAATAGGGAAGTTCCAAACATATGGGTGGCCTCTCACATAGCTTGACCTACATCTCTAAACCTGTTTGCCTTTATTTATTTATAAAATATTTTACCAGGATGGATACATTGAGATTGCTCTTGTTTTCAAGTATGTCCTGGGTCTTTTTACACAAAACATTGCATTGTTACAATAGGATACAATATTACAAAAATACAATATACAAACTATATATATATGAATATATATATATATACACACACACACACACATAAATTTAATACATAACAGGTAATAAATATATTCAACTATGACAGGTGCATTCTGTGCTGAGGTATTTGCCATAGATCTCTTAAACTATATTAGATTGAATGAAGATTTGACTGTGTCCCTGAGGTTATTCCATAATTGTAGGAAAAGGAGGATCGAACCACTTTATTTTTGTATTGTGGTATGCTAAATATCGTGCTAGTACTGGATCGGAGGTTATAGGAGATGGGAACAGCCAGGGAGAGCATTCTACTCAGGTAGGGTGGGAGCTTTCCAGAAATATTCTACCTCTGTGAATTGGTTTTGGAGCACAGCCTCAAGCTGCGGTAGATTGGGTTTACTAACGTAGATTACAGTGTCGTCTGCATACATGTGTACATGTTGAGGATTTGCAGGCGTTATGCAGACCATTTATAAAAAATGTGAATTGCAGGGGGCAGTGTATGGAGCCTTGGGGAACACCACACGTGACTGGAAGAGACAAGAGTCAGAAATGGCCACATATTGCAATTGGTCTGAAACATACGATCAAAACCAGGTTAGCAGGCGAGTTTTTACGTATTTGCAAAAGAATGCCATGCTACTGTGTCAAAGGCCTTGGCAAAAATCAAGGAAAATAGCTCCAGTTACATCTCCTTGTTCCATGCCAATTTGGGTGTCATTGCAAACTTTTAATAGGGCAGTCGAAGTTAAGTGATTTGGACAAAAGCCTGATTGATCAGGGGTCAGATAATTTGATCTTTGAGAATATTCACATAGATGCATGTGGACGCATTTTTCCAAGATTTTTGACAGTACAGGGAGCAATGATATTGGGCAATAGTTAGATACCAAAGTATTGTCATCACTTTTATAGATAGGTACAACTTTTGCAGTCTTCCAAAGTTTGGGTATGTATCCTGACACCAGGGACTCATTGATAACGGTAGTGACCAGTTTAGCAATTGCTGGCACACTGAGCTCCAGCAACATTGCTGGGATTTGATCTGGTCCACACTGGTTTTTCATTTTTAAATTAAGATGTTTATTAACGACACTAACAGGCACAGGTCTAAAACTGAATTTCTCTAAATGAGGGTTTTGAATATTTGGCAGGGTTTGATCTTTATTTGCGGTCTGACAATGAGTGTCCTTTGTTATCTTAGCAACCAGGGTGGTACCACATCCAACAAAATTATTATTAAAGGCATTTGCTACATCTAGGGGGTGTTGCAGTGTTTGGTTGTCCATTTTGACAGTGGAGAGTTGGGAGTGGATTGTGGGTGTTTGTATGCTATTTATGATTTTTCTGAAGTTTCTTGGGTTTGATAGGTTGTTGTTCAAATTGTCACTGAAATATTAGGTCTTTGCCATTTTTGTTTGTTTTGTGCATGCATTTCGCCAATCTCTGTAAGTAAAGTGATCGTTCAATGGAGCCATTACACTTGAACTTTGACCACAGTGAATCTGTAAACTGGTTCAGTTGAATGCGGTCAGTTATAACACAGGGCAGGTGTGTCCCTTCCAGTCACACTTTACGCAGAGGGGCATACAAATTCCAAACAAGCAAGAGCTTGGACTGAAAAAATGCAATTGCAGAGTCTAGACCTGTTATTAGACCTAATCTGTATCATGGTATGTTCTTGAGATCATTTAAAAAGGATTCAAGATTACATTTTTTGAAAAACCTGGTGATTATAATCTTGGGAGGGGATTTAGTGGCCTTTATTTTGCGTATGCAGTACACTAGACAGTGGTCACTGAAACTGTTAGGGAGAATGCCCGCTTCCTTGATTCTGTCAGGACAACTGGAGACAACTTTTTTCTCTCTTATTTATTTATTGTGATTTGGTTGGAATCACACTGGAATGGTAGCAGGGTGAGTGTGCCCATGATACTTTATTCCTTCGATTATCTGAATGGCCTCCTGAAGACACACTAGTGTAGAGAAATTCCAATATTGTTGAATTAAGGGAGCATGCTGCTATCAATTTGTGATTTATTTATTATTGGCATTTATATAGCGCCAACAAATTCCATAGCGCTTTACAATATTATAAGATTACATTACATTAAATGCAATTCTCTTTTTTTGTAGAATTGCATATGGCTCCAATGTGAAATAAACAACACCTTAGAGCATTTTTACTGTAGATCAATATTGTTTTCAATGCAACATTTTTTGCATTAGTTATGACATCTGTACAAATCGTTCCCTTGTTTCTTAACAGGATATACTATACACTTATCTTATTGTTTCCTCCACCCACCCAACACCACACCTCCCCACAACTCAGTAGGTGTGCTTTAAAACCTGTTGGGAGGTTTGAGGCTTCACTGTAAGAAACACTTTGACCTATCAAGCTTACGTATCAAGTGTACCTCATGCTTATATACATTTTTCCTTATCCAATATTTTGACTATTTTAGCTGTAATCATAACAGTTCCACCCTCCCTTCTTCCATTCCCCTTCATACAATTCTATAGCTTAGCCACCACCTTCCTTCAGTATGGCTTTTCACAATAATACTATACTTATTATTACCCTAATGACAGGTTTGAATACCTTACAAAAGACAATTCACATACTATATCATTTGATTACCCTATGTATTAGTGCATTTTTTAGACTCAGGATCAATCATTATCAAAGTAATAGACAATTCCAAATGCCATATTGTTTTAGCAACAATGTCATCTCAAGACTAAGGGTGTAACCACTTCAATTTCCCACTCTTTCCCCCAACATGTTATTATAAGAATTCTGTGGGTAGAGTTCCACAGCTAAATGGGAGGATATGGAATGAAGTTAACTTGTGCAAATGTTTATATGGCCCTAACTCATTCCTTTTTCCTTCAACTCTAGAGAAAGTGCAAGACTTTGCTGCATGCATGCTGATGTTTTGGTGGTGATTTCTACGTTGCGCAAGATTCTTCCATTGATTCCACTACAGGTATCTGAAACATTCTATTCTTGATGCTTAGGAAATGGCAAGCAGCATTTTGTGATGTTCACTTGTATGATTCCTGGTGCTTTCACCTTCCCTCAGCCAAACATTGTATCTTTTATACAAATGCCCATAGGAGGTATTCGCAAATTCAATAACTTTTTCTCTGACATAAGTTCCTGCATTTTGCTGGTTTGTTCATGCCTGGACCTTCAGTGTAAGTCATGCCAAGGCCGAACTGACTCTAATCCTCCAACATTCTAGCCCCAGACTCTCTTCTGGGTTAAAGCAAATCCCTTGATAATGAGTCTGGTTTAGTAGCCAAAACTTAAGAAGCCTTAGAACAGTATTTTAGGGAGAATATATACTTCTTCAGTGGTTCTGTGGGTGTCTCATTAGTGCCTTATTAGGGAGTTCTTCATTAGTTAAGGCTCCTGTAACGGACCGCCCGGCACCCCGACTGGGTACCTCTGTTACTGGATGCTCCTAGCGCTTCCAGAGGGCTCCAAGCGCTCCGCCAGACACCTCAACCACCGCAGACCCCATGAACCGTCGTAGCTTGGTTGGGGTCTCGCCGTCTCCTACACACCCTGGAGCTACGACAAGACTCCAGGCTCCAGTGGGGGAACCTCTCCTCCAAGAGAGTGAAGCAGGAACAAGCTCTTAAAAGAGCTTAGAAGTGATAATTCAAGGGAGCATGCAGAGCATAGCAATCCCTTGTAGTGATATAGCCGGTTACCCCCAACAAGAGACAAGACTTTAGATTGAAGGTTAAGAAGAACTGACTCCAATGAGCGTTTATTGCTGCTTATATACAACTTTCCCAGCAAGGTTACCACCCACGTGGACCTTGTGGGGCACTGGAACTGTAAATTTAACAACCAATAAAATAAAAGCACATGTATAACCACACCCACTTTTTACAACAAGAATCCTCCCCTCTTCTTGGGAGATAATTGAGTTAATTACTGTATCAACTCAATTATCTCCAAGCTAAAAAAAAAACCCATACTTTTATGCCATTTTTCTAACTTTGTGAGTTTGCATGCAATATTAATAAATATATACTTATATTTTTATAACCAGCATAATTTGGGGACAAACATATTCAAAATTCACTTGAATCGGTTAAGTGGTTCAGGAGTTAGGTGGAAGTCATATTTTGACAGAGGAGGGACAAAATAGCCAGTTCCAACTGGTTTGGTAGTATCCGTGGGACAACGCCCTGCTGGAGAACAATGGGACAGGGGGGAGAGGAAGAGGCACACCTTCCCATGGATTCAAAGGGGCAGAAAAAGTGTCCCAAAAGATTCAGTTTATAAAGGGCCAGCACTAGTCTAAATAAAAGTCTATGAGACCAAGTAATGGTTTTAAAGGGCCATACATGCCAGGGCCATAGTCATGTGGCAAGAGGCTGGCAAGCAGGCTTCTCCATAAGCCAGGGGAGCAGTGTTTGGCACATAGAAAGCCAGTGGCAAATGGCAGTTTGTCAAAGCTCCTTTTTCAAAATACAAAGGTCATTGAGGTGACCCTGGTCATTGAGAAATATTTCCAAGTTAAAATGTTGCACAAACACATCACCACAGAGGAGATTGAGAAGATGCTGATCACCATATGATTCAAATGTAATAAACCCCTGAATGCTAATTCTGAATGCTGTATCTGCCTCTGTAAGCAAAAAAATTAAAGCAATATCATACTCAATTATGTGCAAAAGAATTTAAGAAAAAAAATTATTTGATCAGAAGAAAATTAATTTATAATTACATGGAAGGGGACAGAGACAGGTTTTTATGCAATTTTGTATAGAGAAAATAGCTCAGGTTATGAATTAAAATAAATCTATATCCTTAGGGTACAATACAAAGTATATACAAGGTCAGACATAAATTGATCAAACAAGGTACCAATTAATCAGTTATATATATATATACACAGTAATCATCTGCAAGCTTTTATTCCAAACCCTCATCGCCGCAAATATTGTAAAAGCCAGAGGATGGAAATCCATAGTGTTACCTACTCACTATTAAGCCAAATCACAGTAAATTGGGACTATTTTAAATTGGGACAAGCAAGGGAAATCTGGAGATGCTGCTGGGTGGACAAGGACACCTGAGGAATATAGGGAAAGAAAAAAAAAGAGAGGGAAACACACAACACATTCATTTTTAAGTTTTGATTTTTTTTTTTCCAATTTGTATTTTATTAGCGAGTTTCATACAAAATTAAATCTGCTTCGTAGTATAACAAAAGAATGACAAGTTATTAGTTGCATCAACTGTTATGGGTCATAAATGTGCCTACAGTCACGGGCCTGTTGGTATAGGTTACAGCTGGTGGTCTGGTCTATTATACAATTCTAAATCATCTATACTTCTTCTGCATTATGTACTTGTTGGTGTTGTCTCTGTGGTATCAGTAGCAAAGTGGTAGCATTGCCTTACTGTCCGGTAAGTATGAGTAGGATTAACAAATATGTCAGCGAATGCTGTCAAAGGAAAGCTAAATTAATCAAACTGGTTAATCAAAGTAATATAAAATAAACCAAGATAAGTGAACAGGCTTATGTAGTCAGGTCATATATGAATAGAGGTTATCTCGCAATCTTCTCAGTGCTGTCAAGTCCCTTCGTCCCTCTGCACTTTCCGCCAGTAGATTCAGTCTTTGTAAGAAGGATTGCACAATATCGACACTACTATGGTTAATAACCGTAGTGTAACATATACAAATACTTAACTTCAAAAATTATAAAACCGCCTCCCAAGATCGTTACCCAAGGAAGGCGACCTTTTCATATATAGATAACCAAAAACACACAAAACTTCGGGATACGGCTGGAAATGAATCTAAAAGGAACACAAAAATATACAAATAGTGAAGTACAGTTAATACATTCAAACATCTATGTACAGCGCATGTTTGAATGTATTAACTGTACTTCACTATTTGTATATTTTTGTGTTCCTTTTAGATTCATTTCCAGCCGTATCCCGAAGTTTTGTGTGTTTTTGGTTATTTGTAAGAAGGATGTCGGGTCATCTGATGAGATCTTTTCCCCAGCGGTAACGGAATCGCTGCATCTCTGAGTTTTTTGACAGTAGGAGCTAGCTGTCTCTTCGTTGCCAGCACTGTAAACGGTAAGTCTCTGTAGATTGACACAGAGAAGCCTTCAAATCTAATAGTGCCCATTTCTCTGGACTTGGACATGATGGCAGATCGAACCGTAATGTCTCTGGTAGCTGCAATTATATCTCTCGATGCACCATGTGGGGTGGTCGCTGTTTTTCAAACTCGGAATGCTGTTCGTATCATTCCTTTAGTGTCCTTTCCCAGTGAGGACACCAATCATTGGATATAGGGCAACAGCTCTTCCCTCCCGATGGTTTCCACCGCTATGATTTTCTAGTGGAGCTCCACTATCGCTGATTGTGCCTCTTTGAGGTCCGATTTCCAGATCTTGCGGATGTCTTGTAGGAGGTGTTTCATGTCTCCTTTGGTGACTGATGAGGAGTCCTCATCGGAGTCTATGGACGAGTCTATCTCGCCCGATCCTGGAGAGGTGAGCATGTCTCCTTCCTCTTGGGATGCCTTTGAGGCCTCCTGCTCGCTGGGAGCTGCGGGCACCATTTTAGATGACGCTGCAGCCGCAGGCCTCTCAAAAGATAGCCTGATGTCTGGCAATTTCGGGGTCTCTGGAGGGCAAAAAAGAGACTACACTTGTATCTGAAAGAGCACTGGTCTTGATACCAGAGGGAACCTGGACCATGTAAGGACAAAGTATAGGAGTGACTTTAATATATTTCTTATAAAACTGATGCAATGTGGAGTGCATGTGTGGCGTGTACTACTGTTGTGTGTTTTCTAGATCCAGATAAAATGCCTTTTAAATGGATTGAACATTGAGCTTTGTTATTTGATTTGCCATCCTGTACCTGAAAACTGATTATATGTCCTGTTTTATTTGTTTTGCTTTCTTTTTTTGTTCTATCTATTTATTTTGTTCTTTTGCTGTGGAATCTAGATTCCTACGAAAACCACGGGGACTTAATATACTCTGTTGCAAGAGGCCATAATGCTAATATAATTCCTGATGCAAGTTTTTAGATTGTGTTTAAGAATAAGGTATATGTTTTTTTAAAAGAGCTTTTGTTTGCCTTCTCTGATGTTTATTAATTGGTGAGGAAGACAGATTAGCATCACAATCTACTTGAAATATGTTTGAGATGTCTAGTCTTTTTTTGGTATTATTATTGTCAAAAAATTACAATTTCCCTATTTTGTGCCAGACAATATGAAGCACCATCATTTGCTTGTTTTGTGTTAGTTTTAATACCAAACATACTTTTAAAAAAAAAAAAACTATTTGTTTCTTTCAACATTACCCCGAGGAGGAGTGCTGTAAAACAAAACATAGGTTACATCCTAATTCATTTTGGTATTTTGGCTGTAAATGTTCAAGTGACTCTGTCATGACTTAGACCAACTATGGATGTCCACTACTCATACAGCAATTCACAATTTCCCCACCATATATGACATATATATTTATATATATTTGGATATATATGCTTTTTGAGCAATCAGGTGGCACCATAGAGATTGCAGAATAGAAGGAATTTTTCAATAATGATGTGGCAACCATTATGAGCTAAGTTTTTTTGGGGGGGATTTTACATGCTTGGTGCTGTAAGCTTGTCTTTTTATCTGTTCTTTCAGCATTTGCAAATATTTGTAATTCTATTAGGACACCTGAATCATTGTAAACACTGCACGTATGAGTTAATGTTCAAACTATTTCTTGTGGAATATAGTCAAGCATTTATCGTAATAATAAAAAAAAAATATTGTCTAGGATATAATAACTAAATATCATAAGTGAATTTTCCAAATTATTTGATTTCGGTTCCAAATATCAAGTATTTAAATACAATTGTGCAATAAATTAGAATTTTGTTACAAAGTAAATATTTTATAGCAATGCCATTATCTGCATGGAACTTCTATTTCAAAAGATTTTCGGCAAATAAAAGCAGAGCTCTGTAATGAAATTAAAGAAAGGCGTGCTGACCACATGGAGGCAAGAACGGAAGAGCTGTGTGCAGCCCATAACAAAATGGTTGACAAAGTACAAAGAGAACAGACAAGGCAGAATAATTTATGGATATGGGGGGGTCTTTGAATATGTCTCTATTGGAGATTTAACTGCGTTTGCCACTTCTGACATCTGAGACAAACAATGGATATTGGATCTAGCTCATAGGCTGCAAAAGCCCAGAAGAGTACCATCTAATCTGCCCAGGATTGTATAGTCAGAATTTATTTTTGTCACCTCAAAGAGGTTTTAATGAGGGCAGCAAGACATTAGGACACCCTTCCGAACCCCTTCAAAGAAGTGTCACTAAACCGGACTTATCTGCGGCAACCATGGTACATAGGCATGAATTCCAAGAGATAATCCACCACTCTAAGGTCTCATGGCATGCCTTATAGATGGGGATACTCTACACAGCTTCTCATCTGGAAAAATGCCACAATTGACTTTTCACATCACTGGGAGAAGGCATGACCATGCTCTGTTAATGGAACCTCCTCAGCTGTTCACCAGGAAAATTCTCAGCAGCTGCCACTGGGGCCAAGGTCGCTAGAGAGTTGTACAAAACTAGCACCCTGCACTGACATGGCAGCAGATGATTTCCTTGAATTCAACATCAATCGTTTATCTGTTTCTGGCACCTGAATGGCAATGGAGTATGCTCTCTTCAACGCAATAGCAAAGGAGCTGTTCCAGCCAGCATTGCTGCGACCAAGTTGACTAGCTTTATATGTTCAAGTTTAGGAAGGGTATGTGTACTTTAAGTTCCACTTTGCTACTTATGCATCTGTGTATTGTCTCCCTACCACCAAAGAGCACCCTTTTACGGTAATATGAGGGCTATATCCTCTCCCTAACTCTCACCTCACTTTTAACTGATATAGACAAGTACTGGTGGGGATGGTTTAATGAAGGGGAATGGTGATATGCCATACCTTAGCCACTATGTTAGCATTATAAGGTTACGCCACATATGAGATACAAGATCAACTATGCCCATAATGGCATTCATAGATGTGGTCATACAAGCATATTTGTGAGTTATAGAGAGCCAAGGGGAACTAGTGCCATAAAGATTGGCCACTTAGCTAGAAGCTATATCCTCCCCTACAGGTGGTGTATTAATATTTAAGATGATCAAGACACTTTAACAGCTGTTTTGACACTAGCAGGTCACGATGTATATACTTTTGTTTTTACTTTTATTTTTATTTTTTTATTCTTGTTTATTTTCATATTTTTTGTTTCTATTTCTTTACCCACTATGGAAATGTGAGCAATAAAGAGCAGTGTATAATCATTCTTGCTGGACTTATTGAACCGTTATGTTTTAGTGAGTTTGGCCCACAATTCACAGGCAGAGCGAGTACAGGTCATCTGGGGAGTTGGAGGTCTTCTTTTTGGCCTCAAAGACTCACAGACATAGGTAGAGACACCCTTAATCAATGGGCCAAGGGGGACCTTGCATGCCATACTACAAAACAAAATGGCAAAATTTAAAATAAATATAGAATTGCTTTTCGGGAGATGAACAGAGCACATTTTTACTTATATCCAAGTAAGGCATATCCTCTCCCAACCGAGTGCAATTTCAGACGATCCTAGCTAACTCTCCCAAAGGGGCAGGATATGTTCATCAGGTAAAGTAAAGGGCAAGACACTCTCCATATACTATAACTTTCTTAAAACACCAACCAACCATACCAAACTTACTTATATGATCAAATGGGAGGAAGAACTGTATAACTGCTTCACCCTAGCAGACTGGTTAAAGTCAGCAACACAAATTAAAAGTGCCTCTAGGTGCCTACCTCATTGGGAGGTGCACTGTAAACTTGCCATGAGATGGTGTCTGTCCTCTCATGGATTGGCATGGGCATTTAAAAGCACATCTCCAACATGCTGGAGATGCACACAGGACAAAGGCACCTTACTTCATTGCTTCTGGTCTTTCCTATATTTACACTCCTGGACAGACATATAAGATGTGTATTTCATAATTAGAGATTATATAACACTATTCACATCTGAGGCATTTCTCCTTCACATGCTGCCGGATGGAATACTAACAACACATACAACATTGATATTGTATATTTTAACAGCAGTTATATCATGTGTAGCACAGTAGTAGAATTAACGGATGCCCCCTTTACACAACAGGAACTTGCTAAATTAAATCAAACATACCAGTATGAAGAGATGTCTCATAGATTGATGGGTAAACTAGATACAATTTATGGGATATGAGAGGGATAGTAACACCAATGCTCAACCCCAGCAACTTAAAACAGGAAGATGTACCAGCCCAGTTAGAATATAACCAAACCATAGATGTTAGACAGGTTTATCAAATGGCCTGGATACCCTTCCTAACATTAGATAAGGTTGATAAAGTCGAATTGAACATATCTTGGGGCTGCCGACGTGTGGGTAAGGACAAGAATACAGAGACAAACCCAAAATACAGGACCATATCTTAAGCAATGTAATATACTTAGCTCCCTTCATTTTGATTATCCCTTTCAAGAACTCCCCTACCCTACATGTAAGTCCCTGTATAAGTGTAAGCCATAAACATGGAAAAACAAAACCAAGTGGCAGCTGCAAAAATTTAATTTCTTAAACCAGGTTAAGGAACATTGATGATATTAGAATAAATTCTATTATATTACAATCAAATTCTAGGTTTGTGTTTTTTGGGCCTATATATCTTGGTTTTTAAGGTGAACTGGTAACTGTATACTTCCTTCCCCCATAGTTAAGGAACGTATCAGTTATAATACAGATACAAGATATTAGTGATATTGCAGAAGGTCTTGCTGGTAAGGTATGTCTTTTTGCTGATGATACTAAGATATGTGACAGGGTTGATGTTCCAGGAGGGATAAGCCAAATGGCAAATGATTTAGGTAAACTAGAAAAATGGTCAGAGTTGTGGCAACTGACATTTAATGTGGATAAGTGCAAGATAATGCATCTTGGACGTAAAAACCCAAGGGCAGAGTACAGAATATTTGATAGAGTCCTAACCTCAACATCTGAGGAAAGGGATTTAGGGTTGATTATTTCTGATGACTTAAAGGTAGGCAGACAATGTAATAGAGCAGCAGGAAATGCTAGCAGATTGCTTGGTTGTATAGGGAGAGGTATTAGCAGTAGAAAGAGGGAATTGCTCATGCCATTGTACAGAACAATGGTGAGACCTCACTTGGAGTATTGTACGAAGTACAGGAGACCGTGTCTTCAGAAGGATATTGATACTTTAGAGAGATTTCATAGAAGGACTACTAAATTGGTTCATGGATTGCGGGATAAAACTTACCAGGAAAGGTTAAAGGATCTTAACATGTATAGTTTGGAGGAAAGACGAGATGGGGGGATATGATAGAAACATTTAAATACATAAATGGAATCAACACAGTAACGGAGGAGACCATATTTAAAAGAAGAAAAACTACCACAACAAGAGGACATAGTCTTAAATTAGAGGGACAAAGGTTTAAAAATAATATCAGGAAGTATTACTTTACTGAGAGGGTAGTGGATGCATGGAATAGCCTTCCAGATGAAGTGGTAGAGGTTAACACAGTAAAGGAGTTAAATCTTGCATGGGATAGGCATAAGGCTATCCTAACTATAAGATAAGGGACTAATGAAAGTATTTTAAAAAAATTGGGCAGACTAGATGGGCCGAATGGTTCTTATCTGCCATCACATTCTATGTTTCTATGTTTCTATATAATCAGTTAAAATGTTGAAATACAAACCCACCTCCCCTCTGTTCCAGCGATTCCATGTCCTCAATTTTGTGTGAGGTACACTGCTGTAGCACCCTCCTCTAGCTCTCTTCTGGTCCCATCCACCTTGTGATTTGATTTGCCCTGTTTGGGAATGCTTCTTCAAGCAGGGCCGTCCTCCTCAATCATGCAGACATTCTGGCTTCATTGCCACTCAGTTCCTATACTCCCTATCCAGCGCTAGCATAGTAAGCTATAGAGCATGCATTGTGGTTGTTATGCTTTGAGACCAGAAAGAGCGCCTGTCGGTGGGTTCTCCTGCCCTCTCTGTCTGTCAGTTCTTTGACACGTAAGTCTATGTAAAAGAATCCATTGATGTGTTAGGGAAAGACATATTTTAATGGGATTTTTTTCCCATCTATACATAATAATTCATTATAATGGTACTTTGAATTCTGTGAATACAAATTAACATTTGCTTAATTTAATCATGTAGTATTTTTAGAAAAAAAAAGTAATTTTAAAGATTATGCTATTTTTCAGGAACAACTTTTGAACAATGAATGTTTTAACACTTCTGAGTTTGTTGCTATTTGGAGTGTCCTGGAGTCACAATGCAGATTCAGGTAGATGTGATGAAATTACCAATACCTGTGCAGTTATTTCATGCGGATCGCATAGTTCAAGTGGAACACCAGGAAGAGATGGAAGAGATGGCAAAGAAGGACCCAAAGGGGAAAAAGGAGAAAGAGGTAATATATATATTAGAACTGCTATTATTATTATGTTATTATTTATATAGCGCCAACAAATTCCGTAGCGCTTTACAGTGGGTGGACGAACAGACATGTAGTTGTAACCAGACAAGTTGGACGCACAGGAACAGAGGGGTTGAGGGCCCTGCTCAATGAGCTTACATGCTAGAGGGAGTGGGTTAAAATGACACCTTTTGTGTCACCTTTTGTGTCATTTTACCCCACTCCCTCTAGCATGCAAGCTCATTGAGCAGGGCCCTCAACCCCTCTGTTCATGTGCTTCCAACATGTCTGGTTACAACTACATGTCTGTTCGTCCACCCACTGTAAAGCACTACGGAATTTGTTGGCGCTATATAAATAATAACATAATAATAATTATGCTCAATAGTATTAGACTAGTGACAGTTGCAAGAGAGGAATCAGTCGGGAGCTATTAACAGTTTAATTGATACACTTTTATGAATTTATTAAACATTTAATTTATTAAATGTTGGGTTTTAAAAACTTGTGGAATAGAGTAAGGAAAAACAAAAGTCTTTTGCTATTTTATTTTCACTGATTTATAGTATTTTATCAATTAAAATATTTTTTAAAAATGATGATAAAAGCATCAATTATTTAGTGGTATTACTGTCATAATTATTACTAATAGTGTCTGTGCAAACCTTCAAGTGGTGCAGTAGGACTAGTGCAAATAAACTGCAACACATTTATGAATCATCAACAATTCTCATTCCACCCTCCAAATGGTGCACAAAACCTCTTGTGTATTCTTATACAACTCTTGAGTTACTTCTTAATACAACCTAGAATTCTAAAAAACACTCAACAAAATGCAAATAATATACAGGGAGTGCAGAATTATTAGGCAAGTTGTATTTTTGAGGATTAATTTTATTATTGAACAACAACCATGTTCTCAATGAACCCAAAAACTCATTAATATCAAAGCTGAATATTTTTGGAAGTAGTTTTTAGTTTGTTTTTAGTTTTAGCTATGTTAGGGGGATATCTGTGTGTGCAGGTGTCTATTACTGTGCATAATTATTAGGCAACTTAACAAAAAACAAATATATACCCATTTCAATTATTTATTATTACCAGTGAAACCAATATAACATCTCAACATTCACAAATATACATTTCTGACATTCAAAAACAAAACAAAAACAAATCAGTGACCAATATAGCCACCTTTCTTTGCAAGGACACTCAAAAGCCTGCCATCCATGGATTCTGTCAGTGTTTTGATCTGTTCACCATCAACATTGCGTGCAGCAGCAACCACAGCCTCCCAGACACTGTTCAGAGAGGTGTACTGTTTTCCCTCCTTGTAAATCTCACATTTGATGATGGACCACAGGTTCTCAATGGGGTTCAGATCAGGTGAACAAGGAGGCCATGTCATTAGATTTTCTTCTTTTATACCCTTTCTTGCCAGCCACGCTGTGGAGTACTTGGACGCGTGTGATGGAGCATTGTCCTGCATGAAAATCATGTTTTCTTGAAGGATGCAGACTTCTTCCTGTACCACTGCTTGAAGAAGGTGTCTTCCAGGAACTGGCAGTAGGACTGGGAGTTGAGCTTGACTCCATCCTCAACCCGAAAAGGCCCCACAAGCTCATCTTTGATGATACCAGCCCAAACCAGTACTCCACCTCCACCTTGCTGGCGTCTGAGTCGGACTGGAGCTCTCTGCCCTTTACCAATCCAGCCACGGGCCCATCCATCTGGCCCATCAAGACTCACTCTCATTTCATCAGTCCATAAAACCTTAGAAAAATCAGTCTTGAGATATTTCTTGGCCCAGTCTTGACGTTTCAGCTTGTGTGTCTTGTTCAGTGGTGGTCGTCTTTCAGCCTTTCTTACCTTGGCCATGTCTCTGAGTATTGCACACCTTGTGCTTTTGGGCACTCCAGTGATGTTGCAGCTCTGAAATATGGAAAAACTGGTGGCAAGTGGCATCGTGGCAGCTGCACGCTTGACTTTTCTCAGTTCATGGGCAGTTATTTTGCGCCTTGGTTTTTCCACACGCTTCTTGCGACCCTGTTGACTATTTTGAATGAAACGCTTGATTGTTCGATGATCACGCTTCAGAAGCTTTGCAATTTTAAGAGTGCTGCATCCCTCTGCAAGATATCTCACTATTTTTGACTTTTCTGAGCCTGTCAAGTCCTTCTTTTGACCCATTTTGCCAAAGGAAAGGAAGTTGCCTAATAATTATGCACACCTGATATAGGGTGTTGATGTCATTAGACCACACCCCTTCTCATTACAGAGATGCACATCACCTAATATGCTTAATTGGTAGTAGGCTTTCGAGCCTATACAGCTTGGAGTAAGACAACATGCATAAAGAGGATGATGTGGTCAAAATACTCATTTGCCTAATAATTCTGCACTCCCTGTATAAAGAAATTTCCCCTATTGAAAATATTTCACAAGATCCAAGTGACTGAATCGACACTCAAACTGTAGTGCTGTGGAAGGATCAGATCATTGGTAACAATGTATCCAGACTCACATCAACCATGTTCTTGCGCATGAACAGATGTCACCAGACACCACATAGCTTTATTTGCATCTTTCTATTGTTTTTGTATGTTTAATTACCGTACTTATTTTTATATTTTCTAAAAAAAAAAAAAATCTGCAAAGAATATATATATTTTATATATAAACTCAAAGCCCTTCAAAAATATTAACAATTAACAGCGCACCAAAGCATTGGCGACACATCCATTTATATGTCATAGGAGCGCCATCAGGGCCTCAAATAAAGGTACAGTATCACTCTATGAAGATACATCACACTTTGTTTGAGGTATATACAGAGCATATAATCAAATCAGAACACCAACGCCATGGTGAAGTCAACAGAATCCCTCATACAGGTATCAGTCAATTCTCAGCATCTCTATTCTCACTCATCACACGTCATGTTTCGCCCTGCCTCTTGAGGATTTCTCAAGTCTATCTGCCAGTCTCTTTTGTGCTATTAAATTATAAAAATAAACTATATTGTGCTTATGATGTGCTGCCATTTATTTATTGACCGTAGAAATCTTGCAGGACAAAACATATTGCTAAAGAGAACAAGCAAGGAGCAGTGTATAAGACACCTAGAACAAATGGACTGATAACTGCATAGCAGTAATGGATTCTATTGACTGTACAATGAAATTCTGATTTGAATTTATGCTATATATGATTTTAAAGCAATATGTAAATAAAGCTTTGAGACTTGTAGCTTGTGGCTGGCAGTCTGTTCCTGTGCAAGAACAAGGTTGATGTGATTAATGATCCACCTTTACCAAGGGTCTGATCCTCCTTGTATACTACAGTCTGAGTGTCAATTCAGCCAATCAGATTTAAAAAAATATATATTTTTAGGTTGTTTTGTGAACTCAAGAGTTTGTATAAGTATGCACAAAAGTTTTTGGTCACCAGATTACATTATTACATTGGAGGTTGCAAAGTATTTTATCAGCTAATACAAAAAGCAAAAAATATCCCAGTACATTCCACCAAAGGGGATCGCAATGGGAGAGAGCACAGTAAAGTAAAGGTTAGAAACAAAATGAGAACCCTAACTTTAATGAATCTAATGTTTAATAATTAAACTGGGGATAGCCCAGTATAAATGTGGTGATAGTTAAAAAAAAAAAGGGTGTCTAGGGAAGAAAGAAGGACAGTGGAAAAGATAAATAGAATTATCTGGTATATAAAATAACCGTCCACTTGTCTCTACTCCTGGGCAGAGAGAGGTCCAGGTCGGGAGATGTCAGACAGCCCACTGTGTGCACGCCGATCTAATGGAAAAGAAACATAATAGGAAGAATCCATTAGCGAGCCTAGGGAGTCCCAAAGCAGTTTGTCAGTCTGTTTCCTTGTGCTATCCCTTATTGCCTCAGCCCTGCACAAAGCAAGTGCCTACCTGAGCCAGCAAACCCTAGAACAACCAAAGAAGATGTAACTATAACGTGCACATAATGCTATCGAAGTGTGAATAAAAATAAAAGTGAAAAAAATAGCAACATTTTCACTTTTATTTTTATTGACACTTGGGTAGCACTATGTGTTCCAACACATCCCACAGATGTTCAATCGGATTTAGATCTGGGGAATATGGAGGTCAAGGCAACACCTTGAACTCTTTGTCATGTTCCTCAAATTATTCCTGAACAAGTTTTGCAGTGTAAAATAATGCATTATCCAGCTGAGAGAGGCCACTGCCTCTTTCAATGAACACTATTACCATGAAGAGGTGTAAGTGGAAGAAATACAAAAGATAACTAGAGAGTTGTAGCTACTCTAGTCGTGTTTTAAACTGCGCATACAAATATACTCCCAATACTGGGATGTGATGTTAATAGTAAGATATTATTAGTGAAATGTTGCAGGAAAAGTACCACTTAATCCAGGGTGTAACCAGTTAAAACTGAAAAGGTATGTTAGGGGATGCAGCTTCTTATATAGAAAGTATCCCTACACTTTCTTATACAATAAAGACCACGAGAAATGTGAAAAGAAGCGCAAAATACATACAGTGGTTAACATATAAAAGAAAACATTTTATTATCTTTATAAAGCATAAAATATATATAAAAAGCTGTGTATACTAGTTGTATACTTGGATATAGTTATCCTATTGTAAAAATTAACCTGTTATGCTAAATAAAGTGTGCACACTATTTACAGGTATAGCATAAAAAGATGCAAAAAATAGGAAATATGTGATAAAAATATTTCCAAAAAGGGATATGTGAAAAAAGAGAAGGTTGAGAAAAAATGTCTAGATATAAAAAGAAATATACTTTAAAAGTCCAACCTGATGATTGAAGAGAGAGCCCTTTCTTTCCTCCTGATCTTGCGTCCGTATGTCTGTAGACAGCTCAGTAAAGGAATATGCAGGGAAAAATCTTCTTTTGGAGATGGATGTCAGACGTTTTTCTTTTTCTTCATAAGCTTATGCAGATGTCAGCTGCTTTGAAACAATACTAGATGTAAGTGGTCTGCAACAATTTTTAGGTAGGTGGTATGTGTCAAAGTAACATCCACATGAATGTCAAGATCCAAAGTTTCCCTGCTGAACATTGCCTCCACTGGCCTGCATTCTTCCCATAGTGCATCCTGCTGACATGATTCATCAGACCAGGCAACCTTCTTCTATTGCTCCATGGTCCAATACTGATGCTCAGTATTGGACCATGAAGATTGCTTTCAGCAGTGGATATGGGCACTCTGACTGGTCTTCTCCCAACAATGCAACAATCTATGTGTTCTGACACCTTTCTGTTACAGCCAGCATTAAGGTTTGTCACCCATGACCATAACGCCGGTTCACCGGTTGTCCTTCCTGGCACCACTTTTGGTAGGTATAAAATACTGCATAACTGGAACACCTTACAAGACTTGCCATTTAGAGATGCTTTAACCATGTCATGAAATTAAAGAACTGACTGTTCACTTGTTACATATTATATCCCACCCCTCGACAGGTGTCATTATAACAATATGATCAATGCTATTCACTTCACCTGTCAGTGGTTTTGATGTGGCTGATCAGTGCACAATCTCAACATTACCCCTTTGGAAATCAAGATATTATTAAGTTGTTTGTGGAATAAGGAGGCCTGGACACTGATATATCTACACTCTCCTGAATAATTTTGGGAATCATGATTCCTTTAGAATCTTAGAACAGATAAACACTACTGAAAAAAATGAAGAATTAAAACACAACAAAAATCTAATAAAAAAAGATTTTTTACAAACTCACATATTTCTCAACACTAACCACTACCAACTCATAAACTATTTGATTTAGCAAGATCAGGCTTGTTGCTTATACATATGAATTGTAGCATTAACATGTTATTAATATGTTTTTTGTTCCAAGAGAAATACAATTCCCATTTTGAGTGATGAGGGAATCTTTCTCCCTCTGTATTTAAAACAAAAACTGGACATCATATTGGGGATGTAATTGTGGTTTAGTTTGGATCTATGGCAACACAGGAATGTTTGAACTTCACAAATTCATCTGTTTTTTATATTTGATATTATGTTACCAAGCAATATATGAGGCATGCAAATTACATTGACATTTATACTGGTGTTTTACAAATAAATCAATATTGCCCTGTTGTTTTAGTTCAAATTTTATAGTTATGACCTAAACTATAAATTATAGGTCTCCAAGGAAACAGGGGAAGCCAAGGAGCGCCGGGTAAACTTGGCCCGCCAGGAGTGAAGGGTGAGAAGGGTTCTGTTGGCGAAAAGGGAGAGCAGGGCAGGAGTGCTACATCAGGTAAACTAGCTCATAACTATATTATAAGGAATTACATTAAATTATTTCATATCCATATGCTAATTTCAGTTGAGGCGAATATTGTATACTTCCCAAGTGTACTTATTTAAGTGGGACAGTCCCTATGTTGGATTCAAATCCCTATTTCTATCCTTACGTCTCTCTTTTCTACGAGCTTCATATTGGTGATGTGTGTTTAGTGTATAACAGAGCTCCACACACCTAAAATAAAAGTGTTCCTCTTTGTCCATTTGAAATGTTAGGAGATATGATACTAGGAATTCTTTATAACCTAAACATTTTATTCCTGAAGCATGTTAACACTTTTACCAGAAATGGTAAAAACACATAATTCTACATGATTTCCACAAATCACTGATAGCTAAAATAGCAAATCAAAGTAATTTTCTGTAAAATGTTTCAATATTGCTACATTTTGCTTGAGGTCAGTCTTCTAACTTTTCCATAATAATGGTTGTGCTCATTTGTTGTTGTGTACCCTCTTAACATCTCAATTTCCAAATTTTAATTATTTATTATTTATATAGCAGCAATATATTCCATAGCATTGTACAATAGAGGCATAGACAGATAAATAATAATCAACATGACCGGCCTGTGAACTTCCAATCTTGCAAATACAGTACTTTTATACCGAGTGCTTATAGCAAGATAACCCGTGAGGTGTGATGTTGAGATGCCTTCTCCTCTTTCTGGTACTCAATTGCTATCAATAACAACTGATGTGCCATGGGTGTCTTATGCACTCCCCATCTCATGCTGTAGTCACTTGTGAACACCTTCATGGATGCTGTACATAGTCCAGCACCCTGTCTGCTAATACTGCAGTCCACCAAGAAATATCCCAGTGGACCACTCTGATATCTAAACAGACACTTTATACATTTGGTCTCTGCTGCCCTTAACCATAAGTATATTCAAGTCATGTTAGTAGTCTTGGATCAGATTATGTGGATATAAAATCAAGGAATGCTTCTGTCTAGATTTCTACAAACACTCCAATACATGAACATGCTCATGATTAAGGACAGCAGAGCCTCAAATCATCATTGTTCTTCTTGTCCCTGTGATCTCCTGAGGTAAAATGTTGTTTTTTTCAAAGAAGAAATTAATTAATGTAAATTGATATTTTAATGACTTTTTTTCTGGTGGATTTTTAAAATTTGAACTTATTCATGAGATTTATGAATAATAGAGTTATGAGACAAATTTCTCTACCTGCATTGCACGGGGTAAGAAAATGTACCTTAAAACAAAAACATGCAAGACCTGAAACTTGATTAGTTGAAATTTTGTGCAGGTGGTTTACCTACAAAAAGTGCAAATCGATTTTAAAATGAGCCTTTTGGTTTTTGCAGAGGTCGAAGTAGTTAAAATCCAAATGAAGACTTTGGAAGGACAAATGCAAATGCTACAAGCAGACTTAAACAAGTATGCAAAAAGTAAGATTAACTTAATAATAATGGTTCACTAGTGCTGGTACCTCTTAAAATTAATTTTTACAACATGGTTTACATCTGCTATATTTAAAACAAATAAGGAGATATTCTTGACAATCTTATCTTTTGGAACTTTTAAGGTTAGGTATGGACACCAACTCATAGAACCTAGGCCTAACAGCATATCCCTAAAGTAAAGGATAGTGGTGTATTAATGGCCTTTAGGGAGGCTTGCCTTAAAGGGACATTCAAGACCCATAAAGCACTTTAGCTTGTTGAAACGCTTTATGTGTGAAGAGTGTGTCTTATTTTTTCATATTGCAAAAAGTGCAGATTTCAATAGAAATGATAAATTAACCTGGTTACACCTCAGTTAGACCAAAGGTCTTATTTCCTGGTTTCGCTAGCTCAGTGGAGCAAAACTCAAAGGGCAGACAATAGCTCAGAGATCAGAGCTTTGCAAAGATTTCTCATTGAGCTGCATGGGGAAGTCTGTGATTGGACACATCAAGTCTGCTTATCTGTGAATAGTTATAGTAGTCAAGTCAAGGTCAGATATTGAAGAAATCAGAAAAAAAGTATAGAAAAGCAGCCAGGCATACTAGAATATAGCATAAACATACAACAAACACACAGTCAAAACCTAGAAATACAGATGACCAGAAAAGCCCTAGATGACTACGATACCACAATTAGACAAGGTGCATTGGGTTTAAATAGCCAACGGAATGCCTTTCGAATTGTGTCAACTAAAACAACCAAGTTTGCATGTTAGTGTGAGATTTGGCATGAAGGTTTGGTATATACTTGGTAAAGGCTGTTGAAAAAGTGCTCATTAAGTGTGAAACGAGTTTACCCAGTAACCCTTCCCCCTTCTGCTTTTATGCATTCTTTGTGATTTGTAATTTGAGCTGACAAAAAGACTGTTTCAAAGGAAAGCTGTATTTGAAGTTGATATAGATACTGCTGCTACGCAAGATGGTGGATGGGACTTAGTCACTAAAATTCTAGTTGAGTTAAATGTAAATATTTCTAACAATCTTATTGAGTTTGTCTTATTCTCATAAATGTTTGAAAATGTAAACAATAATATTCCCACTTTGCCTGTTTCAGTTTTGCTTTTCCATGGTGGTAAACAAGCTGGTACTAAGATTTTTGTAACAAATGGTCAAGAGGAGAGTTTTGAAAGTTCTCAAAAATCTTGTAAAGAAGCTGGGGGTAATTTGGCCAGTCCTCGAAACGCAGAAGAAAACAGTGCAACACAGGAAATACTACAAACAAAGGGAGAGAATGCAAAGGCTTACTTAGGAATATCAGACCTGCAGGTGGAAGGCATCTTCAAATATGCTGGAGGAGACAAAATAAGTTATACCAATTGGAACTTGGGAGAACCAAATAATAGCAAAGACAATGAAGACTGTGTAGAGATTCAAGATAATGGAAAATGGAACGACATTCCTTGTTCTCTTTTAAGATTGGTAATCTGTGAATTTCAATAAATGTCTTAACATTGTATGTCTAGTATGATTGTGTCAACTTTGATTTAAGGGTTACTCCAACCCCCTTTTTTTTTATACAACTCATAGTTTATTTTCAAAATATCCTATTGGGCAATATTAGCATGTCTACAAAATGGGGGAACTAGGGGCAATGGTATGCGCTGAGCAATATGACATAATAGGAATAACAGAAACATGAAAACCACAAGTAGTACTTGCACTCAATCACAATAGGTGCAGGTATCATGGTCACCTCCAAAGACCCTCAATAATATTATACAAAAAAATATACCAAATGATACCGCACTCAATAGAATAGATATAACTGAATATAAATGTATTATCAAAAATGCACTAAGGACAAATGTAAGCTATCTTATATAAAGACAAGAGAACACCATATGTTTATATATGAAAAATATCATATCCACTATACTATAAAGTGCTAAAATGCAAAATATCACATCACCATGGTTCCTAAATGAACATTTATAAAATACAAACATTAATGCCTATTTCAAAATCCTCTGCACAGAATAAACCACATGGTCCAGCGGAACAACAGACTGTACATAAGGGTATTGAGTTGTGTGAGAAAAAATCCTGGTAATGTACATCAAAGTTAAAAAATAGGGATCCCAGAACAAAACTCAATGTTGAAAAAAAAAAAAAAATCATGGACTGATCTCACCCATGGGCTTGGTTGGGAGGCCTCCTGTTTGCTTTAAGAGTCCCAAATCCAGATGGATATACTCTTCTGTAATGTGTCCCAAGTGTTATCTTTAGAAACTCCCACTGGAGAACAGAGAGACTGGAGATGAATGTGTGCAAAGATGTGGATTCCTCCTAGTGACAGCAGGATGCAGGCTGGAGAACATCAATTCTAAAAAAAAAATAAAAAATTAAAGTGTAGGTACACTGGAAACAGAGATGGGTCTGTTAGCTAATGAAGGTCAGGAAAAGGCAGAAATTTTAAATAACAGTTTTTCTTCAGTATATATTAATGAGGATCCTATGACAAGAGATATGCAAATGATTGCTGCAAAAAACTTGCAGATAACTTGTGATTAGATGACTCGATACAAAGTGCTACAGCTGTTAAAGAAAGTGAATGTAAATAAAGCTTAGAGTCCTGACGGTATTCACCCACGAGTACTTAAGGAGCTAAGTGGGGAAATAAGTGAACCTCTGTATTTAATTTTTCAAGATTATTTTGTTTCAGGTATTGTAACGGAAGATTGGAGGAAGGCAGATGATGTTCCTATATTTAAAAAGGGTTCAAAATCCTTGCCTGGAAATTATAGACTTGTGAGCTTAACTTATGTGACTGGGAAAATATTTGAAGGGCTATTAAGGAATAATATTCAGGAATTCATTGGGAAGAACCTTGTTATTAGCAATAATCAGCATGGTTTTATGAAACATAGGTCATATCAAACTAACCTAATTGCATTCTACGAAGAAGTAAGTAGAAGTATAGATCAGGTGTTGCACTGGATGTGATCTACTTGGATTTTGCTAAGGCACTTGATACGGCTCCACACAATAGGTAAGTCTTTAAACTAAAATACATTGGTCTAGTTGATTATTCTTGTTCTTGGGTAGAACATTGGCTTAAGGATAGAGTACAACCAGTTGTCATTAATGGTAATTTTCAGCCTGGACAAAAGTGGTAAGTGGTGTCCCTCAAGGTTCTGTTTTGGGACCGCTTCTATTTAATATATTTATAAAGGATCTTGAAATAGACATTGATGTTTCAGTGTTTGCAGATGATACAAAACTTTGTAAAGTAATAAAATATGAGCAGGATATTGTCTTGCTGCAGAGGGATTTGGATAGATTAGGGGAATGGGCACTAAAATGGCAGATGAAATTTAACGTACAGAAATGCAAAGTTATGCACTTACCCTAAATGGTAGTAAATTAGGGATAACCAGACACGAGAAGGATTTGGGAGTTGTTGTAGACAACAAATTAGGCAGCAATATGCAATGTCAATCTGCAGTTGCTAAGGCCAGTAAGGTTTTATCATGTATAAATATAAATAGGGGCATAAATTCTTGGGATGAAAATATAATTTTGCCTCTTTATAAATCGCTGGTAAGACAACACCTTGAATATGCTGTGCAATTTTGGCACCTGTTCTAAAGAAGGATATCATGGCACTAGAAAAAGTGCAGAGATGAGCTACAAAATTGATAAAAGGAATGGAACATTTTAGTTATGAAGAAAGGTTTAAAAATGTAAATCTCTTTAGTTTGGAAAAACGGCGCCTCAGAGGGGACATGATAACATTATACAAATATATATGGGGCCAGTACAAGCCATTATCTGGAAATCTATTCATAAACAGGGCTATACATAGGACACGAGGTCACACATTTAGGCTGGAAGAAAAGAGATTTCATCTCAGGCACGGAAACGTTTTTTTTACAGTAAGAGCAATAAGGATATGGAATTCTCTGCCTGAAGTGGTGTTTTTTTATCAGAGTCCATACAGATGTTTAAACAGCAATTTGATAAATACTTAGCAAAAACATAACATACAGGGATATCATTTCTAATTAGTGGGGTAATTGCAGCTTGATCCAAGGAGACATCTGACTGCTATTTTGGGGTCAAGAAGGAATTTTTTCCTAGTTTGTTGCAAAATTGGAATCGCTTCAGACTAGGTTTTTTGCCTTTTTTTTGGATCAACAGCAAAAACATATGTGAATTTGATGGACGCAAGTCTCTTTTCAGCCATAACTATGTAACTATCTAAATCTAAAAGGGTCTCATAATATACCATCATCAAGCTATCTGGCCCAGGACTCTTACCCTTAGGGGCTTTTTTTTATAACATTCTTAACCTCAGCCAAAGTAATGGGATGATCTAATTTGTATGATATATCATTTCCCAATTTTTCTTTAAGATGTTCCCTAAAATATATTTTATTATTGTTTTGTGGATCACTATTTGTTGTTACAGGTAAATTGTATAAATTGTAATAATATTGGGCAAATATCTGTTATTTGCTCAGTTAAATTTAAAATACTTTATTTCCTTTTTTTATTGTTTTTATATAATTCTGAAAGCGTTTCTCTCTCAAGGCTCTGGCCAAAAGTTCATTTGCTTTTCCCCCTTGTTCATAATATTGACTTTTTGTCACCATATAGCTTTTTTTGTAATTTCGTATTTACTATTTTTGCTCAATCTGTTCTCAGTGTTAATAATTTCTGGTTTATTTCTTGTGTTATGGTTAATTTATGAGTTAATTCCAATTTTGCTATATCATCCATTAGTTTCTTAATTTCTTCAGAACTTTTTTTTTTTAAGAACCCCAATTTATAAACTCTTCCCTAACCACTGTCTTATGAGCTTCCCATATAACACTTGCCCTCTCTCAGGCTAACTCTACAAAAAGGTAACAAAAGAATGTTGTTGTAAAATATTTTAAAGTAGTCCATAAAAAATAAAAAATGTGTCTTTTAACCCCTTAAGGACGGAGCCAAATGTACACGTTGTGAACAAAACAAAATGTAAACAAAACCTGGCATTTGCGCTACATGTCTGTCCAACCGTAATACACCTCTTTCATAGTAAATGCACCCACCCTTATTATATATCATTTTATTCAGGGGAAACAGGGCTTTCATTTAATATCAAATATTTAGCTATGAAACATAATTTAATATGAAAAAAATGGGAGAAAATAAGATTTTTTAAAAATTTTTTTAGTTCTACATGACATTTTAACGGTCAGTGTCATAATACTGTTTGCTTTTACTGCAATAAAATACACATATTTGTATTCAGTAAAGTCTCACGTGTAAGACAGTACCCCCTATGTACAGGTTTTATGGCGTTTTGGGAAGTTACAGGGTCAAATATAGCACGTTACATTTGAAATTGAAATTCGCCAGATTGGTTACGTTGCCTTTGAGACTGTATAGTAGCCCGGGAATGAAATTTACACCCATAATGGCATACCATTTGCAATAGTAGACAACCCAAGGTATTGCAAATGGGGTATGTCCAGTCTTTTTTAGTAGCCATTTGGTCACAAACACTGGCCAAAGTTAGCGTTAGTATTTGTTTGTGTGTGAAAAATGCAAAAAACGCCAATTTTGGCCAGTGTTTGTGACTAAGTGGCTACTAAAAAAGACTGGACATACCCTGTTTGCAATATCTTGGGTTGTCTACTATTGCAAGTGGTATGCCATCATAGGGGTAATTTTCATTCTTGGGCTACCATAGGGTCTCAAAGGCAACGTAACCAACCTGGCGAATTTTAATGTGAAAAAAATTAAACGCAAGCCTTATATTTGACGCTGTAACTTTTGAAAACACCATAAAACCTGTACATGAGGGGTGCTGTTTGTGAGTGAAAAATGCAAAAAACGTCACTTTTAGTGGCGATATCATCGTTGTAATACATTTTACTGTTTTGAAACACTAATATTTGTTACATAAATATATATGCAGAATTAATATATGTATATATATATACGTATGTGTATATATATGTATATATCTATATAATTTTTTAAAAATATTTTTATTTATATATAGGTATATATATAGTGATATATGCGTATATATTTATGTATATAGATATATATATTATTTCGTTCTACGTGTATTTTGATATATATATATATATATATATTAATTTCACAATACAGTTAGAACGAAATATCACACATCTATATATTTTTTAATTATTTATTTTTAATTATTTTTTTAATTTTATTTTTTAACGTATTTACATTTTTATTTTTTTTATATTATATATAAATATATATATAACAATAATTATATATATATATATTTAATCAGTATCAGTCTATGTGTAATTTGATATTAATATATATAATTATATATATATTAATAGTAAAATACACCTAGACGGTGTACATGTGTGTATGTATATGTGCATATATATACTTAAATCATATATATATAATATATATATATATATATATGATCTAAGTATATATTATTATTTTTTTTACAC